ATGGTACTTCCCCGGACGAGCCTGCCCATTCATGCAACAGCCGAAGCTGTTGCGTGGCCCTACCACTGTAATATAATCATATTAACTGTGTAATATTAACCACGCAGCATTTTTTTGGCCATCTGCTCCTTTGCTAACTTTTAACATAAAACATTTATAGACTAACAAATACGTATTAAAAGACGTCTAAACGAACGAAAACTAAATAGAAGTTGTTTTTATTTTTGGTTTGAATTTGTTTTTTATTTCTTCTCTTTTTCCTTTTTATGTAGTACAAACATAAAAAGACCGTCACTACTCAATGTATATTTGTATTAAGTGTAATATGAAATAGTGATTTCACAAACATAAAGCAATAAACTTACAAAAATTTCCAATTATTCTCGATCACCTAGGTCTAATTAATATAAATTAATGCTATCACTAGTATAGTAATCATATTTCTAACTATATTTTTAGAACCGTCTCGACCTTTCCCTGATGAGTATGTAATTACGTTCAAAATATACATGTTCGCAGCGCTGGCGACGTACAAATCATATTAACCAGTAAAGGTCAAGCTTCGACATTTAGGGATAAAATTGTTTGAATTCTGTTTTAATACATTCAGGGATTTCTTGTGTTAATAATAATTAGTATAACTTTTATCATATCTAATGTATATAAGTTTTATAAAAGCATCAATCCTCGCTGCAATCGTTAATACGAGGAGATAAAGATACGTAGAACACAGAAACTAAATGATGATGACATTAAATCTCTACCGTATTTTTTAAGAAATACTTATTACAATAATTTAAAAGCACTTACAACTCTAACGTTCCAATGTTATTTCTATGAGTATATTCCGATATTCCAAGCCAACTTATGTTGCGTATATAAAAGCCCCCGTGAAGCTGATAAATAGAGACGAAGATCCTATTCCGCGTCTCCTCCACTCGCCGTGGAAATGATTTCTTTGAGACTGAATTGCGCTGTAACTAGACGTCTGGCTCGGCGTCGTTAGGTTCTATTTATAAACGTGCCACCTACAGTGTTATTCGACATATTTGGAAGGGAAGCGGAAACTATTTCCAGTCTTCATATAAGAGACTTACGTACCGTTTTCAATCACGACATATAACAGGATGCTTAAAACAAGTTACTTGTTCTGTTTTATAGCTTTTTATGAGTGCTATTGGACAATCCCAGTTTCGGGGAGTTACACTAACATTATATCACGGACTCAATTAACATTCTCACTAGGAAAAGCTCTTCATAGATCACGCTTACTTTATATTTTGACTGTTTTTTGATTCTATTCTTTCGTAGACTATTAAAGCTTCATCGAACGCAAAACTAATGAGATAACCAGGTCTGACGAGGTTGATACGGCTAAACGCGTTGAATAGGGCTGAGCATCTATGCAGTATCTACAAGGAGGAATGTCCCCTTTGGACCATCAAGGTTTGGTACGGACCGTGACCCTGATGGCTGTTGAATGGCTAGGGGCCGTAAACGCCTTAGACCTAAGAGGAACTTTGTGTACCCGTGTTTCTTGTTTCATCGTGCTCGCACTATGTGTGCACTCTGTAGCTGTAGTACTTGTGTCCCCTGTGTATTGTACTTTGTGTCCGACGTACTGCTTGTGTTCCACCCGCGGGTGATGTCTGTGAACTGTAATGGTTATGTCGGGTTTTTAATAAGTTAAAGGATCCACCCTATTAAGGTCAAAGTAGAGAATTGTTGTTTTCGTCTCTCTTAATGAAATTATGGTTAGCTGTAAAGTTTTTTTTATTATAAAAAACGTGGCCCTTACTGTAGAATAACGTTAGCCTCTGTTGTAAGGATGTTTTACAAACATAAATTTCACGCGGACACACACCCAGATGCGAAACAACTCTCTGTGGTTCACACAAATAGTTGTCCCGTGTGAGAATCGAACCCACGACCCCCGATGCCGAAGTAGCCTTGGCAACTGCACCGCGGAGTCTCCAAAGTTTTCAAAATTCGTTCATAATTCTGAGTCTGCAATCGTTTTACAAGTTAACGCTGTTACGCTGATACAACCTAGCACCGGTTGCTAGGAGGATGAACATATTTTCATGAACCTGAAGTTTTTAAACGCGTTAAGACCGGTCGTTGCGAAAGACATGGAGATGTAGGAAATTATGAGTCGTGCGCCAAAGTTTATTATAACAAAAGTTTATACCTTAAGGCAATTTTGCTTGACAGATTCGTTAGGTTATAGAGTCGGTCAGATACGTACGCAGCCTGATTATTTTATGGCATTCTGGGAGTCGAAATCAACTCCATGGTATTTGACCTTCATCTCCCAAGGGATCAGTTGGCCGTATAAAGTGCTTTGCCTTAGCTTCCTGTTCTGGCGCTCGTCTCAGTGGGAGGTCGGAGTTGGCTGTGGCGTTATAGCTCGAGTTAACTGTTTTGCTGCAGTCTCTTACGGTTAACATTTATTCTTCATTTACGAAAGCAGTGAGGTAAATGGGAGTGCTTTAGAGGCCAGTAGTGATTCAGCCAAGATGTCTGTCCAAAAAAAAGATCAATCTCAATCAACGGTCTCTTCCGCGAATAGCGTGGGTCCGCCTCGCGTAGATCCTTACTCGTGTAGATCCATGGATAAAGCTAATTCTATCCTATATATTAACCAAAAACTACTAGGCCATCCATATTGTCAAAAAGGTTATGTAAGGTTATACCAACAAACACATGTGATTATAAATAAAATAATTTTACTTTAATATAACATTTGTAGTTAAATAATAAATTTACTTGTATGTAAACTAGTCAAGAAGAAAACATCAAAATACAAACGTCTTTAAATTATTTTCTCTCATAAAAATAAAAGAAACAGATAATTTCTAAAAAATAATGTGAAATGTTTTTGTTGTACTTATAAGAGTCGTATACCAGGTCGATTACCAGGAAATACTTAAAATATAGATGATTTTACATGTATATCCTCTCGGAACAAAAGCCCAGTATGATTTTTAGAATCTAAAACCACGTAAAGAAAAGGCATTAAATATGAAACTCTGACATTAACAGTAATTGCTCGTAATTATTCTGGGTCCTACATGTAATTTAACAGGTGAAATTACCCTAACCACATTTAGTCCGCGTGTACTAGGTTTTAAACCTTCCTTTGTAATTATTTCTTATTTTAAACGAACTGAAGGTTCTGTATGGGGTTACATTTAATTTGAAGCAGCCTGAGTCCGTATCACCGTATTACGTACCGTACCGTACGTACGTTACATGTATAAAAAGATTTTGACGATGAAACATTTCTATGCTTTCTAAATATTACCACTTAAGACGTAATTTGTTACTTTTCTTTTACTTTCTCACCATAATATAGACTTATCATATTCAACGCAAAAACCGCCTAATACCATTGATACTACCTTAATCCGCCCATAAAGCAGTCCACCACCGTGCTTTCTTCACGGAATGCTTTTTTACACATGACCACTCTGTCGAATCAATTGTGGCCAGCTTTAGTTCCAGACAAATACGCACATATTTCACCAGAGTATTTATATATTTTATTTATATATTTATATATCCTTGAATGGTTTTGATGGTAAATGACCATTAGGTGACCCACTAACTCGTTAGCCTCTTGTTCTATTAACGAAAATAGATTTGCGAATCAATTACTATTCTTTACAGTTACTCATCACATTGAGTACGTCAATTATAAAAAGTGACTAAATTGTCAGTATACAATTCAGTGGTGGCAACTCCACCGATACGAATGAAATGGATATTACAACAGGTATTAGAACGTTATTACATTCTTCTGAATTATACATCCCTTTATTATTTTCGTGCTCTGTAACTGTTAACTCCACAGATCAACGGATAAAACATAATATAAAAAATAGTGACGTAACACAAAATTACTTCAATTCTATCCCCGATTACAAGTTGTTTAACAGGGCGGAAAGTATGTATGTCGGAATTCGTCTCTTTGTCCTTAGCTTCCGAAATGGTCTTCAGAAATGTTCTTTTATTATTGAACTATAACATGCCTGAAATAACTGCCGAAGTGATTTGCAGTTATAAGACGTATATAATATAAAATTGTTTTGGAAACCCTTCATGTAATCCGAAAACAGTTCCCTAGAACTTATTAACTTGTTGCCATACATCGCAAATTCGCAATATGCAAATTCTTGTTTACAATCGTCCACATATACATTTGAAGTCTGCTGCATTGTTAGTCGGCTGGTCTGCAATTCCCGCATTCTTTGTTCCGCTTTACGTCATTCCCTGCGAGCAATGAACACGTAGTTGTTACGTGTTTCCTTTCTACTCAACATTCACAAGCACTTTATATTTGCCGACAGCTGAACTTAATAGGTTTTGTTCAACTATTCATTTACATATTTACCGCACTTGACGCGAACTTGAATGAATGTGTTATGTATTCCGCCGTTTTAAATATTTCTGTACAATCTAGAGCGAATGCTGCATTCTCGAATACAATAAAAACGGAACGTATTTTTAACAAACTTTATGTAATTTGGGGAACACTATCCGGTATCATAATGATGTGATAACAAAAAAGTTAATATAGACCACAATGTTGGATTGACCATACTAGTTTTAACATAAAAAGGACAAGAAAAAAGTTAAAATAGACGTCCAACGCATATAGGCGATATTAATGCTATTGAAGCTTTTAAAGCATTCACATACAGAACTTTTTTTGTAAATAAGCGTTTGCGTAATGCAATTAAAGCAGAAAAATGGACTCATGCAACGAAGCCGTGCTTGCTAATCAGAAAGAGTCGTATGAATCGTAGTTTATTCCAGGAATAAACGCTATAACCTAAATTCTTTTATATTGTTAAAAAAATTATATAGGTATTTACTTTTATTTATTATTTCTCGCATTTAATTGAAAGAATCTTAGCCAAAACCGATTACTAGACCTTAGTTGTTAGATTATAAGGTTCTTTAATTTTATAATAGACTAAGTACCCTTGTTCCAGGTGACACGGATGAACATGGCTTGCCGAAAGACAAGGAAAAGGGCTACGACACCAATCTATATCTATATCATGTAAGTAAATTTATCATATTTTTATAATTAAATTCACACAGAATGAAAATAATAACTAAAATTTCTCATAAAAATAAATGATATAGTTTACGTTTCTTTGGGCCTCTCTGTATAAGCCCGGTATTGTTCAGAATTACCAAAAATAATTATGGCTTTGTATTTAATTAATTGCCATTAATTATAATACCTTTTTAAGAATGGAGAGTACGAAATTACTTTCTATTAATATTCACGCCTGTGTAAGAACTCAATATTGCAAAATCACGTAGTATGTACAATGTACATATACTACTATATGTATAATTATATATTTGTATACGAATAAAACCAAACGTAACAGGATATAGGGAAACGCTTATCAAATATCCTATTAGCTGAGTAACAGAGTTTCTGCTACCTTTTGTGCGTTACAAACGGTAGTGATTCGTATTATTAATAAAGCTTGCAAACAATTTGATAATTTAAAAAGTATAAAGCAAATGTACTTGCAAATGTACTTTTACGAATAATGATACCAAATATCAACAACGTGAGTGTATATATATCATGATAAATAATTATTTGAGTTAAATCGGAACTAGCATCCAAGTTAGTGCTCTTGTCGCGTAGACAATTGGTGGTCATATTTGCAAGTTCCAACATCACATTGCCATTTGCCTAAAACAACCAGGAAAATTTATCGTAATATTTCCAGGTCACGCATTATAAGTGAGGAATGTTATATGGTCGGTTACAATTTTCCTCTCACCCCTCACCTCAGGCATCACCATATGCCGATATAAACTTCGCCATAGATTGCGAAACATTGTGTACTTCTTATAGGGTGGGATGTTATCAAACTGTGCTACAATTATCGAGACGGAAATTTAGTGGCGCCATTCGATTCATTCGTTAAAACTCTGTTACAAAGACAGTTTTTACTCGAGATTATAAATCGAGATTATAAAAGTTGACAATAAAATAAGAGAACCTTAGAAGAAGAATTTTGAAGTTAGTAGAGTTTTAAAAATACTAAGGCAGTGATAAGCGATAAATCCTTGCTGAGTCTTAGCTACCTTAATAGTGCTGACCATGTACGAACATCTGGTATATATACATATATAAATATTATTAGGTTAGTTATAATATGTAATATGAATATTTAAGTATATTTACTGTATATGTATAAATATATAAGAATACTCATCTACGTATGTTTATGTTGGTAGTTTTTAGATTTATAACCTTATGAAATATTTTTATTGATTATGTAACGATTACAACTACTTTACTGCCCTTGTCATTATGTCTCTGTTCTACCTAGGGTTAGCTGGTAGAGAATGCAATATAGCATTAAGCTCGCCTTTGTACTATTTTTAGTGGAATAAAGATTAAATAAATAAATAAAGTAAAAGTGGAGCTTACAAGTGTGGACTCTCTTTCTAAAGAAATTTTGATGTTTCAGATATCTTGAGGAATACTCACTAAATCACAACTTACTAATGAAACTAAAAGCACCTTTTATTCCATGAAATAAAAGATCAAAAGCTCTTTTCTAATAAATTTGAAAAAAAAGATCATTCTAAATTGTGCTTCTATATGATTTTTGCAATCCTTTATAATTTTCAAGTATCATCTCCTTAAATTTATTAATGAGAGCAACCTGAAAGGGCATTAAGGGCTATTCAAAACTGTAACGAAACAAATCGCAAAGTCCGTTAAAATTTCCTCAAGTGGACTGCTTGAGAGTGCGATCTTTCGTAGTGTTCTCGTAGAGGCGTAGCTTTTCGTAGAATTTCGTAGTAACACGAAAACTCGAAAAAGTTGCAAGATAACACAGAAATTACTCACGTTAAAGTTATCGTAACTTACGCGGATGCGTAATGAGAATTTAAATTTGCATAGACCACGTTTACGACGATATATTTAACAAGTTTATAAAAGAACCCTTGTTTAAGACTACAGTCTCCGTTGAATTATTATTACATAATATACCATAAAAAATCCTCGCAAAATGTTTACCATTTTATGATGATGATTTCTGATTTATAAAATGGGAAATCGCAGTAAAGGTATCCCTTGTTATTTTATCACTTACAACTATACGCCTACATTTAAATAATAAATAAATAAATATAAATAAATATTTAGGACACATTTGTACACAACATTTTCTAGTCCCAAACTAAGCAAAGCTTGTACTATGGGTACTAGAAAACTGATAAACATACTTAAACATACTTTTCTTTTGTAAATAAATACATATTATACATATAGAAACACCCAGACACTAGAAAAACACCATGTTCATCACACAATATTTTTCCAGTAGTGGGGATCGAACCCACACCTTCTGGCGCCGGAGGCAGGTACACTACCCACTACGCCATTCGGGTCGTCAAATTATGTAGGACTCAACCAAATTTTCACGATTCTAAACCTATTTGATTATGCTTTATTAGTAGCCATTAATTATGTTCTATTACGTAATAGGAAAAAGAATTTCTAATTAAATTAATATAATTTCTTAATAGTCAGTTCATTTGAGTTTTTTTCCTAAAATTTTAAAATGTTGTACAATACAGCCCAAAATTATAGTACTTAATCAATATTAAAGCACACAAAAACGTAGGCCAAGATTTGGACAAGTTTATTGTGATAGCTAGGCGTAGTATTTCGGCCAAATATTGGTATGGTGACAGCCTTGATCGATTGTCTAAGCTGAGTACTCTAGAGCGAAGGTCGCTCTCCATCGGAACGCCCCGCGCGAAGTGTCACGGGGCCTCTACCAAAAGGAATGACGCGAGGCTTCTTTGGACCGTCTTCATGGAGGTCAAGAGCCCACCGTCTCTTTCGTGCGATCGTGATAACGTTCGCCAACGTTTTACTTTATTTTTTCATGGTCCGTTAGTACGTTACTTTTATGTTAATTATCTGTAAACGAGAGTATCAAAATGTTATTCGAAGGGAATGATGAGTGAAATTCAAATCAAGAATCAACAATAATCGCACTTTAAATTCGTCTAATGTACAATTATTATATTCAGCAATACTGTGTGAGCATTATAGAATTTAGCCTTAATTTATGGAAAAGCGTATACATCTTCTTCTTTCTCCTGCCTTTATCCTACACTAAGTGGCGTCAGCACAACAAGTCTTTCCCTTCCGTTCCTACAGAAACGCGCATACAAATTATACTATTATGATAATATGAAGTAGCGATATTTCTTATCAGACGGATGAAGAAAAATGCACTTGATACAGGTTAAAGTTATATGCAAAAACAGGAGCAGAGAAATAAAAATAAATAACAAATACACTGCACTTGTCTAAGGAACAGTCTAAGCGTTACTTCGCTTGAACTAGTGATAGGTCCCTGAGCGCCTGGAACAAACTCATGGCAACGACGCCAATTGCCCGTGAATAAAATAAGTCTTTCAGAGCACGCCAGGCGCTCGTATTGTTGAAGCAATGATCTGAGTAGTGCATCTGCTGGAGTAGAATTGGAACTAGTTATCGGTTAGAGTGTTAACAAATGGTTCTTTGGGTATCATTTCTGAATAGATAAAATTGTGCTCTTGTTCATAATCACCGAGCAAAAAGATATGTATACATATACAAATTTGCTCCGTTATTGTATAGATATTGACATGGAAGCCCTATAAACTTAATACAATAATAAGTATGCTTGTATATTTTATGTCGTAAAATATTCAGTTGTTGTAAAAGATTCTCTTGCGTCTTCCATTGTACGCCGTTTATACGTAAAATTATTCTACCGTACATTTCAGCTTTATTATACCGTACACGGTCGCTTGATGTGCATTTACATAATTCTAACGTTCAAGTTCGCTGAAACATCGAAGTTTCAGAGAACCGTGCTATTCCTAGGAGCATAACAAGACATTCATTACAGTGAATTTTAATTAAATCCCAACATTTAATTAATATGCATTTCCTTCTTTGAATAATTTTTACCTGTTTATCATACGAATTCTGTTTAATTTAAATCTAATTGAATTTCCAGACAACGTTAAAAAGACTCCGTTAGTATATCCTTAAATAAATAAAAATTTCTAAAGATTCAAAGGCTTACATACATATAAACGGACAAAACATACGAAACTTAAATTCCAAAACTAGTATACAATAAAAGTAGATAATTCTAGAAATAAGTATATTTTGATTTGTAAATGTAATACAGAAGTATTAACAAAATTATTCTTATTTCCAAAAATAAAAAGTTTAGTTTAGAAACAATTATGGAAATTCGCAAAAGAACCAAAATTGGAAAATACGTAAACAAGTTTGAAATGTCATATATGCCGCTGAACCAATAAACACTGGACTGGATGTGGTCTAAATATGTGCACCTAGACTCGTAAATTCCTTGCGTGCATTAATATGCATGTCCTTCGATAAGTGTTTTCTTCTATTGTTTGCTCAATAATGTGCATTCCAGGAGGAGATCGAGGACCGGCCGCGCGCTGCGACTTTCCTCAGCTCACTGGCGGATTACTCCAACACCATACCGACCGCTGCGGACCCTGATGCCCCCAAGCCAGCCCCACCAGCCCGCATGGGCACCCTGATCGGAGTGTACTTGCCGTGTATCCAGAACATCTTCGGTGTGATCCTGTTCATCCGTCTGACGTGGGTGGTCGGCACAGCCGGCGCTATTTGCGGCTTCTTGATTGTCCTCACTTGTTGTTGTACGGTTAGTACGCGCATTCATTAATTTATTTCTAATGCAAACACTATTTTAAGATTAAAATATGTTGATGACATTAAATAAATAATACATTATAGATTCGGCGTTGAAAGAGGCAGCAGAGTGAATAAGTAGCCAGTGACCTGGAAATGACATCATTATGTTATTGATGTCAAGCCTGTTTATCGACTGCACCTCTGACGATATGTACCCATAATTAATGAGACTGTGGGAGTATAGATAATTTATAGGTACCTAGTAATTAGTGTACGTGAGTGATTCGATATATACCAATGGCTGCATGAAGTTTTTGAAAACTTATTATTTTCGCAAGAAAACATTCTATAATATTCACTTCTGTATGTGTGTAATGACATCTGGTAGAATTCACCATCTGCGGCGATACGGTCCGAAGGCCATGCTCTAAACGACTTCTGTAAAGACACAAGTTACACGAATGCATGCGGTTAAGTGCGGGAAAATGGCACGGTCTCATAGAAGACCGGCGGGAAGATGGTTCTTTTTAATATACTTTACTTCCGTCACTTCTAAAGGTTGGCAGCGTCTCTGCAAGCTCAAAGGCATTTGAGTTGTCAATGGACGAACATTAGAAGTATTGTCTGCTCGCTTGCCACACTATAATCTTTAAAAAAAAACATCGACACGATTATGGCAGAGGGTAAAAAATGTCCACCGAGTTAGTGTATATTTATACCTACAGTAATGAAAAAAAATCAATAGTCCTTATTACCGACAGAGAAGGACTGAACTTCTGTTTATACCTGAACACATGTATATATTTTTGCCAATGTTAAATTAATTGCAACAGACTATGCTAACGGCGATATCGATGTCGGCCATCGCCACGAACGGCGTGGTTCCGGCGGGCGGGTCCTACTTCATGATCGGTCGCTCGCTGGGTCCAGAGTGCGGTGGAGCAGTTGGAGTGCTGTTCTATACAGGGACCACCCTAGCCGCCGCCATGTACATCGTCGGCGCTGTGGAAATCGTCCTGGTAAGAAGATACAAAACAGTCTAAGGATTTCGTTTTAAATTCTTATTTTACCAACTAAAAATTACCCTTTCTCGAGAGCAGAAAAATAATTAGGGCGTTGCGTGGCAACAGTCAAAATGTTGATACAGATATATTGAAATATTTAAAAGGAAGCTTATATCGACTCATGCATTTTATAATAAACAGACAATGAAAACGTCAAAAGGGAAAAACAAACAAAAATAATTTTCCCAGAAGTGTTTGAATATTAAATGGGGACTAGTGTTTTTCCTTGTTTGATGTCTGAATGTTGTCGAAGCCAACGCTATTTACAATAAACGCAATCTATTGAATATTATAATAGAACGGCAAAACGTTTCTGTACTATAAAATAAGTCTAGATAATTGAGTCAAAAGGGTTTCGTGTGTGTAAATTGCCAATAATGTCTTAGATATTTTTTTCTTTATTGATTTTTCTTGATTGATTGGTCCTTTAACTAATAAACTGTAACAAAAGAATGTGAGGGTATCATATTATATAAAACCAAATATACATAATTAATTTTCACATATAGTAGTTTCTGACTGATATCATCGATCCAAACAACAAACCAAATTCAATTAATGTTAGAGGGTCAGCGAATACAGAGCACTCGTGCCCTGAATATAAATCCAACAAACTCGCTTTACGCCACTCCTATCCAGTTTCCGCCCTGGTGTAAAAGTTGCCGATACATTACCGTGAGAGGAACTCAACATAAATACACTTAGCAATTATCGTAGAACCATTTCATGTTGACTACTTGACTATTAAAACAGTATATTTATAAACAAAATAAAAACATAAATGCAAAAAAATTTAATCTTATATTTGCTGCAACTACATCGTGTTTTAACATTAAAGAAAATTTTAAAATATGCAAATATGTAAAAAATGACTAATTGCCACTAATAAATGTAAATTTGTAGGGTTTTTTTTATATTAGAGTTTTTTATTTTATTATTAGAGTTTGAACAGCAAGCTTGGCAAAACTTCTAATTTCTTCTTTTGTCTTAATTTGAAAATTTTCAACCATTAATTTAATTAGGTTCCTAAAATACCTCAAACTATGCGTCATGATTAGCTTTCACTGGCTCTAACTTCGCGTTCATAATTTTTTCTTTTGATCGTGTATTTATATTTTTTTGTCTTTTGCGACATTTGGTATTTATGACATATCGGTGGTCTTTTTTTTACTTTCAAACACTTTAATTCTTCACCAGACATATATGGCCCCGTGGATGTCAATCTTTGGAGATTTCACGAAGGACCCCAACGCAATGTATAACAACTTCCGCGTATACGGGACCGGTCTGCTACTCATAATGGGAATGGTTGTGTTTGTGGGCGTGAAGTTTGTTAACAAATTCGCAACCATTGCCCTAGCCTGCGTTATCCTCTCAATCACCGCTGTTTATGCCGGAATTTTCGTGAACTTTAACGGGAACACAAAACTTCAGTGAGTATTTGCCCTTGTTTGATGTCTTAATTCAGGTTACAATGGACCAAAATAACTGAAATGTTGTTTTTTTATCATAGTACAGTGACCATTCAATGTGTAATGGACTGACGTATTTAATTACTTAACATATGACAACATAACAAAGAGAAAACTATGGACAAGAAGAACCGAGAACCAAAGCCTGCCAAGCAGTTGTCGTTGATTCTCAGAATAAGCTTTTCTACATAGAGTCGGAATGATTCGGATAAAAATATTTTATTATGACAATGATATATATGTAACGTAATAACTTTTTATTTATACTTTATCTAATAAATTTCGCAGAATGTGTGTGCTAGGAAAACGTCTGTTGAAAGATATCAATATTGATAATTGCACCAAGGATATTGGAGGGGAACTTCATCAATTGTTCTGCCCCAATAATCTCTGCGACCCATACTTCGCCGCTCATAACGTTAGCGTTGTGCAAGGAATTAAGGTAAAGTTGCAAATTAGGAGCATGCTCTTTGCTCTTTCACTAACTCAAACTTTCAAAGTTAAAAAAAAATGTAAAATGCTTGGTCGTCAACAAACCGTGGAATAAATAAGATGGATGAAAGCGTGATGATGATGGTAGGCATTTTTGGATCTAAAAAGTGCAATTTCGCAGTATAAAAAGTGACTTTTTCTGGTGATTTGTGTGAAGTTTATTTTAGATGTTTATTTCTTCATTTAGGGTTTGGCCAGTGGAGTCTTTTTTGATAATCTGGAAGATTCATTCCTTCAAATGGGACAATACATAGCTTATGGCAAGGAGCCTGACGATATAGAACAAATGGAAAGGCCCACTTACAATCAAGTATATGCCGATCTTACGACTACGTTCACGATTTTAATCGGAATCTTCTTCCCGTCTGTTACTGGTAAGGAATACCATATATATACATATATATATATATATATATATATATATATATATTTAAAATATTTATATATATATATATATATATATATATATATATATAAAGGAATATTTTAAATACATGTTAATAACTTCATGTGCAGCATATTTATTTTAGTAATCATTTTCATTAGGTATAATGGCGGGGTCGAACCGCTCTGGTGATTTAGCCGATGCTCAAAAAAGCATCCCTATTGGAACGATATGCGCTATTTTAACAACATCAACGGTCTACCTCTCATGTGTTTTATTATTCGCTGGAACTGTCGACAACCTCTTACTTCGTGACAAGTAAGTGGTTGAACTTGTACATAAACCAGCATTTGATCAATAATAGTTATTATTATCGGCAATTTGAATTAGTGTTATATGTCCTAATTTCCGTATAATAAGTGATTCAATACATTTTCGGTATTTTCAGGTTTGGTCAATCGATAGGAGGTAAACTGGTGGTAGCAAATATGGCTTGGCCTAACCAGTGGGTTATCTTAGTCGGATCTTTCCTGTCAACCCTGGGCGCCGGATTGCAATCCTTGACTGGGGCTCCACGCTTATTGCAAGCTATTGCCAAAGATGAAATTATCCCATTCTTAGCGCCTTTTGCTGTGTCATCAAGCAGAGGTGAACCCACAAGGTGTGAAAAGAAATTAATTACGGTTTTAGGAATTTATTTCATTTACCCGACACAATTCTTTTTTCATACTACCTTTTTATTTCAGAGCTCTGATATTGACGATGATAATCTGCCAGTTCGGTATTCTTCTTGGCAACGTCGACATTCTTGCACCGCTACTCTCAATGTTCTTTTTGATGTGCTACGGATTCGTTAACTTGGCTTGTGCGCTACAAACTTTACTGAAGACTCCAAACTGGCGCCCAAGGTTCAAATACTATCACTGGTAAGATGAAGCAGTACGATAATAAAAGAATACTTTTTTGTAGTATTTGGAATAACTTTGATTTTTATTAACTTGAAACTGTTCCAGGTCTCTGTCTTTGGCTGGTCTCACCTTATGCATTTCTATCATGTTTATGACATCCTGGTTTTATGCATTAATCGCTATGGGTATAGCCGGTGTCATCTACAAGTACATCGAATATCGCGGGTGAGCTCATTTTCCATATCGGGTGTTTGTGATCTAATATTATCTGATATTGATCATGTCAATTTATAGTGCGGAGAAAGAATGGGGTGATGGTTTACGAGGTCTTGCTCTCTCTGCTGCTCGTTATTCCCTACTTCGTCTCGAAGAAGGTCCACCGCACACTAAGAATTGGCGCCCACAGGTGCTAGTGCTTGCAAAATTGAACGAAGACTTGAATCCCAAGTACCGTAAAATGTTAGCTTTTGCAAGTCAACTGAAAGCGGGTAATGTTTATAGAAATTAATTTACATTCCTCTCATTTTTATTATCAGCGCCTGTACCACTGTGTTTTAATAATTCGTATTATTCAGGCAAAGGATTGACGGTTTGTGTATCAGTGCTTGGCGGTGACTTCCCCCGTCGTGCAAGTGAATCATTGGCAGCTAGACAAAACCTTCGCAAATGCATGGACGAAGAAAAAGTCAAGGGGTTCGTTGATGTTTTAGTATCACACAACATTGCGGATGGACTAAGTCATTTGTAAGTGCTTTTCTTATTTTATTTTGTATGTTTTATTTCCCTTTAGAAATTCGAGTGTTGATTTCGACAATAGTTTGGTACTATCACATAATTCTTAACCTGAGAACATTCAACAGCGTCCAGACGTCAGGCTTAGGAGGACTCAAACCAAACACCGTTATTCTTGGCTGGCCATATGGATGGAGACAATCCGAAGACAAACGCACTTGGGAAGTATTCCTTGACACTGTTCGTGCAGTGACCGCTGCTAGAATGGTGATGCTTGTACCGAAGGGCATTAATTTCTTTCCTGACAGCAGTGAGAAAGTAAGACTAAAACTATTAACTAGTGTATATTTTCCAATTTATATCAAATTTGAACTCATATTGGGGAAAATATAGTAATAAATTCTATTATGAATTATCAATTTAAATTTTATTATCAGGTCGCAGGCAACATTGATATTTGGTGGATAGTTCATGACGGTGGCATGCTGATGTTACTACCCTTCCTACTGAAACAGCATCGCACTTGGAAAAATTGTAAGATGCGCATCTTCACCGTAGCGCTCATGGAAGATAATTCGATACAGATGAAGAAAGACCTAAAGATGTTCCTCTACCAACTCCGCCTCGAAGCTGAAGTGGAAGTAGTTGAAATGGTAATTTGGCAATACACATAATTTGTGTAATGTTTTCATGACGGAAATAAACTTTATTACAAAAAAATATGCAGATAACTTTTGCTATACTGGTTACTTTTATGTTTGTAATAAAAGATGTGTTACAAATTAATGTGAACATTTTACTACAATCAAATGTTATAGTTTTGTATAAAGGATGCATAACAAATTTTTAAACTAATCAGAATTTCAATGTGGATCTATAATACTATTTTTATTTCTAAGAAGTTATATTTCTATGAACATTAAAAAACTGTATTAAGCGATTATTATCCAATAATTGAATACCAAAAAACAAACTTTTACATCGTGTTTTCCAGACGGACAGTGACATCTCGGCGTATACCTATGAACGCACGTTGATGATGGAACAACGTAATCAAATGCTACGTGAACTTAGACTCAATAAGAAAGAAACTCTTGGAATGGTCAGTATCAAAACTTTCTTTATCTTTAATCATACGGAGTGAAAAATTTAATTCGATTGTTGTGTCTCATAAACTGTGTGCTGTGCAAATGCTAATTTGTTCACATTTATATCTTGTGGCTTAATATATTTGTAGCTTTTTTGTTATATAACTAACATAATGTTTGTCTGTCGTTGCCAACACAGATGCAAAATTTGGTGGACTATCACGAACCAAACGCAGAAGAGAAGTTACCTCTGGTAAAATGATACCTTACCCTCGTTTAAGTCCACTTACTTATATTGCATTTTAGCTATAATTGATGTTGTCATTTAGTTTCTTCATTTTAAAATGACTTACACTTCAAATTTTAGTAAATAGGTTGTTAATAAAATTTACCTTATCATTCTGTTCATTATTCACGGCTTCTCTGTAATTAATAAGGTATCGATGTTTTATATCAGTCTGTTGTGTGTGTGTATGGCTTTTATTATATTCTTTATCGTTTTATTAATGCATCTCACTGTCATAACTATAATACAAGTTAAATAGGCATTTAACCTTTTTAACGTATGGTATGTGGGGCGACTGACATGCTTGCTTTTATTGTTCTTCTACTGTAAGTTTGATGTTTCCTTCAAAAAATGTGGTACTGTTTACAGTCATCATTCGAATTGATTTTTATACTCGTACTATCAATTTTTAAACACGCGTTTATTGATTATTACTGATATACTCCGACCACTCTAAATGTAAATTCAAAAACGCTCAGTTCAGAATATAACTTGTGACAGCACCACGTAGAAAAATGGCACGTTTCTTTATTTGCATTAATTCAGTTACAAATTCGTTCCTTCTCTAAAAGAAATCTGTGGTACGATTTTTTTTTCAGCAAACCAAAATATATTCACACTTTAATCGTGGTTTACAAGGTTTGAATTGTTTTATCAATGTGAAAATCAGTAATCTTTCGAATGGTTTATTCAGAATAAAAATATGTTCTATTACTTCTGTGTATTGTTAGATTGATGTTTTTATGAGTACTTCAGCAAATAAGGCTCATTTTTATCGTTTTGTTTCATAAGATCAATAAGTGACACACGGTATTACAATTACGTACAGGTACAGGCAATCGTGGACCATCACCACGCTGACGTAAAGACAACAAGCAAAGTCCGATTTGCAGAGCCAGGAGCTGGGGAACCCACTCCTGATGACGCACCATCACCACCCCTTACCGACAATGATGAAAGGGATAAAGACGATAAGGTGAATTTAATACTAATACATATACAACGGCAGTTAAATTATCTAAAAATGGCCATGGATCTAATATTTACACAGGCCCTAATTCCCGATAAAATTCAGTAAATAATAATTTTACATATGCATAATATTTTAATAAAGCTATTGTGCGCATGATTTAAACCTTTCAGTTAATATTATTTAGTGACTTTTATAATAAGTGAAATAGAGAAACATTCCAATTTTGCCAGAGAAGATGTTTGGACTAAATAAGAAAGGCTAACGGTAATTTCGGCTAATAGAACAAAATTAAAATAGTTGCGATACCTATTAATAGTTTTATTGAAATATGTATTACAATCTCTTTTTCTCAATCAATTTTATTGAAATATCATCAGTGAAAAGACTATTCAAATTAAATATTTGTTTAGCTATAATGACTTAAAGCAATAATCTGTGTATTTTCATGTTGAGTGTGAAACATCCACGTCTCTGCTTCCGACAAGCTAAATAAAGATTTTACACGTCCATATTATGATTTTTATATGCTATGAGTGTTTACGCAGTATGCTGTTTAGTTTAATTCTTCTCTCAGTTTAATTATTTTAAGCTAAGAGAATAAATATTCTTCTTTTATTTTTAGTATGTACCAGTTGTACCATTTCCATATTAACTAAGTTAATGATATTTCCTAACGGTAATCCGTAACTTTTTTTCCATTGTATAGCTAATATGGGAAGGCTTCGATGTTTGATAAGCTAAATGCACTGCCATTGTTTTATTTATTTACTCATCATAGTAATTAATCACGAGTCCTTGCGAATTAACACACGGTGGTCATATGTTTGGCAATCTTCATTCACGTTCACTTTAGCTCATTTCGTTAGCCACATTAGATAAGAGATTGGATGTTTTAATGTCCGTAGACAGTTGTTTAACAATCAAAGTAATATATGACATCCCGTGTTTCATTCGCTTTGAATCCGTCATGTGCAACGTCGGTTCGCGGTGCAAAATTCAAACTAAAACGAACGGAAAACAAATTGGGCTAACGTAGGACGAATTCCGAAGTAGTTTGTTGCACATAATCGATTCAATGTGGGACTCGCCCGATGAACAGTCGCAGTGCGAGGGCGCACCCTCCCCGCCTCTTGACGCCGAGAAGAACAAAGAGTTGAACCCGGACCCCGACGCGGTGAAGCCTAAACCCAACCTTCCCAACATCACTCCGTAAGTTATCTTTTTCGTGTCTTACCCAATAGACGGGTTCTTTAACAATTTTTTCATTTTATCCAGTTGGCCATAAGCCTACCGTGTTAGGTTACCTCCACGAAGATTAATAAGAATAAAAGTTATTTTTAAAGTCAAAAGTTACAACGAACCGTGTATCAAAGTATTTGAATATGTCGAGATATTCCTATATTCATGTTAATAATAAACACAGTTGACACTTATTATTAACATAATAAATTTGTAATGTTTGTATATTATGAAATAGGGATGAGGGCACCGTGAGGAAAATGCACACTGCTGTCAAACTGAATGAAGTGATCGTGTCCCGCTCTCACGATGCACAACTAGTCATACTGAACCTGCCGGGGCCACCCCGCCTCACCGAGCTTGAAATGGAATCCAATTGTAAGTGTAACAATCCGTAAGTTTTACCGTATTCTGTAAAACTTAGAGGGGACTTGGCATTATTTACTTTTTTCAATAGATGACAAACGATCAATCGGATGGTAAGGTGACCGTCAGGTGCGTAGCCCGGGTGGATGTAGGTTAAAATCCTCGAAACGGCGCCAAACTATTCGTCCATAATTCTACAAATTTTGGATTTTATCTTAATAAATAAAAATTAATAGTGTAAAAAATATTACTTTCATCAATTAAACGTAACTGAATATGATTGTCACGCGAGTTCCGTGCTTTATCCCCATCCCAAAAGAGCTATAGATATAGCTGTTTTGTATACAGCCCTCTTATGAAAAGAACATATAGCTGACATAAAACATAATAGATTGAACAAAGCTGCAGTTTGTGAGCACATCTTAAATCGGCCCAACCACTACATCAGGTTTGATAGACCACAGATCCTTGCAAAAGAACACCGATTCCTCCCAAGGATGATTTGCGAGGCTATTGAAATTAAAAAAAAAACACCCTAATTTCAATACAGAAGAGGAATGGGTTCTACCATGAGCTTGGGATCCTGTCATTAATAAAATTAAATCTAGGCCCAAAAAAACACTACTGCAAGACAAGATACAATTAGCTCACTCTGCATAGATCGGACCCAAAATTAATAATTCAAAAAATCTTCTAAATTAGTAATAGCTTTCGTTATCTGCAGTGAGCTAATTATTTATATTTATTTTTTACAGATATGGAATTCCTGGAAGTGTTGACCGAGGGCTTGGAGAAAGTGCTGATGGTACGCGGCGGTGGACGCGAGGTTATTACCATCTACTCGTGAATGCGTTTCACAACGTTGGAAACTAAATATGGCAATACTAATTTAATTAGGGACGTCTTAAACGATACAATGAACTCGATAACGCACTACGCGTCTATATTAAAGGTCTTTATGATTTTTCAAAACTATTAGGGCCCCGTTTTTAAAAGTTCTTTCAAATATAAGATCGTTTCGCTCGTACGACTAATAAAAAATTAAGTTACGTTCTACTACCGGTGTAAAGACACTATATTTATTGACTTACAGCAACGTACGTAAAATTGACTCATAAATGTTAGACTAGATCTAAATTTTGTTGTATTATGGAGCTTAGTGATGATTTTTAAAATTAATCAACTGTTGTTTAGATTATTAATGAGTACATCGTATAATGGTGAGCCTTAACTAGACGTTAGCAATACGTTCGTTTTGTTGTTACTTACAATAGCTAAGTGCAAGAAGTAACCACTTTGTTAACGGTACATGTCATATCGTTCTTGATTTTATGGTTGTTATAAACATATACCGTACTTACGTATCTAACATTTGACTTTACTTTTATTTTCTATAAATATTTAAAATTGTAGTCACTTTATAAGCGTATACAAGACCTTAAACAATTTTACCTATAATGTGAAATGTATTTTGTAAATAAATATTCTGTTCTAAGATTTTTACATCTGCTCAACTTAAAACTTACCGTGGGACTGAAGAATCAAATTTATATATTTAATTCTTTATTATCTGGATATTGTAGAGATGAATTAAATTATCTAGTCAGTTTTGCATTTGTTAAGCGCAAATTCACGAAAAAAATTTGTCCTTAAAAATCTTCATCGGAATATTGAAAAATATACATTGCTTTTAATGAGTAAAATTCTGAAATGGGATCCTCCCATGGTTTTATGGTGAGTAGATTAAAATTATTCTATTGAATTTTGGAAATATTAAACAATTGCTACGGGAAGGTATGTACTAGGCATCACCTGTGTCAGTGGCAACTTCTACCACTTATAAGACAAAATTTCCTGTAGCAAATTACCATTAGTGTCTAAAGATGTGAACTTGTTACGCACATTCGCGTAGATAGATGATTTCTTACTGTGATGCTTTATATATAACGTTATTGTCATCGGAACTTTTACTATATTTTGACTTTTGGACTAATGTTCGGTGCGCGTGATTTACATGGTACTTTAAAACGTATACTTTTACATGTTTCTTGCGTGGAGTCAGATTGTTTACTATCTGATACAATCAAGACTTTTATTATCATTTTGGCGTACAGAAACATTTCTAAAAGTGTACGTATAAAGATTACGACACAATTAGAGGTGAATGAGGTCAGATCAGATGTCTTATCTACGTATGTAGAATAACTGCGTCGTGCACTTTATTTAAAAATAAGTGTAGATGTTCGAGATTCCTATCTTTTAATGAAGATCTTGAATTTCGATTAGTTTTAAACTGTTTTCTTTCCACAGAGCGGTATTAAAATAACTTTGGCTTCAAAATACCACTTACTTTTTTGTGATTAAGTATCAAATATATTATTGTTATTAAATTTAATTCTATGAAAACCTGTAAAATGTTTTTAGTTACAAACATTTTATTTGCATCTTATACAACCATGTCCTTAGACAAAATATGATAAACCTTGTCAATTTTTTTTTTATATAACACGATGCCTAAAGATAATAAGTCTCTTATTCATTTTAATTAATAAAAGTTAGTTAACTGCCAAATAGGAATCGATGTCTTAAAATCCTAGTTAGTAAGAGATTAGCTTTTAATTCTACATAATTTCATGATTCAAAATTTCATATTCCTAGGAAATAGTTCTACAGATTATATTATAGTCGTAAGATATCTATTGCATGATATCATATTTGAATAATGATAGAGAGAATAGTGTCATAGTTACAACATTTAAAGTGATATATATTTAGTACTACTTACATTTCGGATTTCGGTATTCGTAATTATGACAGAAGAACTTTCATCCTTATTGTAACTTAATCAAAATCCTTAATCATCTTAATCATCCTTATCGTAACTTCATTCTCTACCTACTTCATGAGTTTTACTTTACACCATTTGAAAATAAAAATAAAAAACTCTTTACTCATTACTCAGCAGATTTTTAATGACGCAGATGACTGCCACATAATTTTACAAAAAATTTATTCGTGATACGTTTTGTGATCTTCATATAAAAAATTCTATGGGGTTAAACAAAATTCACTTAATTAAATTAAGTATAAAGGTCTAAATGATTCTAAATATTCAATTTAAAATATCGTACGGTGGTTTTCAATTCGTAAACGTATTAATTATCATCACTTAGTGATATAAAATTATAGTAACGTATATTTACTTTCACAAAGATAATTTTCTTATATTCTCAAACCTAATTTTATTATGCCTATTAATAGGCAATGGACGGAATTTAATTTCAAACTATTAAAATATAAACTGAAATCTAGCATAGTGTCCTGCCAGGGAAACCTATCTTTTTATTTTAATAATTACAAGTCACTATTTCATGTTATTGAATATTACTTTCTTTCATTCACTAATATCATTAAAAAAATATGCGTCTGAAGCGATAAGACATCTGTGAAATTTGTCATACTATATAGCATTTTCGAGACTAACGTTTATTTCTACATTAGAATCATAATGAATTATTATTGTCTCTCTTAATATATAAAATGACATTCAATAGGTACCTATGTTTGGCAAATAGGTAACCATGTAGGTGCATAATATCAAAATAATACAAACGTCATGTACAATGTGCCAAAATCGTAGATTCCTTAAAATCGTATAACACAGTGGCGTTACCTGCTATACCTAGGGTACATAACATTTATGTAAGTAAATTGAACTACATTAATGATTTCAGAATAAAATTCATAAAAGTGTGTATCAATTTGATAGTACTTATTCCAATAATTAGCTCTTCGGAATACATTGTGTGTTAGAATTATCACGTTAAATTAATTATTATAATAATCATAAAAATGCACCTAGGTAATAACCTACTTGAAATAGGTACTTAGATAAAAGATGTTTGTCATTTCAATTACATAGGTATTATAGGTATTTCATGAAATAACATTATCCAAACAAGTGTTAAGGAACAAAAATTCTGTCTAAATTAAATATAAGGCTGTGAGCCCGCCGAATAACATTTTCTGGAAATTAAAATTATTCAAGCTAGAGTTGCTGTGATACACAATTTGGCTATTAAAAACTCATAGGTTATTTATTTGTGACTGTCAATACTAAACATCTGTCTGTGAAGGAAAACTAAAATGATATAATATGATTTTAAACAACTTATTCTTTTTAGAATTAAGCAATTATAATGTCACTGTCCTTGAGGAAATAACCGAATGTTTTGATTATAATGAATCAAAATGATTGTTATTAAACTTTAAATTTCTTTTAAGTGATAGATAAGTATATTACTCAAGTTCAATTAAATATTGATAAACTGATAAATCAATTGTTTTATTATTGAAACTTATCTGGAACAAGATTTTTATTAGGAAACTATTTTGAATTGTAAAATCTGTTCAAAGTTATTTAAATAATCAGTAACAATTCTAGTGAATTAGATAAGAGAAAATGTTATGAGTATAATAAAATAAATAAAGTAAAAACATTTGCCCTCTATTATTTTTTACCTTTCCATAAAATTGGTAACGCAATTGTACACAAGTCTTGTATTGGTCATGGTAGATGTTTTGGCTTAGGGCTCTCAGTCCAAGTAGACTATACAAAGCTTCATCGGTCATAAAGCTCGTAAAACAGCTAGAACTCTGCGAGTTCGATAGAGCATGCGGACAAGCATGCATTAACGAGGGTATGCGGAACATGACATTGTTTTCCCTCGACTGTTATTCGTTTGCTGGAAGTATGGAGAACCACTCCGAAACCAGGGTGTACATTGCATACGCGATGTTTTTTCATTGTGAAGTTTCACCAAGTTTGTTTGGAGAACATGTGCAAAAGATATTCAAGCTTAAGATATTCGGGGCCACACGCAGGGTTTGTACAATAATAGTCATTTTGAAGACATTTCACTTAAAGAGTCAGGACCGTTAGGGCAACGTTGCAACGACATCTTTTTCGTGTGTAGAGAGACCTGAGTTCTATCCCCGATGGTAAATATTGTTATATATTATACCTTTACTTCTATTAAGTTTGTTTGAAGACTTTGAATAATCATCTAATACTTTAAACGAAAAATTATTGTATATACAGGGTGATTTTTAGACGAAGTACATACTTTGACATAATGTTAACTGAGCATTCCATGACTCCAAAAAAATATTAATATTTTATTTTGACCAGAAAAATATCAATTCAAACATTGTTTGTTTATCCCGTTAAGAGTGGTCACCCTATTGATAAGCGGTTTAGTAATTTATGCGTTCCGCGAAGTTTTAGTGCTGGTCAATAAATTATTATATTGAGACGGTAAGGCGGGAATTTCTTAAGGTGTCCATAATGATAAAAATTAAAAGTAATCTTTGAAAAAAAGAGAAAAATGAGGTCACAAGTAGTACGTATCAGATTCAGATTTAGAATCAAATCCTCCATATGCTCTGTTAATATGTCCGTCGTCTATAAAATCACCCTGTATAAATCATAATCAGAATCTCGGAAACGGCTCCCACGATTTTCATGTAACTTAGTTTGCAGATATGGCGATAAATCGAACTAGCGAGGTTTATCTATCTAGGCTGTTATCCTTGGTTACACCCAATAAAAAATATCATTAAAATAAATAAGTAAATTTCGCCACCGTCAACAAGGTCATAATAGCTCGGGTGGTATTCGGGTGGTCCCGATACCTGAAGAGTCCAGATTATTTGGTTGGATTATTTTTATTACTTGAACATAAATAGTCCAGATTAGACTATTTAATTTATGTTCAAGTTCCTTTTTTTGTGATAACAAAAATCCGAGAAACGCTCTGTCATCCAGATATTGTACCTTTAAACATCATTTGCCAATATTTGTGAATGCAATCAACACCCTTTAAGTGGTATGTCATCTTGTGATCCCAGATCCAGAAAGAAAAATTAAGTTTTCATTTCAAGATTAGAACCTTAATTTTCAAATAGTCAGTTTTTTTATGTTAGGAGGTTTTAGGGGTTTTAGAATTTACTCTGGAATAGAAGAAGATAGAATATAATTAGGGATAGAATTTCAATGTGGCCAACACTGCAACAAAGATACAAAAGGGGTACCAAAAAATGAGTAAAATAAAAAACGTAACATTAAATTTATAATATATTTGTAAAAAATATTTGTTAGACAAGACTAGAAAAATATTGACATATAATTTGTTTTCTTTATTAAACCTTATCACATTGAAAATTGAAACATATTTACATTCATAGCTGTTCCAATGCTTTCAAGTTACTCTATGGCATTAATTATGAAGCATTTTTAATACTTTCTTCAAGATATTTTTTCAAAGCTGGCTTGTCATATTTTGTATAAAGCTGACTAAGATATGTATACTTCAAACTAACAACTTTCATACCCAGTTTATGTAAATGTTTAATTCTTAAAATCTGAGGTCCAATCAGTGTTTTATCATCAGAACAATAATGATCAGGTAGGTGAATTAAAATTGCTATGACCTTGTTATTCTGCAGTATTACTTTCCAATTGAGGAAATCTTTTCCAAATTCAGATGTATGTAACAATACATCTACAAGATATGTTTGATCAGAGCAAAAATTTGGTACTAGCAATGCATAGGATATTTTTATAGAATCTCCTACTATAGATGTAAATATATCAGAAATTTTATCCAACATGCACTTAACTCTCTTGTCCTGTGATACTGGTTTAAGCCAATGATCTTTAGGAAGCAATGGGCCAGGGTATTCTTGTGACTCCAAAGATAAGGCAGTATCAATTAAATAAAACCGTTTCATAACATCAGGGTTATTTATTCTTTTGAGGTATTCAGAATTAAACATTTTATTCACCAATTGCAATGGTAGCTTTCCAATATAAATAAATGAGAGAGCAATCAAAGAAAAATCATCAGAATTTATTTTATCAAATTTCATCACCAACATCTTTTCAATTGTTTCCCAAAAATTATAAGTGTCAGGATTAAAATTTAAAAAGCCATAAGGATAGATAAAACTTTTCAAAAAACTTACAGGTATAAACTTAAGATTTTTAATTAAATAATCACTGCATCCATTTAATATATGTATATTTCTTATTTGAAATTGCATGCAATAATTTAATACAGTAACTATTAAAACATGAGACATAATTTTGTTTGTCTTATATTTAATATACTTTTCAACGGCTTTCTCAACTTGATTATCTGTATAGTTTAGCCGAATGAGTTTTGTAAGAACATCCAGCAGAACTTCTTCGTCTAAAGCATGAATATTCATATTAAACCAACTGGCAACAACTGCAAATGACTGATGTGAGAAGTACTTTTCCTTTAGAAAAACTTCTAAAATACCCTGCATTGATGGTATATCTATTTTATACCAAATTTCTGACAATTTATGTTCTAATAAAACAAATATTGTCCTTTTACTAGATTTCAAGCCTGGCAATATTTTAAATAAGAATTCAATGTTATTCTCATCAATTTCAGCTTCCTTTTCAATAAACCCTACCCATAGTTTATCAATTGTATCAGAATATTTAGGGTCAATCTTATTGCTTATTAAATATCTTGTAAATTCACATAATTCACTCAATGTGATGCGATTATCTATAACTCTGACAAGTAATTCATCACAAAATTTATGTTTATAAGGATCTATAACTGAAGAAACTGTTTTCAAAATGTTAAGAATAGTACATGTATCTTCAGTTTTTATAACAACTTTAAGTAATTTATCTAATATTGCTCCCTTTGCAACATTTATGTGATCGCTTTTGATATCTATGCCTATTGATGTAGGGTTCTTCTCAAGGTCATAAATACGTTCTATTGCTCCCAGCGCAATATTTGGAGTAATTTTAGTGCACTTAGTTACTAACGAAAATACATCACGTAAATCCATACACTGTTTAAACTCTGCTTGAATCAAATGATAATTTAGAGAATCACACGTACTTTGCGAAGACTTCAATTTTGGCACACTTGGAAAATCATTTATATCTTTTAGTTTCCTTATAACTATTGGAAGCTCTTGAACATTGCAACCAGTTTCTAATAGAATAGTACTATTACTCAACTCATAGCAGTTTACTTTTTCATCACTAAACCTCCGATAACTGTTTACAATACAAGTTCCAGTGGACAAAGTATTTGAATTATTGGTAATCGACACATTTTTTCTTAACTTCGAATATGTTCGCCGCAATACCAGAGACATAATGAACTCTAAGAGAAAAAGCCAACTTGAACTGACACTATTGATAAAAGTTTACAAATAGTCATTTTATCCCTGTTTTAAATTAAATAATATGAAATTATGAATATCAATATCAATTCTAAGCGGCATCAAGGTCGAATTTGATGAACGACTAGGGATGCAGAAAAAATATCCATATATCGATATATTGATATTTTTTTTAAATATATCGGTTATTTGCGCGATATATTTTGATCCGATATATTGATATAAAAAAATTGAAAATCGAAATCATTTCAAAAACGACATTTTTATTCAAACTGATTCAAAGCCGTAAAAGATAAAAATGAAAGGAAAAATGATTTATTACTAGTATTGTCGCGGATGCAGAGTTTCATTTTGTACTATAATTATGGTATTGATACTAAAATTTGATGCTTCGTACTATCCATATATTAGGTACCATTTAGAAGTGTTACAAATCATTAATATTGAACTAAATATCATGTCAATTTATAGTTAGCATGCAAAATATCAATGGCATTAACTAAAGTGTCATGAATTTAATATATAAGTGAACAAAAATTTAATTGTAATCAAATTCTCAATAATTAAATGTCACATAATATATTATCGAGTTTTCATAAAAAAATTATTTGACGTCATAAAAATTATTATCATTTAACCACATAAGTAACTTCTTAAAATTGTCGTTTTGCTTTTTCATGACAATCAAACAACTGTTATTAAATTCTATTGATCTAGGCCTGTCTTTTAGGACAAGTCTCTGCGGGTTTCTTTTTGACCATTATTAACTTCGTTTTAAACAATTCTTTATGTTTTTTTACAAAGTTACATGTTTTTTAATTAGTTATTTTTCAATTCGATTCAGGGCTAAAGAAACTGATTTATCTCACTTAATAAGCTGTTTATTTTTTTCCAATGAAGGTCTTGATAAATAACATACCTAGAAACTTAGATTAATACATGAAATTTGATTTAAATTAATAAATAATTAACGTTTTATTAAAATTTCTGATTCATTTAAATAATGTGAATTTGGTATAAAAATTAATATTACTTATTATGGAATCGGACTGAACTAAATACATTATTTTTATAAAGTGAAAATTTGACCGATATATCGATTTTTTTTCGAAATAACGAGGGCGATATGGATATTTTTATAAATATCGATATATCGTTAGTTTTTTCGACTTTCGGCATCCCTATGAACGAGAACGGAACGGCAACCAGGGTGACCATCTCAATAATGGTGAATCTGCCCGACAATAGCAAAAAATCTGCCGACTCATCCCCCAAAAATGCCAAAAATATGCCATCATATAAGACATTAATTATTGAAATAGACTTCTTTCGCATGAGGTATTTTACATCTTGCAATATCAGGATCTTCCTTAGTTTTGGAAATTCAGGAAGGAAGCAAAGGATCTTGTTCCCACTCATAACGTTACAAACGCTCGTATTTTCTCTTCATCATGTACGGAAGACAAATACACACATGAAACACCAAAAGAAAATAAGGTATAGAATCATAGAAAATTAAAAAAAAACAACAAAAATTTTACGTTGCATTAAATATTCTTAAATTTAGTATTTATTTAATAAAGCTAGGTCAGGAACATTTGAAGATATAGAAGATTTTCTAACCGACCCTTTTTCTTTGCGATCTAGTGTGATTAAGACTATTGCAATAGGCATTAATTGCAAAAATAAATACGTATTCACTTCATTGCACATACTTCATTGCATTCTAAATATGGTTACTTATAGCTATAAAAAATACCTGGTATTCCCCGATAATAAGTAACCATAAACCAATAGGGTGGCCATATTTCTTAATTAATATCACCGAGCTAAGGAAGACTATGATTGCCTCTAGCCTAAAAGGCGACGAGTCGCCATTCAGATTAGCCTAAATGGTAACAAATAATAAATGGTAACAAACGTTGGCCACACTGACCTAAACGATTAAAACTAAACAATACTGCCAGTTTACTACAATGCACACAGCCGATAAGTGAAAATATTTTTTTTCTTATCGGTGTAGTTTGCACTGCAACGAAATAGATAGGCAGTAAAATAACCATAGAGTACTTTATAGTGTAAATTAACATGTGTTTAGGAGAAATACAAATTAATTTTCTGTAAATCGTTTGCATTTTTTTTTTCCTTTAAAAAACCGTCCGACTCCGTGATTTTTTTTATAGGTACGGGATAAATTCCGAAATCTTTAACAAACGCAATGGAAAGGGACGGAATTATGGAACGGAATGGAAAAAAATATAACAAAATGTATTTTTTTGTGTAGGTGTAGTTTACTGTATGGTCTGGCTGAAGATTTAACAATTTAATTATTGTTTGCAAATTAATTTTGGGTTTTAAATAACATCATAGTAAAATTTCAGCCGTACTAAAATATTTTGAAAAAAAAAATATTTTCATTAAAAATTAGCGTCTGGCACAGATAAAACAACAATAGAAATATAAAAATAAAATAACATTTACAGATTCATATTGCAAAAAGTTCAATTAAAATAATAAAATAGAAAGAAACCTTCTTCAAATTATTTGAAAAATTGATATTTTACCTGTACAGGTACGATACGCATTACGCACTGATGAACGCAACCTCTACCGGCAGCCAGATAGCCCGTATAACGTACGGGAGAGTAAGAGAGATAACATATGTCAAAACTGGTCTACCTAAAATTCTTTTTTCCCCACGTTGCTAGCTCTCGTACTACATTAGCCTGTATTAGCTACCACTGATGACGCGAAAATCTTGTTGGTGTCATAATATTGCTGGCAGACGAAGCAGAATATTAATAATTTTTTGCAATTTTATGTAAAGGTAAACGCCACCAAATAAGCTTTTATGGTTTTTAAAGTAGGTTATATATATTATAGCGATATTTTGATGTTGGAGCTACCTTAGGCTACAGGCTACATAAGGTACTTATACCGGAAAAAATGTCGACATCAAGCTACAATGCTGGCAACACTGAACTAAAGTTGTCGTTTGTCAGTTGTGAATTGTCATAATTTAAGATCGCGTGATCGGATCGAGTTTTACTTCATACTTCATGTCATGTTAAAACTATACAGTGTTTATCACTTATGTGCTTATTACTAACTACTTCTTGTAACTATAGTTCGTTCCCTATTTTATCAAAAAGTGACTAAGTTGAATGTATGTTGCATGAAGTTTACGAATTTATACATATCTTAATGTTAATGATAATTTATTTACCGAATTAAATGATTAATTCTAATCATTTGAAAAATCCTTTACATATTACTTACCTTACTTGACTGTATTATCAGTTGTGTTTAAAGGCAATATTGCTGAATACAGAAAAACAATGTAAGTAGTTTTTATTTTTAGCTAGTAGTTAACAAGATTTCTATTTACAATAATTCTCTAATATTTGACATCATTAATATTGTATATTTAATCCTCATTCTTTATAACTCTAATGTATGTGTGAAAATAGGATTTATAATATTTTATAGTATTTTATTAAATAACAAAAAACAATACTTTAATTCTTTTAGGTAGCACAATTGTTATGATTGCATTATGGTTGACAGCCCGATTCAGAGCAATCCGACTTTGACAGTTTAGGTTAGAAGACTCTGTTCGGTTTTGTTTGGAAGGAAAGCCTTCATGGATTTTTTTTATAACCACCCAGAAATAGGTGCCCCATGTAGCGGGGCTCAGTCAACCTATCTCAAGGAAAATAGTCCCCGACCGCCTGATTCTAAACCTCCACCCCCTCCTCTTACAGGGGAGTTTACAACTTACCCCAGCCTCCCCCCCAACCTACATGTGTTACTGTATACTAAATCAATACCCTTATTACCTAAGGGCTACTCCGAATTACAAATGCGCTTAAGAGTTAGGTATCTAGTCTCAATAATAAAACAAGTAGTGCAATATAACATCAACGAAAATATATTTTATATCACAAAAAAATGATAAGAAAATGATAAATGTTTCATAATTTAGATAAGTTATCTTGTTCTTTTCTGTGTTTGCAAATACTATTACACCTAAAGTTAGCAAATTTAATTTTGAATGAATGAATGAATGTTAATACATTAAAATTATTTAATGTATTAATTTTTGGAATTATTTAATGTATAACTTTTTGGCTAATGTTATTAAAGATTTTCCTTCCATAACTTGATTCTTTTCAGATGGGTTTCACTTTGAATTGGGGTGTGGCAGGTGTTGGAATGATTACTCATGATTTTTTAACGGCCATGGCTAATCATCCTGCCAACCAACACAAGGTTATTGCACTTGCTGGGAAAGATGTTAACCGTGTGCACAGATTAGCTATGTTGCATAACATTTGCACAACATATGAAAGCTATGAGTCCCTAGCGCAAGACAATTCCATTGGTAATTACCATTGATAATTACAGCAATTACTTGGTTGTTTATTAAACTGCCCGCTTTATTAGCTTAACAGATGTGATGGTATCTATTGCACTGCAGATCTGATGCTGTTCTGCTATTTAACTGGTTTTTATTAATTATCTTGGACTTCTTTTACTTTTATTCTCAATATTTTTAGATTTGAAATGGATAGTTATATATTTTGGATGGATAGTTATTTATTAGTAATTTATATAATGAAAAAATTATACACATTACTACTGTAAATGTTCTCTGAAATGTGTTTACGCTTATGTAAAATAATTAATGATGTGAGGAAGTAAATTAAGTAATATTTCATAGATTGGCATTACAAAGCTAAAAAAATTAAAGCTTTAAAAATGGTTATTTAACAAACTGAGAAACCTGAATTGTTTATTAGTATAACCTTCTGAATTATCATAGTCCCACCAACAGAACCGGTTTATGTGATATAACTGAAAGAAATGAAAATATTATCTAACATAGCTGAAGCATCACTAGTTCATGAAATTAAGATAATAATTTTCTATGCATAGAAGTTTTAGAAACAAGTTTCTCTCCCTAGAGTTATGTCATATCACAAATTGTCAATTAATATCCATACACCTCTACTTATATGTTTGAACAATCTAAAAATTTTTATTTTATCCAAATATTATACACAATTTGTGCGGGTGCATATTTCGACATTCATTTAAGAATAAATAATTCTGTTAATCAACAAACCCACTCTACGTAAATAAACGCGAAATATCACCAATTAATGACAGTACATTTTATAATGATTTAATGAAAAGTTATTCTTGGGCTTATTAAAATAAGTACTTGTATTAAAAAAATAAAGCAATAGCATTGTTTTAATAGTTTGTCTAATTAATCAAGGTAAAGCCGGTTTATAATGGCAGCACAATACCAATTGAGTTTATTACAATGAAGCATGGACATACAGTAACCTCACCCATAAATTGTAAATGATCTGTCCTACTTATGTAATAGTGGAAGAAAACAAACATTTTTTCAATCTAATATTAAGGTATATAGTAAAAGGCCATAACAGGAACAAGAATATCATGTCTATTTATTTACAGACATAGTTTTCGTCAGTGTTATGAACTTACAACATTATGATGTAGCTAAATTAATGTTAGAGAATGGTAAACACGTGCTCTGCGAAAAGCCTATGGGAATGACGTACAAACAAACAAAATCCTTGGTGGATTTAGCACGCGAAAGGAAAGTATTCCTTCTCGAGGGAATGTGGTCAAGGTTCTTCCCCGCTTACGAAGCTTTAGATAAACACATATCCTCTGGTGGGCTTGGGGACGTATATCATGTAAACGTGCAGTTCGGGGTTGAGATTAACGACCTTGAAAGGAACCTGTAAGATATGTTCACTCTTGCTTATATCCACCATTTCCTCTTCATTAAAATTATTTATTTTTATCCGACCCTCCTCTTCTTCTTTTCCTTCGAACGGCAACCGTGACACTGAAACATTCACATCATTTCATATCCTTCAGCGCTTGATTGATATCTTTAATCTTCAACCTAACCCCCGGCATCAATTTTCCGCGGGAACTTTCCAGAATGAGGGACTTGGGGGGCGGTGCGGTTATGGACTTAGGGGTTTACATGTTGCAACTAGTTCAGTTCGTGTACAAGGAGCCGCCGATCGATATCATGTGCACAGGGCACCTGAGTAAGGCTGGCGTCGATGAGTCGCTCTCCTGCGCCCTTAAGTACAAGGACGGAAGGATCGCCACCATATCGGCCCACACTCGCACCAACATGACTAACAGGGCTGAGATCACGGGAACCAAGGGTACTATTACGGTTAGTATGGTACCCAGCTTAGTCTGCCATGCTGTAGCACCTTCATTCAAATGCTCGACGTCTGCCCTCGCTATCTCACTTTAAACTAAGAGCAAACTCAAATAACGGCTTAAGCGCTTTTGACCATTTAATTAAATCAACCTTACCTTTAGTTTCCATATCGTATATTAGCCACAAATAATTAATAGAAATGTAAATACGAAAAAAACAACTTACTGATAAATTTAAATACAATTTAAAAAGTCTTTAAGATATTTGTGTAAGCTGACGTTCTCGCCCATCTACCTTCTTATAGATAGGTTCCACTGAAAATCAGCTTTCATGAAGTTATTAAACTTCGTGAATTTAACGCTGAGTGGAAACCTTTTTGGTGCACCAATAAGCATAAAATATTTTTTTTTTCTCTTTCTAACTAAATTACTGTGTTTATGTCTTTTATGTATTTTTTATTTTCTTTTTGTTTATGTACCAAATAAATATTTTCTTTCTTTCTTTCTTTCTTTCAAAAAACCAATGCTGCCAAGAAAATATTCCCCATATTTAAATATAAATTTTTGAACCGATTTGCAATATCGTGTCGTAATGTCATAAATAGTTTACATAATTTCAATCGTATGAATGTCTCAATGTTATTTTTTTTACATTAACACTGTGGCGTCAATTTACTCGAAGTTTAATCCTTAATCATTTCCCTACGAAATCGCAAAATATTATCAAAGAGGAAGATAGTCCACAATGTGCTGCTTCTTATAGCTTATATACCCGTCGGATTTATCCATTTGAAATAATAAACAAACCGACAACAACACGTAATACTATGTATAAACAAGTGTAGAGAATATCGTGACTAAAATCACACCGTACTGTTCATGAAAAAAATAAACGAGGTATTAACTTTGATTTCAACATAATCAAATCAAGGTAAAGAGATACTAAGCTAAGGTGATAACATCTGTAAATATAGTATAGTGCTCAACATCATCTTACATTTAAACGACATAATTATGTACTTTTGCTTTGACTGATGTTTTTGCCTTCAGTTCTTTGACTATTAAACCTTCATCGAACGCACAACTCGTGAGCTAGCCTGAACCCACGAGCTTGACGATGACAATTCAGTCTGTCCAGTCACCACGAACGCTGGAATAGGTTGGAAACGTCGGAAATTTAAAAATGACATTGAAATGCGATAAAATGTATAAAATAGTTTCCATTAACCATGTATAATGTTCGCGTAAAAACATGAAATCAGTACAAGATGTAAATCTGTGTTAAGAAGGGATTATGTTGTATATAAGATCGTTTAAAAGGTTCCCCGCTCTTACAGCTGGACTATTTCTGGTGTCCGACGACCCTGCAGATTTCCGCTGCGAACAACACGGAATGGACGCTGCCCAAAGGGAAATTCAACTACCACTTTCACAATAGCGCCGGTCTAAGCTACGAAATACAGGAATGCTGGGACTGCTTGGCCAACGGTGTATATTTCGTTATTTTAAACCCAAGCCGATACGAAACAATCGAGGGCTAACAACATTTTATTGAGTTATCCAATTTTTCTGCAATGTCTCCTATTGCTGCCAATAACATTGATGTTCATAATTTATTATTGACTTAAACATGAATTTTAGGAGATATAGTATAGAATAATTATCGGCTGCCGGATTCGAACCTATATCTTTCTCTTAATCCTACACGGTCTAACCAACCGACGTAGCCGCTTAACTTACTTTCTCACTATCAAGTGAGAAGTTACAGCATATTAATATATGCCCTACTTAGCAAAAATGTCGACATCTATTTACATTCCTTATTGCATCTTGGCGCTAAGCATTGCTATAAATGCAAGTTATGTAATGCAAAAACTAGAACATAAAAATAAATCTGTTATTGTTTTGTTTGGACACGTAAATGTCTGACTATATAAGTAGAGGAAACCTCCATAATTTAATGTAATAATATACATTGTTATACGCGTTAGATTACAATTTGATTAGAGTCTGGTAATCAATAAATTTTGTTGATATCAGTTACTTTTTTCAGGGTCGCTGGAAAGTCAAAAGATGACATTAGACGAGAGTATTTTGCTTTCGAAAATAGCAGACACTATGAGAGCGCAATTGGGAGTATTGGACGTAGAGCTTTAAAGGACACAACAAATTCCAAATGTACTTTGCCAGTATTAATAATAGTTTGCATAGTTTTTAATTATTAATGCGGTTTGAACAACAACAAACATATAGGCATAGCTTCGTATACGCGCGAATATATATAATTTATACAAGTAAATATATACATATATGTTAATATATACCGACCAAGTATTTTACCTCGACTAACTGTGATCCGTAGAGTTGTGAAATAATATTTACTGCTTTTTTGAATTCTACACGAGATTTACTGTATTTCACGTATTCTGTTTACTAAACACTCGACACGTTGTGTAATATATTAGCTTATTTATTTATGAATATGTTGGTATTAAATGATTGATTTATGTCTAGCGCATTTTATTTTCATTTTTTGGACAAATATACATTTTAGTCAGTTGTACGCAAAATGAAGGATGAGTAAATCCGGAAAAAACAATACAATCGACCAGTTAATTCTGTCTGGCTTATACGCTGTTTTGTGTTTTTAACCACCACTTGTAAGGGTCTGTCATTTGATCTAAACAAACAGTTTTCAGATAAATTTTGTGTGTGTACAAATGGAGAATTATTTGGATACAATTTTTTTTTTTTTAAATTAAGATTCACAAATTCAAAAAATGTATTTGAATTCGAAACCTTGTTCGGATTTAAGACGTGTGTACAGGACAACTGTCTGTTGGGTCCGCTAGTACTTAATAAGATTTCACTCATTTGCCTCCTTTCCTTCTGTCTTCCTTGAAAGTTCTATATCTCATGTGTCATTCGACCGCAGAATATTCAGCGCATTGCCGAAGTGGATTTAATGGGTTTTAGAAAAATTGCTCTTCCTGGCGGCTCTAGTAACTACATATTAACTGATTTTATAACATGGTGTGTGTCGAACTCGAGCTATACCTGAGATACCTAGTACATGTATCATAAGGAGTTATAACTTATAATCAATGTCGAATATCTAACCAACTTGTGACTAAAACAAGGTCACGTCAAGCTTGCATATATGTACAAAAACGCAAGGTCTACGTTTATACATGGGAGAAATGCAGCAAAAAGGGTGAATAGGTCGACGCAAATGGATCGTAAGCGAAAGGTATCTGATGCGACGATCCGTGATAAGATATAGGTAGGTGTGATATCACGGCTTTCTTTACAAATTGGTGGTTCATTATTACAATGGAGTTATATGGTAAAAATTCATACTCAATGAATTTTGTTTTTCGCTGTTATGACAACAAGAGGGTCATCAGAGGCTTCAATTGGCATTTGTTTAATATGCCCCACGCCTTACTTCTGTGTATTCGTGGTTCGAAGAGTTAAGACGTGGACGCGGATCATCTCCATGGCGATGTACCTCTATGAAGGGTGCTCGTTCACCACGATGACGAGTCTGCTCCAGTGCCGGATTAAGCAAACGCGGGGCCCGTAGCATATTCTTTCAATCAGCCCTTGACCTGCTATGGGTTCTTAAGTATAAATTAGTAAAAAAAAGATAGGTGGATTTAAATTTAAATATGCGGGGAACCCTATGGCACGGGGCCCATAGCGATTGCTACTCTTGCTGCGTGGTTAATTCGGCAATGATCCACTCATATGTTTAACGATTGCGTAGTTAATTCTTGATTGTAAAACTGATAATGTATGCGCTATACAGCCCTGACGTCGCACTTTGTGATTTATTTTTATTTACACTTAGGTTTAGAATTTTACAATTTACAATCGCGGAAGCGCCGATGAATACGCTTTACGAAACCGTTGAAAAGGTCCCTTCTAAAGACTAACACTGCTTCCACCACGATCGTTCCATCAAAGGCAAATGTTGTATAAATAGTGAAGTATATCTTCGAAAAAGAATAAATATATTATATACATATCGTGGTTATAAGTACAGACACAGTATGGAACACGAGTGCCATCTAACGGCGCTCTATAGAGTCTATAACGACATATGTGCTCATTTAGATTTACGTACAATTTATATATTAAATATGAGGTAGATATGACCTAGCGCACCGAAATGAAGCACTCAAATTACGCCAATTGTTGTAATTAGATTGCATTCTATAGTTTGCTATCTCTTTCCGTTATCATACGTTATATGTCATCAGTCAAATTTACTTACATACGTTACATAATGTAAAGCAAAACAATTTTTAAACGCCGTGCAGTATGGATCTGCGTCATTTTTAATAAAATATCATTATTTACGTCGAGCAGTGATCGTATGGTTACCTCACTTCACTTTGCCTGCAGCTCTGGGTGCACAGAACAGGGTGGGCAGTACTAGGTGGACGTCTTTCAAATCTGTTTATCTTTGTTAATCAGATGTTTTAGAAATTAATTACAGTCAGATACAATGTACCAGTGATTTACTATCTGAAGCAACATATTCGCAATACGCCCAAAAAGAAAACGATGAAATCATGCACAAAATTGGCTCCAAACTCCAAATTTGGCTGCGGTGTTAATTGTGAATCGACGAACCAACGTCTAGAACACTGATACCTTAACACTCAAGAAACTTAAATATATAGCAAGATAATGTCGTTGTCACATATACTGTATTGTGCAAAATATTTCTTAATTTATAATTCAATCAATCGCCTGATAATTATTATGAATGTATTTTCCATTTTATTCATATGATTATAAGTAGACTTTTACGAAAAAAAAAAGATCTGAACAAGCAATGGGTTAACCAACTTGCAGTAGTGAACATCGTTGGAATAGAAGTGATTAGATTTGTAGTTGCGGAAGATTACTCTGCGTTCCGTACATGTACAGTGAATTTCAATAACTAGTGTAGCCGATGAATAATTGAACCCTATAACAATGGGTGAAGATCGTGTGTGGTGGTTAAGGTGAAGCCTACGTTCAAGTAAGAACTGTCGCTGGTGATAATGTCGGCAAATTTCTTCGTCTGTGGCTAGAAGTTTAATATATTTTGTTGTTATATTTAAAGGCATTTTAATGAATTAAAATTTTATTAAAATTATACACATGTTGTTTATAAAAGTTAAGAATCTAAATCTATGGTTAACGACATAATTTTCGAGAGGAGCAATAATCGAGAAATTCAAAGATAGAATTATACAAGTTAATATGAGGACTTCAATAAACTTAAAGTATACCTGCTTACAGTTAGACTGAAGGTGTAAACAGGTTTTTTTTCATAAAAATGCTTAATTGTTAATCATATTGAAACATTCATGGAGCTTTCATTTACGATTCTTGGATTAATAATTCTTTCTATTCCTTAAGATCATCTCAAGATTTCCTTCCATTAAATAAGGCATCTAACACTTGCCTTAGCCAAGCGTCTAATATTCGTCTAGTAATTTAATTTTACATGAATTTGTTACCTGGACCGTTATGTACGATCGTTGAAAATCTCGAGCTACCCGTTTCCTACGCAACCATAACATTTTCAAAGGGCAATCGCCCGTAAATGATGCGAATACATGACGAGGATAATTTAATTTACTTCTTGAAGTCCTCGAATACCTTCTGAATGATTCTCGCCCCTTCGCGGATCTGCTGTTCGGTGATCACTAGGGGCGGGGCCAGCCGGATCGTTTGACCGTGAGTGGGCTTCGTGATCAAGCCTGCGTCGCGGAGACGCAAGCACACTTCGTATGCCGGTATACCTGGACAAAGTGGAAGCATAAGCCGCGTTGACTTAAAAAAAAACAACTTTTTTTTATTGAAGTTACTACTTATTGAATAAAAATAATGAGAGTAAAATTTTTGCGAGACAGCCAAAGAGCGATACGATGAAGTTGTTTCGATTCGCGATTGCACGATTTCGCGGTGTTACCATGGCAACCAATGACAACTTTTTGACGTTTTACGTACAATTCCATGTTATTTAAATAAATAAATAAAAAATATCTTTATTCACATAGACGCTTGCGCGTTCTTATGAAACGTCAAAATTTTACAAGAAATGAACACGTTCGTAAGTTACCACCGGTTCGGAAAGCAGTTTCTGTTGAGAAGAAACCGGCAAGAAACTCAACAGTTGCTCTTTTTAAAAAAAATATCAGTTTACAATATAATAGTACATGTACAATAGTCTTGTTTTAGCCTACGTGAGTATCAACAGTATTAACCCCACACATTGGCGTCGTCAAGATATTCAGCAATAGAATAATAGGCTTTAGCCATAAGTTTACTTTTAATTTTTCGTTTAAATTCATCAAGTGGCAGACTTAATATCGACTGTGGGATTTTATTATACATGCGCACACCTTGCCCCATGAACGACCTGTTTACTTTTTGTAAACGAAACAATGGCGTAGTTAGTTTGTCCTTATTTCTAGTATTTAGTTTATGTCTGTCACTATTCTTTAGATAACTATTAATATTATTTTTAACATACAAAATGTTACAATAAATATATTGAGACGCAACAGTGAGTATATTAATCTCTTTAAAAAGGTCTCTGAGTGTATTCCGGGCTCCGATGTTATAAATTGCTCGGACAGCTCTTTTTTGAAGAATAAATATAGAATTTATATCAGATGCACTACCCCACAACAAAATGCCGTAAGACAAGATGCTGTGGAAATAACTGAAATAAACAAGTCTGGCAGTGTCGATGTCTGATAGCTGCCTAACCTTCCTAACTGCAAAAACAGCGGAGCTTAACCTGTTCGCAAGAGATGATAGATGGGGACTCCATTGGAGCTTTGAATCCACTGTAATTCCCAAGAATACAGCGGACTCAACAGGATTAAGGGTTACGCTATTTAATGTTAAGCTAAAACTTCGCCTTCTTACGCTGGGAAGGGTAAAAAGAAGGCATTTAGTTTTTTTAGCATTTAACACCATATTATTAACGGTAAACCAGTGGAGGATACGCGAAAGTGCACTATTCACGTCGTCATAATCCGACACGTTTCGGTCAACCTTAAAAATGAGCGATGTGTCGTCAGCAAACAGTACAATATCACATAACTCACTGGCATAAAAGGGGAGATCATTTATATACACTAAGAATAATAATGGACCCAAGATTGATCCTTGTGGGACACCCATTTTCATGGGGGACCCTGTGGAATTTACATCATTTATAGATACTTTTTGAATTCTATTATTAAGGTAAGAGGCAATGAGATTGAGGGCGATGTGACGAATGCCATAATAATCTAACTTTTGAAGGAGGGTTTCGTGGTCTACACAGTCGAAAGCCTTTGAAAGGTCGCAAAAGACACCTATTGCATCTTGTGACCTTTCCCAGGCGTTATAAATATGCTTGACAAGTGCGACACCCGCATCCGTTGTCGATCTGCCTTTAGTGAATCCATATTGCTCATTGTGGAAAATTTTGTTCATATTAAAATGTACTAAGAGTTGATTTAAAATTAGTTTTTCAAAAATTTTACTCAGAGATGGCAATATGGAGATAGGTCTGTAATTTCCTGGATCATTTTTATCCCCACTTTTGAAAACGGGGATTATCTTACTGAATTTCATAAGATCTGGAAATATTCCAGAATCTATACATTTGTTAAAAATATTTGCCAAATATGGTGCAATATACGGCATTATTGTACTCATTAATTTTATGGACATGCCCCACAAATCTCCTGTATTTTTAAGATTAATAGAATTCAAAACTTTTATAATATCATTAGTATCTATGTGATTAAATTTAAACGTTTGTCGACAATAGGTAACATTATTTTTTAATACATTAATTGCATCAATGGGAGAGGATTTTAACGTGCATGTAACATTAATTGCAATTTCTGAAAAATAACTTTCAAAACTACTTGCAATTTCGTTATCTGAAGTTATGGGTGTATTGCCTATCACTAGCTTTATAGGTTCCCTGAATTTCTTGGGTCTTCCAGATATACAGGTAATGATGTCCCATGTAGCTTTTATTTTATTACTAGAATTTAAAATCCTATTTCTTATGTAGATAGATTTTGCATGTATACAGACTTTTTTAAATATTTTTGAAAAATTTTGTACCCGTTTATGGAAATTAGGGTCGTGATTCCACTGCCTCATATTATATAATTCATACAGTTAATTTGACCGTTATATTCTGTTAACCCATCTTGTACAATTATATCGGAACATGGACATCGTGAAATATATGAGTTCGTTCAAGATTCCCAGTAACACACATAGAGCCAAAAGTTTCTCATCGTCCAAGTATTCAAAAATATGAAACACTATGAAAATTAACCCTATCTCTATATATTTGAGGTACTCTTTGAAATACGGTTCCTCTGTTAAAAATACCTAAGCCAAACTGAAATTAATTTATTAATTCACGAAATATTGACGCATTCTTTATACCAAACAAAGCAATATTTTTCAGAAATTAGTTAATTAACTATGAAGTTCTGAATATGATTTAAGTACTACATTTTTAAAATTTTTGTCTTTCATCACTTGGGTTCGACTGTTCTCAAGACATATTTACGTACTAAAGTTGGAAACTTGTAATTGGCTCTTTATATATGTTATGATATTCTTTTAAAATAAGTACATAACAGCTGTAAGTTTTCCAAATAAAATAAGTGAGGAAGGAAGCACTATTTCTCACGACTTTGAGGTATACGTCCCAGTGAACTATTGTATTTTTAGTGTTATAAGTATAATAGTTTATGAAAAAGATAAAACTAACTGTCGTCCACAACAATGGCGAACATAAGACCACGGCCTCTGACTAAGTTGACCTTCGACTTTGGAATCTTCTCCAGTTCCGAACGAAACACGGCCTCCAGTCTCGCAGCATTCTCGCAGAGTTTCTCTTCCAGTAGCACCTTAGTGAAAGATTAAACTACATTTATTCAAATGGTATTACAATTTTGTCTTCCATAGCCTAAAGAACATTATGAATATTTTTGATTTTATCGATGCAGAGTTATCACTTGCAAATGTTCTTATGCCACCAAAACCCATTGAAGCTACGAAAACTGATTTCAAATTGAATTGCTCAATGTAAACTAACCACGGTTTTTATATTGAGTTTTTTGTGTTATCTTCAAAATATTAAGTACAAACACCCCGAAGACTTAGTAAGAATAAAATAAAATTCCGCTTGCAAATGTTCATCTTACGGAATGTTCATCTCATGGAATTTACGATATATCGTAACTTCCATGAGTTTCAGTAGAAGATTTATTTTATTCTTATTAAGTCTTCGGGGTGATTTCAAATTGAATTGCGTAAAATAAAATACTATACATGTTTTAAATATTGACTTCCTTGTCGTCTTCAAAATATTAGTTCTGGGTAAGAATCGAACGTATAACCGCGCCGAAGTCATAGATTTAATAAAATGACAATCAAGCGCAAGAACATTCAATATCCCAATGCGAAAAATACATAGTGACTTCTTACCTTAATCGCTTCGGTGGCGACGGCACAGGCCATAGGGTTTCCGCCGTACGTGGATCCATGTGTTCCGGGTTTAATTACCTGTAAAGTATCGGATAGTATTTAAAAGTCCTAGCAATTATTACATATTCTATGTAGAATCGATTGTCTCTGCAATATATAATATTTATTTTAGGTCTTTAAAAACAAACGATATCACTATATCGAACTTTAGTGTCAACGAACTCTATCCAAACGCAATTCTTCACGGACTTCGCCCGCATAACGTCTTTGCGACCCGGTCGAGTAAAAGAAAGAAAATACTCCCAACCGGTGACTGTCAGAGACCGGTGACGGTGTGACAACACCGTCACCGGTCTCAGTAACACTAGACGTATGTACATGATGACGAACAAATAACATAGTTCGCCCTTGCCTACGAAACACCCACGTTCTCTGGAGTTTTTCACCACACTCAGCGACCGATTAACAATACGTTCGAACTCTCAGGCGTGGGAGATGTCCATGAGCAAGTTACTTTACTCGAGGTGAACCACTTGTTCGCTTCCCAATTCTTCACATGTAAAAATTATAACTTACTTGTTAGTTGAATTGAAAGTCTAAAAAATCCAGTGATTCCGACCAGCTATGAATTTGGAAAACTCACATTGGGTTTGGGTCAGCTTTTGAAAACGCGGAACCGGGTTACCTCACTCACACGGTTAAAATTATCGACAAATGCATCAGAAGATACTAAGTGACTTAACCACAGATAAATTAAATGTTTTAGGACACATTCTTTTTACACAACGTTCGCTAGTCCCAAACTAAGCAATGCTTGTACTATGGGTACTAGAAAACTGATAGACATACTTAAACATACTTTTCTTTGGTAAATAAATACACATTATACATACACACAATTATTTCACTTACATCCATAACGTTGTTGTTTGTTAGAACTGCAGATACTGGCATAACACCACCACTAAGCGCCTTGCCTAGTATAACAATGTCAGGTCTGACTCCCTCGTGCTCGACAGCCAATAGTTTCCCAGTGCGACCTGTAGTGATTGGAGAAATAGATGTGGACGATATGGTCGATATTATCGATAACAACAAAAATAGAATAACGCAAATTAAACACGTCATAGAAATAGGAACTCAACATATATATGTATGAGTGATTAAGAATATGAATTGCAAAATTATGAAGTAAGGATGTGAGTTATTTAAAAAAAACTTGGGGACAGAGTTATGTAATAGACGTAAGAAGCATGTGATAATAATATTGACGAGAAGGGATAAAAAGATTGAGAAAAAAAATGATTAAATTTAGGGTGCTTTTTTGATACTGACAATAATGTTTCGTTACCGACGTATCTCACATTCCACGTTTTGCTAGTTGAATTGTGCAAGTTAAAACTGTTAAAAGAGAAGCCATAAAGAAAGAAAGAAGAAGTTAAAACTGACTTAAATTATATGAGATATAATTAATCTACTCCATCCCGTTGTCAAAATTGTAGTAATTATTTTTTTACTGATCTAATATTCCTTCGCCTCCATAATTGTTCACAATTCACTGCAATCAAAGTGTTTATGTATCATTCTTGTATTTGTTATGATATTTATATGTGGCTGGTACCTAAGCCAGTTTGCACTTCATCGGCGATCCAGAGCACGTTGTATTTGGTGCACAGCTCCCTGACTTTCTTCAGATAACCTGCATCCGGGATAACCACTCCAGCTTCTCCCTGAATCGGCTCCACCATAAAAGCCGCGACGTTTGGATCTTGTAAGGCTTTCTGAAATACGTTATGGTACGGTGGTAGGGCCACGCAGCAGCCTCGGCTATTGCACGAATGGGCAGGCCCGTCCGGGTAAGTACCGCGACCTCACAGAAGACATGCATAAAGTGGAAGAATGACAAATACTTTCGCGTTCGTCTGGTGAGTGTACGCATCTGTAACCCTCGGGTGTAGCAGATGTCCAGGGGCGGCGGTATTCACTTACCATCAGGTGAACCGTCTGCTCGTTTGGCAACTTTTCACATAAAAAAAATCCTTTATGTACACGATATCCTTTAATACATCTTAATTATTAAGTGTAATAAACATGTTTCTACATTATTTTGTTTTTATTTTTTTAACTTTTTCTAATTTATATTGTTTATCAACTTATGTGAATGTCCACCAAAACCCAATGGACCACAAAGAACAGAAGTAATACGTAATTGACATTCAACAATGACGATTTAGATTAAGATTTATAATAAATAAAAAAAAATATTTCAATGATTGAATGATTATTATGAATTTGTTATTAACTAACCTCTAGAGCGGGAACGTCATTGTATGGAATCAGTTCGAGGCACGGCATAAAAGGGCCGAAGCCTTCGTAGCAAGTGGGATCTGACGACGACGAAACTGCCGATAGAGTGCGACCCCAGAAATTTCCCTCGGCGAAAATTATCTAAAAATGCCAATAAGGGTTATTCGTGCAATATATGTAGGTAATAAACATATCTCACACAAACGTTTTTCAAAATTACTTCGGAAAACAGAGTCCAAAACAAAGCCGTAGAAAGAAACTGAGGAACTGATTTATCTCTATATCGTGCATAAGTATTATGTATCTCTATTTTGAATGGCTATGAATAAAATTTGGAGTGAAGACAAGCTTTTTATAAGTGAAAATATCAAGGGATTACATTATCATTAAACTTTTTAATAAAAACATGCAAACGAAAAATCTGATATAAGGTATAGTATAAGATTCACAAAAAATCAGATCAAAGACAAATCATACGAAAATTTACTTTTGCCAAAATTTACCTTAACAAATTACCTCTCTTGACTAAATTATTGCATCATTATTCTATGCAACAATTCCTCGCCAATAGAATATTTGTATCATCGCATGATAAATCGTATCAAAACATAAATGCAGTAGCTATAGTTTTAGCAGATATCTAAACTACAAATATATCAATAAACAATTGCCCCTATGTTATATGACCTTAACTCGTCATTCAGCTGTGAATTCTAGCAGCTTTCGTGAACACGAGACAACTTAAATGCTTCAAAGTATTCGAAACGACGGGAATTTAATATCCAAATAGACGTCCAATATCCGTAAAAGTAGTCATTCAATAACGAATAATAATTTAATAGAAGAATAATTTGTTCATTCGAGTTTCTGTGTTCGCGTAAATAAAAGAGAATATTATAAATACATGACTGTACCTTCGCTTGATTCTTCGGTATCTTCTTGACCTCGTAGCCCCATTTACGTGCGATCTTGCACGCGCTCTCGCCGCCCTCGACGCCCGTGTTCATCGGCAGCAATCGGTCGTAACCAAGGAGTTCCGTCATGTACTTCTCGTATTTTCCGAGCTGGTCCGAATAGAAGGCCCTGAAAGTCATGTCTGTACCTATGATTTGTGAGATTATTTATGCCATTTGCTGATTACGAGCATCGACATTTTTGAAATAACTACTCAACTTATTCTTGCGGCTGGTGATACGACGGTCGCTTCTTTTTTCGCAAAAGATTAAAACTAATCAGCGAGGTAATGCAGAATGCAGAATGCTAGCGTTTTGGGCACCACATGGTGTGGGTATTATTTATTTCTGCTTCATTCAGTTTCTTGGAAACAATCTGACCCACAACCCTTATTTAGGCTTGTGTCATAGATATAGAAAAAAATATTTCTGCTACCTTATTGCTTGCTCGACAAATCAAACCAATGACAAAACTACCACCTATTGCGTTCATATCATGCGTTTCACTATACTTACCAGCCTTACAATACTATATACGCAAAGTGCTAACATAAAAACCAACCAGTCCATACAAAACCAATTGGAGAACGACGTAACCAATACAACTCGTGGACGAGATACTATCGCGTTCCAGGGTGATTGTCCCACTTCAAGGTCCAATTTGTAACGATTAAAAAAATTAACGACCAGCGGGGCCAAGCTGTTGACCGAACTCTAACGGCTCATCAGTGACTAGTATTGTCGTCACCATACATACTATGTAACACACGATAATGGTATCTGGCTATTCCAATAATTCTGCACTCGACGAAGATTAGCTTATCGAGTTACATGTTCTCCAGAACATTTCACTCGAATTAAAATCGGTATCTACACGGACCTGGATACGAGCGTCAGTTTCTCAGCTTGCTGCTTAAGCGCCTGGACAATCCTGGGGTGGCAGTGTCCCTGGTTCACAGCTGAGTAGGCGCTCAAGAAGTCGAAGTAGCGGCGACCTTCGACATCCCATACGAACACACCTGAAAGTAACTCCGGTATTAACTGCAATGTGGTGTGTAAAAATCACTATGGAAAAGCCTGCAGCGGCTCCTGATACCGAACAGAATCGAACCGTGCAAAACTCAGACGCCTCCTTCTAAAGGTCAAAGATTTAGTATCGAAACACTGGCGAAAACAACAACAGAACATAAAAGTATTTAAAACCTTTGTAATATAACCTCAGGAAGTACCTGAGTAGGTACTACTCGGACCTTGCTTTTTTTGTTTCTCAAGTAAAGTTAGATAAAATAAGTAAATATGTTTGCTCGACGTCGCAAATCTAGCGACAGCAAGCCTCTAAATACACATCACACAGGCGAAAATCACATCGTAAGGTGCGGTGGAAGTGTCTGTTATACTATACTTTCCGACCGATACCGAACAGAATCGAACCGTGCAAAACTCAGACACTTCCTTCTAGAGGTCAAAGATTTAGTATAGAAACACTGGCGAAAACAACACAACGCGTGCACAAAGAACACCCGAGTTCCAGAGCGGATCACTCCGCCATTAGCCACCAATTAATACGCGTCCCTACACTAAAGCGGAGGGACGTATGAAGCTCGTGGGCGTCTACGAAATTAAAAAAAAAATATAAATCTTTATTGAGAAAAACCTTGTCATGTAATGACTAATACTATCTTACTGATCAGTGTTACGTTGTCATATAATACGTTATTTATTAAGTATTCCAATCTACACAAAATCAACATAATCATTTAAAGAGGCATATCTAAGTATGAGTCAGGTTTCATCGATTTAAGCTTATTGTAGCGAAAAATTTGTAAGCTGAACGCTTTTTATGTTACCACTCGTTATTACAACATAAAAGTATTTAAAATAAGCACCTTTATAATATCTACTTCCTGAGTAGGTACTACATTATATATTACACAATTGCAAAAACTTAAATATTTCTTAGACGAGTAGAAATCCGGACCTCTGTTTTTTTTTTGTTTCTCAAGTAAAGTTAGAGAAAATAACTAAAGAATCAACTTGACTTGACTAAGAAGTTGACTTGATCACAAAGTCAATGATAAACTCCATTGACAACTGTCTTATTCAGTAATCTTGCTCCGACCTTTAATAAAACACTTATGTAAACAATCTTTTCCAATAAATATAAGTGATAAAAAGATATAAGCTTTAATCATTATACATCATGTTATTCTAATCATTACAATATTATCTCTTCGTCAAAATAATAAATGAGTTTTTGTATGTCACGGTGGTAGGGCCACGCAGCAGATTGGCTGTTGCACGAATGAGCAGGCTCGTCCGGGTAAGTAGCACGACCTCACAGAAGACCGGCGTTTCGTCTGGTGAGTGAGGTGGCCGGAGCCCTATTTTCAAAAGGTTGTCAACGCATCTGGAACGCTCGGGTGTGTTTATGGGCGGCGATATTCACTTAACATCAGGTGAACCGTCTGCTCGTTTGACAACTTTTCACATTAAAAAAAATACATATATATCTCTTAATAAAATGATTACAATTAGGAATGAAATTTTAATTATAAAACTTGGAATTTTATTTAGATGTCTAAAAGTTGTTATTAGTCGCTTAGTCTCGCTTTTTGGATGTCGGTGTACACGCGCAACGTCAAAATTTACCCCTCATAATGTTTTCCAAATGCACAAAAAGAAGTATAAGTTCAAAAACCTAATTGGAACATGAATGAAAACATCTTGACTATTTATTACAGCCACCTTATCTCCATTAGTTAAGTAAGTTTACTAACACTACGCTTGTTCTGTTTCATTTGATTTGAGGAGCATCGGAACAAAAATCGGTAAATCACATTTTAAAAGTTTTGGTAGTTTACGTACATATCTATAGCCATCTTGTATCAAATCTATTTATAAAATGACCAAATCGTCTTTCTCGAAACACATTAATCTAAACATAAACCGATAAATAAATCGAATTGTTTAATGTTTAGAACATAAACCGACAAAGCCATAGAAATTTTCATGGGCCATGCATTTGATTTGTTGAAAACCGACAAATCCATATCCAAAGATTTATAAGACAGGGGGAAGTTTTATTCCTGGGTCAAGATTGAAGTTTAAAGAATCTCAAAAATCATAGAAATACTTTATAAAAAAATTAGGAATGCGAGAATTAAAACGAATACATATAAAAATTTTGATGTTAATCAAGTATCTTCTGATCAAAAACCGATAAATCCATTTTGTTTTTTAAATTTCTCATCACGTACTTCATATATAAATCTGATTTGGATATCCAAACAGTGTTACTTTGTAAACTTTGTTTATCTCTAAATTGAAAATCCATGGACTTGTGTATTATTTTTTAATTGCCCGAAAAAATATAATATGTGATATATCGTTTTTTGTTCCGACGCTCCTCATTTATCGTGACATCTTGTGTGGCATGAGACACAAATAACAAATGCGATATATTTCATCATGCTCTGAGTTTGTTACTAACACTTTTATCACAGAAGTTAAAAAAAGAACACGATCGTATCTATGTAAATATTGATGTTCGTCTTCAGCTTCGTACCTTGACTCGTACTGAATACCCTTCTAGAGAATTCATTTGTGAGTTTTCATCCTCTCGTATGTTATAATTTTTGTGTTAAGTTTTTATAGTGCTAATATAATGAAAAACAAAACCGACTTCAAATATCTCGCTCTGTATTCATTTTATAATTGATTTTCAGGAGTTCCGTATCTCCGTAGCCCAAAATTAAAATCGGTTCATTCACTCGTAAGTTCTGACAACGTAATAAACATAACAAAAAAATACAGTTGAATTGAGGATTTTTGAAGTCGATTGAAAATGGGCGAAAAGTTTTTTTTGTGTTTCAAGTACAGAGAGTTGCACTATAATGCCAAGTACGACATAATCTACGAAATCAAAAAGTTTACATCGTCTAGAGGAAAAATATATAGTACGAAGAGTAGTTTGTCATTGACGTAAATGACATTAAAATTTTTATATCATTTAGTTTTCTTCTAATTGATCTCTATAAAACAAATTGCTAGTTGTTCGATAGGATCTGTGTTACGGATTTTAATAATAAAATTCTAGAAAATTTCATTTAATTAAGTAGGTAATCAGAATTATTGTTTATTGACTTAAATTTTCAGAAATAATATATAACTCTTGCAATTTAAATTGGTGTTTTCTAGTTTTAATTACTCGTTTTTAAAGATTAAAAAACAGTTATTCCCGTTTAAAGTTTTCATTTCTATCGGCAGTCCTCGTGACCGTTTATTTTTTTTTAGGTTTAGACCAAAGCCGCTACAAATACGAAAAATACAAACGATAACAAGTAGGTATCTCATTTTTCTTTCACTTACCTTCACCACGATTTAAAGCTACCGGTAAAGGAGCATAATTTCGACAGCCGTATTTGTCCTCCAAAGCGAATACTTCCTCCGAAGAAAGTTTCTGTTCCTGCTGTGCCATGACCTGTATTTGAGTGTAATATTTACTTTTAAACCGATTTTCCTGGGCTAAATTAAACGCTGTGTTGACAGTATAATTTTACGAAATAATGGATGGTTGACTTGAAACATATTGTAATAAATAATATTTAAAATGTTTATAATATGGTAAAGCAATTTGAGCGTTTGTTGAGCGTATGTTATAACATTGGCAACATCATTTAATTGTTTATAATTAGTTATTAACGTTTACTTTTCGTCTTATGAGTTATTTGACTTACTCGTGAATTCGTGGTGTCCCATTAATTTAAATGAATGTGTTTAACTGTTAATGGAAAACGACAAACAGATAAAGCTGTGAAATCAGCTTCTGAATCTTCTTTATATTTAATACGCTGTAGTTTAAAACAGCATAATATTTCTAGCTCTTTTAAGATGCCAATTAAATCTATTAAGATATTTAATAATATCACTTTTTACACAATTTATAAGTAGCTCGTAGAAATAACAATTGTGATAAATTTACATTAATTTAATGTTAAAATTGATAAAATCGTGAATTTTAAAGTTTTATCCAAGGTTAAGGGCGTCGCAAAGTTTCGTAGATTTAGAAATTACAATTAACTAACGTTTAAATTACTCACGCTTAAATCACAAACGCACATTACTTAATGCAAGAATGTAAATCAATTACAATCTTATATAGAAAGACTTCATGATAAGAGATGTTTATGCAAATTTATTTAAGATTGTAATAACGCTTTGATATTTGATGTAAATTCAAGGAAGCATTACACAACTGCATATATTTCATAATCGCAGACCGAGACATAGAACAACAGTTATCAATGACAATACAAAGCAAATAGTGGACCCACTACCTACTGTCTGAGATAACATGTTTATAAAAAACTAACAAATTTTATCTAAATGTCAAGTCTGTCTTATAATTCCTGTCATTATTTTAATAAAGACTATCAGACTTATAATAAATAGCGAATTCTAACCTTTTCTTTCAACTAACAGAAATATATTATCAATGCCAAAAGTCAATGTCCAGTTCACTTGCCGGTTGCGATTGCGTCTAAAATTACACGACTGTGTAGCGCCAGACAATACAAATGACTGTCGGAAAATCACCACTGTATTCTCTTCTTTACATTACGTAATGCGCCCCTTTATTAACATAATTTTAGGCGGCTCCTATGTAACATGCGTATGGAATTTTACAAGGTCAATATGATAAAAATATATTAATACCGTGAACCGCTTAAATGTCCCATTCATTTATCAGTCGAATAAAACCTATAATATCATGCAAATCGTGATAGATAGGGGGGGATTTGATTAGTCCTTGAAAAGACATACCTACGAAATTGAGTAGAATCAACAGTACCATACATACAACAGTACCATTTCTGCTTATTATGTATATATATATTTATTACGATATTATATATATTACGAAGTATGTATTATATAGTAAATAAACGCATATAAACAGCATAAATAACATAATTAATATCGTTCCTACCCACATCATTTAGATAAACCTCTGTAAATTATATGTTGATAATTAGATTTAATAATATTTATTTATTAAATCACTACCGCATAATATTAGCGTACGTACGTAACAGTTCCTGCCTTGAAAGATTTCATTTGAAGAATATTAAGAGAATCCCCCTGTGCGACTGCGACCAAATGACCCATCGTTTTCGGGGACCAGACGCTCAAGCTACACCACGTTTTCTTGGGGGAGAAGAGATGAAAATAATCTCTACTCTTTCTGCTCGAAGCAATCCTAGCAGACAAAATCCGGCTACCCCTACTATTGTGTGGACTTACGTAATATCAGGTGACTCACTTCAACCCAACCTTCATAGCCCTCCACTACCATCTAGAGACGACCCTCCTAGCGTCGTCTTACTATTGTTAGGTCCGGAACGTAGTGCTCACTACGCGCTTACATCACAAGCTCTTTGCTGGTTTCCGCCGTGTGTGACATTACAGATCAGCAGATAGGAGCGTGTTCATAACATTTTTAACTATTTTTGTAAGCGACCTATATTAAGACTAGAGTCCTCTTTTTTCCCATACAAAACTATAATTTGCAGAATTAAAATAAGAAAAAAATTCTATAAAAGCAACCTATCAAATTTCATTCAAGTTACCTTTCGTGACTTTAAATAATTATTGCTCCCTTCTCGTAAATTGACTCCAGCACATCCCTAGCGATCGAAAGGCGCTGTCCCCGAATCCATTAAAACGAGGTAGTGCAACGAGAGCTCCAAATTCAATATTCATAAACAAAGTTCTGTTCTAGGCAATTCTACGATACTTCCTTATGTCTTGTTGAATTTCACACAATTTAGAAAAATCGTTGTAAGGAATTTTTGTGCTTTATCTGCTTACTTATTTAGATTAATTTATTAAAATACGCTATATTAGATTTAAGGTGACATTTGGTTACACAGGTAAAAAAATACACATTCTTCATTTTATTACATATACCTACTATATACTGAGCTTCTTTGTATCCTTTCTCTGCGGCACGGTTTGCTTCTTACAGAATAATCCTTGTCATCAGGGAATGGAACTTTTTATTCCGTTTACTGAGGTTCGCAATGCAAGGTAGCATTTTGCCTTAAGCAGTAATGTTATCGGGCCAGGAGTATCGGCAGCTTCTCGGGATATAAATTCCACTCACCTTAAACAATAAATGAGTACAACTTTTCCTTCAAAAGAGTCGTCGTATTAGGAAGGTCAAAGCATATTGGCAGAATTGGATTATTCGCCTTCCTTCGGGAACATGTGTAGTCTGGTCTCTCGCCGTAGCTGTTTTCAGGAAATTTCTGTATGTCATCCTTACCATCTCCACAGTGGTGATGACTCGTTGGCATACACCGCAAAAGAGAAAGCCGACTATTTCGGTACTACTTTTACGTCTGACTCGTTGGATGATAAGGAGAACACACCATCTAACATCCCGTGGTGTTAGCATGCAATGCCAGACATCAGGTTTCTACTAAGTTGAGAGGAGTCCTTACTCTATGCATAAAATAATATTCTCAAAGTAAAGAAACCTAGCGTCTGGTACAAATACGAGTATACGGGCAAATGAAGTGACACCCGTGGGTGAACAAATACTTTTACTACCTTTTCAGTCTAGAGATTCAAGAGCGTTGTGTTTGTTGTCAAAGCACAGCTTTAGAGTAAGCATGCCTGCGGCACTGGGTCATTCCATTGGAAACCTCCGAGCTCTGATATTATTCTGAGGATAGCAACCAGGTGGGAGAATGTGTGTTTCTTACCGAACTCTCACACTTATAGCTTAATGGATAAGCACCATATCTATCTTCTCCCGGAGACTAGCTCGGTCTATGTTGAAGATTTTAAGATAACTAATGTTGCTTCCAGGCACTTCTCCGTGGATGTTCATTCTGCAGATTTGAACACAACAATTTCTTCTCAGTTGGCAATGTTTGAACCAGTATTAGGTATTTTACCGTACGATTTATTTTTAATGTGAGGAAGTGGCAAACGAGCTGGCGGTTCACCTGATGTTAAGTGATAACCGCCGCCCATGAACAGTTGCAAACCCAAAGGGTTGCAGATGCGTTGCCACCTCTTAATAATGTGGGCCCCGGCTACCTCACTCACCAGACCAAACGCAGAAATGCAACACTACTACTTTACGCCGGTTTTCTATGAGGTCGTGGTACTGACCCGGACGGACGTGCCCATTCGTGCAACGGCGAACACTGTTGCGTGGTCCTACCACCTATTATTTCTACCACCTATTACATTTATTTATTGATTTATTACCTAGCTGAAACTATATAGTAAATGTGGATGGAAGTTTAACATTTTCGCGATTCATCTTGCGAGTGAATTAATCAGGAGCCTCTTTTTTAATGGTAGATATTAATGCGCGGCGGTATTAACTAATCAGTTGATTCACCTGTTGAATACCGAATGCTCCCTTGCCATGAAAGGATTTAACAATAGATGCGCCAAGCATTGCTTCAAATGCTAAATAACAATGTAGAAAGAAGGCGTTAAGATTTTCGTCGTTGTGGCTATCAGCCGTTTAGCTCAGTGGCTAGAGCGTCAGGCCGCGAATGCCGAAGACGTGGGTTCGATTCCCACAGCGGCGGCAATCTTTTCGTACTTTTTCTACATGTTTTAATGTTCAATCTTAAGTGCAGAGATTAGCACACTATAAAAAAAACTTTAAAATTTATGAAAAGCAATGGCGACATCTCTCGTTCGAATTATCGTTGTAAAACGATATTCGAAATTGTTTGAATGCTGGAAAGGATATAACAATAGATGCGCCAAGCATTGCTTCAAATGCTAAATAACAATGTAGAAAGAAGGCGTTAAGATTTTCCTCGCTGTGGCTATCAGCCGTTTAGCTCAGTAGCTAGAGCGTCGCGAAAGCCGAAGACGTGGGTTCGATTCCCACAGCGGCGGCAATCTTTTCGTACTTTATTCTACATGTTTTAATGTTCAATCTTAAGTGCAGAGATTACCACTATATAAAAAAACTTCAAAAATGCTAATGTTGTTTCAGTGTCTTCTAACCTGCACTACAGCTATTTGGGGAGCTATACTCCAATACCACAATAAACAGACATAGCCACCTGGAATCACAAATAATTATCCCAACCTCTATGCTTTCTTTATTTTTAAAGTACTTTTCACTTTTGTGATTTTTGACTACAGTTATTTCAGTGATCAGTAAAGCTTCAGTAGTCTAGTAGTAGACAAGTAATGTTATACGAATATGAAATCATTCCCAAAATGGCAATCAAAAAACAAAAATGAACAATGAATTAAGGATTTTATTTCATTAAACCAAAACAATTTTCTCATTATAAATAACTTAGAACTGTTATTCTAATAATGTACACTATTAAAACCTAAGTTGTATTTCTCTGCATTATTTATTTTTTATGTGATTTAGATGGATCGCCAGAGTGGTATTCGGAATATTTAGGAAATGACTGAGGACCTCTCTCAGGAGGTGTGGGCAGAGAACCACCATCCGCTAATCTTTTAGCTTCTAATTGAGCTGCATTTTCTTGTTTCATTTTAGCTAGAGCAAGATTTTGTGCAACTTCATCCTCTGTTGGTGGTTCTTTCCTGTAAATAAAGGGCAAAATAAGAAATTTGCTTTAAAAAGTATTTTAAATTACAAATTATATAACTAAAATTAATGCTGGCATTTAGGGTGTTCTAGGCAAGTGTACTTAAATTCTTTAAAACAAGAGTCAATTATAATTCTTTAATTTTTTTTAGCTAACAATGAATACCTATTCGTTAAATAATTGTTTCACTAACAAATAAACAATAACTATTTTGATATAAAAATACCACTTACATAATGAAGAATTTTTTTATTAATGAATTAGTGGCCTCGATAAAATATTAAAATTTGATATTATGTCCCTTAACACCAATCTATATAATTTCACTGTAGTGACAGTGTTGATGGAATCAAATAAATGCTATTTACAAACATATAGATGTATTTGTATCAATTATAATAATTACCTGTTCTTAACTGCAAATGGTTTATGAAACATTTTTTTATGTATTGAAGTCGGACTTCTACCTGATAAGGCAGACTTAAATACAGATATGAAATGAAAAAGTTTAACTCCTTTTATTTCCACACTAGCAAAAGACAGATTTGACAAAAGTGCTTCTCCAAGTATACACAGCGTGTCGCTACCATCGCGACAATAAATGAATACACGTCTAACGCTACTTGCCATTAATCATAAAAAAATATTAACGTTAAAAAAATCCATAATCCAAAAAAAATATTTTTCAAACTAATTAGGTAAAAAAGAACAACTACAACTGACTGATTCATACATTCAGAGACTTTTTTCATTCGTTGCCAAAAAGTCGCATCACAAATCTCTCCTTCTAATAGTATATTTTATCTCTTTAAAATTCATTCAACTCATTCATATGCTTTGTGACCTTTACAAATGAACTTTACGTTACAATTTTATAAGGGTGTTCTAAAATGGTTTGTTTTGCAAAATTTAATAACTGTAAATATTGATGTTTTAAGAATGTAAATGTTTAATACAATTTTTATAAGTTATCCTCTATACATGTATTGTTCAGTTTATGGTCGCAGTAGAAGCAACACGGTGTATAAATATTAAACAAATCATGAGTCTTAAAAAAAAGCCTTTAATAGTGACATGAATAAAAGGACGCACATTCTTCAATCATAAATAAAAAAGTAGCAACTGTATATTAATTGATGTATATTATAAGTACCTGGAGGACCTGAAGGAGAGGTTTTTTTTTTTTGGTAAGTCATATATTTTGGAAATTACATTTAGATACAAATTACTGAGTAATGAAATATGCATAATATTTTTCGATCTTACCGACGTAATAATAAGAAAATATGAACTGGTCTTTTTCACTAAAGAAAGAACTTTAAAAAAAAAAGGGAAAATATAACAAAATCATCTGGATCAACAAAAAATAAAGAAAGCAATGATCTGGCAGAGTAAAAAAAGTAAAAAAAATAAGTGTGTAAATGATCGTGATACGAACCGCGGCCGTATGTTTTTGGGCCGCCAGATTACATACCGAGCATTATAAAAATTTTTTTGGGGCGAAATTTACCGTCATATTCGAATGATATTGTTCATTCTCTGAAAACAGGGATAAAAGGGCATTTTAAAAATGAAACCTGGCTAGATCGATTTTTCACCCCTGAATCTACGCACATACTAAATTTCATGCTGGAGCCGTTGCTGAGATTCCAATTATTTGTATATATATATATATATATATATATATATAAATTTATTGCTTGTTTAAAGGATAAGATTAAGTAACAGAACAACTAAAAAGTGATGTGGTTCAGCAATCTCAGATAAGTTAAATGGCAAGTGAGACAGAGACCAATGACATTCCATGCTAATATATGTAAACTTAAATAATCTATGTTTCAGTCATTTATTAGGGATTTAAAAAAAATTTCATGTGAATACTCTTAGTTTACATTCTTACTTCTTAATAGCATTAAGAACATCATGAAACTTCTCCATTTTTTTTTTCATACTTTGTTAAATAAACACACCACTAATATAAAACATGACCTTTAATCAGATTGTTGGCTATTTGTCGACTGTTGAGTATTCAAAATACAATTAGTATATTATCTATACCCATAATGAGTAACCATATGATATTAAGATACTATTCAACTGTACTAGGAGTAATATTGTACCCATTAACAATATTACTCTATAGTTCTTTTTCTAAATATGTTTTCTTAATATCTTACAACTACAATAAACAAAAGGACAGAACAAAACAACATAAATTTGAATAGGTAACATACCTTCTCATTCTTAACCATGATTCCCATTCAGAAGGGATAGGATCCTCGAAATCTAGACCTTTAGGAGGGTCATACCAACGAGATGGCTTACGTTTGCCCCTGCTGGGGTCTGCAGGAATTTCGTAATAAATATTGCCTATATAATCTTTACCTGTAAACCGTGAAAATGTTAAATATTTTTGAATTCTATTTGCAAATAATATAACAAAAACCTTTTGAATCAATTTCGAATTTACTTGCCTATTTTATTTCCTTGAATCTGGCGAGGTTTCAAGGAATTTATAAAATTTCTTATGACAATTCGCCAAACATGTCTATATTCACCATTTGACATCTAAAAAATTGTAAATATGCATAAACATGTAAATTAATGTGTCATTAAATGAATCAGCGAAATATTGTTAACATTGATAATTACTTTGAATTTATTTTAGATATCATAACAATCTGAAATGGTATCAAAGAGTACTTATAAATATCTGAATTTTGACTCATTGAGATTTGAGTTGTTGACATTGACAAAGTGACAATTGACGACGATTATTGACAATCACTTTTTTTTGGATTTTATGGCCCGGTATCAAGGACCTTTAGGCCATTGACAATCATTGTTTTTAAAACAACTGGAGCGCCATGTGAGCGTAACGCAACGACCACAGTTAAGCGAAAGTGTCACTAATTGAAGGCACTATGAGTTCAATGCATTAATGCTTAAATTATGACTGCGAATATAATAGCCGAGAAAAAGAAATTTTACATCACAATTAAGTGCTATTTTAGTAAAGTACATGTCCTTTACTAAAATACTGCTGGGCAAAGGCCTCCTCCGTACAGAAGGTATCAGGGCATGCCCCACTGCGGTTTGGCGGACTACACATATCTTTGAAATATTCTTTTTGTTTTTAATTCGACAATGTGCCGTAATAGCTCAGTGTCCGGGCGCTCGGTCGGGCGTCCTTTAATACAATATACTCGAGCAATCTGAGTTCGATCCCCGGTGCCGGCACCAATGAAATTGTTAACTTTAAGTGCCGAATTGTCATTTGGTTAGCGGTGAAGGAAAACATCGTGAGGAAACCTGCATATTTTCGAAATATCATTTTAATATGCAGGGAGGCTTTTTTAAGTGTATCTATTTTTTTCATTAAATTGTAGACATAAATAATGAATTACAAAAAATGATAAATATTTAAAATGTAAGTAATTAGTTAAATTCATTTGAACTTATCTCGAAGTGCGTGATTTATACGCAACTCGTTTATTTTACGCATGATCATTCATGACTAACACGCACACACGTTTCAAACACACCTATCTGTCTGCATTGTGACACGCATACCCCTCATACTTAGAACCAATTTTCCCTCATACTTAGAACGGGCTTAGGACCGTCATAGTACTAAAATACTACTTTATTATTTTAAAATCACACACTGTTGTTCGTACTTATTATTGCGTATTTAAAAAGTGGAATCAACTAATTACAATAATTAAACTGTTCATTTAGTCACAAAAAACACTCACTTATATTTTAACAATTGTTCAAAATGGAGTTCATTTCTCTCAATACAAAGCTGAGCACGATTTCTCAAACTATTTTGTAATATTACTTGTGTCTGAGCATTGTATACACCGGTGTAGTAAATTGTCCAAAATCTAATAACTTTTGGTTGGCTGCCAAAATCGTCCTTCGATTAGGAACACTTGAGTTCATTGCTTGTCTTTTTAAACGCGGTAAAAATTGAAATCTGAACTTAATGTCCGGTACCTAGACGATGGTACGCTGGGAGGTAAAGTTGTCAATGTAAAAAGTGATCTTATCGAAATTATTAGACAATTTAAAAATATCGGTTTTGATTTAAATAATTACAAATGTGAACTTTTCTTTTCCGAAAAGATTTCTTTATCCGACAAAATCATTTTGACCCAAAATTTTAGCTCTATCATACCGGGAATTAAAGTAGTCCGTTCAGATTCACTTTACCTCTTAGGTGCTCCTTTGTTAATACCAAGTTTGGAACCTCATTTAAAATTAAAGTTAAATCAATTTTTAGATCATGTTAAAAAATTATTTTTACTAAATTCGCATATTGCGCTACTATTTTGCGACATTGTATTCTTGTACCTAAATTTACGTACCTCCTTCCCTTGAGTCCACTTTGGAAATGCAGTGACTTTTTGAACGAAATTGATTTCCATCTTAAATCAGCTTTAGAAAAAATTCTTAATTTATCTCTTAATGAATTAAACTGGACTCAAGCTACGCTGCCAATTCGTTTTGGTGGTATATACCTGCCTTCCTTGCTTCCGTGCATAGCGTAAATAATTTGTGTAATAACATCCTTAATCACGATTCAGAACTTTCCTTGCAGAGGAGGCAAGGATGTCTTGGGTACTACCATCAGCTTGGGATCCTATCATCAATAAAATTAAATCTGAGCTCAAAAGAACCACTACTGCAAGACAAGATACAATTAGCTCCCTCTGCATAGATCGGACACAAAATCAATAATACAAAATCTGACGGTAGCCCGGGTTAACTTTAACAATCAGACGTCTAACACCTCAGTCTGTCCCGTGACCATGAACGCTGTAAAGGGTTCGAAACGTTGGGAACTAAAATTAAAAATAAACGCGATAAATCCTTAAAATTAGTTTCATTCATAATGTGTAATCGCGTAAATACAAGAAGTTATTATGTCTTGGCTGTGTATCTGCCCCAACGAAAATATCCCACTGGAAGTAAACCTACAAAAACAGTGGGATGTTCCTTTGGTGCGTAGAGTACAGAGAGATACGTTTCAATCTTTAGAAAGTAATTTAGAGCCAGCCCGTTTCCTAGGCGTCTCATCTAAAGAATCGAGTTATTGGCTTCACGCTTTATCATCACACACCATCCGGGCCTTCCTGTCGAACCGCTCTTTTCGATATCGAGTTGAAACGTACCACAAGGCTCCTGCCTCTCACCTTTGCTCTTTACGCTCTACACGAGCGATATACCTAAAGACCCCCACGTCAATCTCGCGCTTTTCGCCGATGACACGGCGCTCTTTTATTCAGACCGCAACCTTAGACAACTAACCACTCGATTCCAAAGCGCTGCCGACCGCCTCGGCGATTGGTTCCGCAAATGGAGAATAGAAATAAATCCCGAAAAGAGTGTGGCGATTCACTTCACACGAAGTACTTACCCGTCACATCTTAATAATGGCCCTCGTCAATGCAGAAAGTAGGGGCAAATATCCCTTTATGGCCAACCGCTCCCCTGGGAGCAAAAGGTCAAATACTTATGAGTCACTTTCGACCCGCGTACGGTTTTCTTTTGTACGACCTTTCTTACGCATGTCTTACGCATGCATGACCTTCGCCCACATGCACCCTACTCGCTTGTACAAGTTGCAAATAGTACAAAATAAGTTCATCCGCCGCGCAACCGGTGCGCAGTGGTATCAACGCAACGTCGACCTGCACAGCGATTGCAGACTCCCGACGATTCGCGAATATTTTAAAGACCTGACCAAACGGTTCTTCGATAGAGCCGAACATCATCCCAATCCTCTGGTGGTAAGCGCAGCAAATTGCCAACCCAACAAACGCGAACGTCAACAAGCATCGCCCGCGAAACGTCCTAATCGACCCGGTTGAGGAAGGGGACTTAGATACGCCGGACCCACCGCCAGGGGTGCCGCCGGAAAACACTACACCCACAGTTAGTGCAACAACAATCACACTAGTTCGCCCTCGCCTCCGAGCACGGCGAAACCAACACAACGCGTACACAAGGTACACCCGCGTTCCAGGGCGGTTCTCACCGCCCCCAGCCACCGATTAACTAAAAACACAGTCGACGGCCATCGGGGTCTCGGTCTGCACTGCAACTTCGATGGCCCTTAGATGACATGTCGTAGTTAAACGCACGCACGAGCACATGCGTGGCCCTACCCACAGCGGAGGGCCCAAACCCGTGGGTTATGGCTAGCCCACCGGTTCTGCGTCAGATGAAGCTTTAATAGTGTCGGGACTGAAAGCAAAAACATCAGTTAATACAAGATACGTTTCTTTAAAAATAAGTTCAAAATGTTTAAGTTGAAATAAATAGTTTTCTAATCAGTCTTTCTTTTTGATTTGAAAGTAATCCCATTAACCACATCTACCATTCAAGAGAATAAAGCTCTCAACTTTATTAAAAATACTGGACTGGAAATGGTTAACAGTAGAAGTGGGCGATACAAATCGTATCAGATATGAAAACTAGATATTAGTACAATATCCCAATATCGCTTACTGGCTCGTTCAATATCTATGTATTTTACAATATCTGATATTTCCGAAATCTGATGTACCGTGCTCGCTCGCTATACCGACACGAATCGCGATACGGCGATATCATACGCGTTTGCCACAATATCTGATTTTTAAACAGATTTCGAGAGACAAAGCGCGTGAGATACAAATACTCACTAGTTAGAGCGGGATGGCAAGCAATGCACGATATCAGATATCGAGCGACAAAGCGCGTGAGATATAAATACTTACTAGTTAGAGTGGGACGGCAAGCAATGCACGATATCAGATTTTTAAACAGATATTATGAATAAGTTAAGTAATTTTGAATCTTAACACGATGCAAATAAGATCCGTTTCATTTAAATACTAATCTTGGTATCAGCGATTACTACAACGATATTATTATATTTTTATTGTTTTGTTTAGCCTTGAGCCGTAACGGGCGACAAAGCGCGCAGTTAAGTAATTTTGAATCTTAACAGCATGGAAAAAAACTCTGTTGCATTTAAATACGAATTACGGTATTAACGATGTCTTTGAAATTTTGTTCAGCCTTGAGCTGGATTGCATTGGTACTTATCACGTAATAGTAAGGGATGCCAACTTACTAATTAAGAATTTTCTGCCTAAATTAAGGAAGAAAAATATACAATGGAAATTTTTTAGGAGGTTAATTTTTTGTTAATATTTTTATTAGCTAAATTTTATTCATATTTTTGGAAAAAAATAAAAGTACACAAAAAGAAAAATATAATTTAATAGTGCTGTGCTGCTTTGGTGGAAATCAGACCAAGGCTTATGTGCCTTGTGTGTATATTTTAAATTCTTCCGCCCTAAGCTATAATACTGAATGTATTATTTCTTACACAAATAATAAAAATATTGCCACTCGATTGCGTGTTCTAAAAATATGTTAAAGTCAATTATTAAGCGGTATATAAGATGTTAAAATAAATCATTTTTATATTACTTCAATTTATATTTTTAATGAAATTTTTAATTTAATAATTTAAAAAAAAACGCATTTTTAGTAAGACAGGGTTAATTATTAATGATCGTCGAACAAGACTTTCGACGAATAAAGTCAGAGAGCTTACGTTCCTAAACGTGAATTTGAACCCGGAAGGATATAAATAATTATTAACCCTGACATAATTGTAAATATATAATGTTAAGTTTTAAATCTAAGGAAAATTATGTACATAGAATGAATCAACTTTTAAATACGCCTGCACAATTTTATATTTATAATAACAATTTTATATAAATATATAAGTATACAATTTTTTTTTTTTTTTTAGAATTCAATTAATCAACGTGGATAGGGAACCGTAAAATATCTAGATATTAAAATACATAGTTTCGAAATCTGATATTTGAAATCGATATCGGATTCAGATACGGTACTCAGAAAAAGCGATACGACCCATCCCTAGTTAACAGTAGCTATCTACATCTGAACTTGTAGTTCGGTAACTTATTAAAAGATGGCGTTGTCTCACGAGGACACTGATAACTCTATAAACTCTATATTACTAATGTACTCTTTGACACTTAGAGTCACTCTCTTACTCTTTGGTTATTGGTTACTTACTTGGTTGGTTATTAGTGCTTGTGCTTCGTACATAACTTATATTACTGTTCTTTCCATTTTAACAGATCCATTGATTTAACCTGCTGTTTAATTATAAATACTCTCCACGATGGCGAAAATGGCATTTCAGCACCAAGCCGGAACGGCTATGGAATGTCTTAGTGTAAGACCACTCCCAATTATACTGTTTTTGTTATTTTTTTATTTGATATTTTCAAATTTGAATTTATACTTGCTTTTTTCTATTAGATACCTATAACACTTCAAAAAGAAGCTGGTGTTGACGCTGAAGGTCGGGAAGTGATGAAATGCGGATTCAAAATAGGTGGAGGAATTGATCAAGATTACCGTAAAAGCCCCCAAGGATACACAGATAATGTGGGTACAGTACTACTTGACCGCATGAAATATATATGTTTTTATAAAAAAACAATGCTTATTCAACATTATATGTTTTTAGGGGATTTATGTAACTGAAGTACATGAAGGAAGTCCTGCTGCAAAATCAGGGTTAAGGATGCATGATAAAATCCTCCAATGCAATGGGTATGATTTTACGATGGTTACACACAAAAAGGCGGTCAGTTATATAAAGAAACATCCTGTCCTAAATCTCCTAGTAGCGAGGAAAGGTGTGACATCTACATAGCTTTTAAGAAAGTGCAACTGTTTTTACTTAGTGTCAACTTCATTTTTATTAAGTGTTTAAAGATAGCACTTTTTGTTCATCAAATAAGAAGAAAGTATTTAAAATCTGATGATTTTATAATGTTATTTATTTTTAGGATATTTTTAGGTTTAGGTCTTTTGAATTTTAAAAAAAACTGTTGATTTTTGTAAACATTCTTTTTGATGCAGGGGTTAAAATGAGGTTCCATTTATCTTCATTTGTGGTAATATTATAATATTAAATGTAACAGCATATTTTATTTAGTTAAAAATTCAATTAAAAAACCTAATGAAAGTATTGAAAAGAAACATGTATTGAAAAAGTACTGTTTTGTTGTTATCTACCAGAATATTGGTGACACAATTCTTTACAATTTGTTCTATATAATTTAAATGATGTTTGTGATATTGCTATATTAGTTAGCTCACAGGTCATCAAGTACTAATAAATTTGCCTAAAAAATTAAGAAACAAAGTATTTACTGGAAAATATATGAGATTTTTTTTTTATAATGAACTCGACAGTGCTTAAATACCACACATTCTTTTCATATATTTTAACCCCAAAAGATTAAGGATACAATGATATGATTTTGTTTCCAAGACAAATCATATTATTAACACAAATAAAAGGATTTATAATCAAGTTACCAGTGTTGTTTTATCACAAATATTAAATTGTTTTAATTTAATCTAAACTATGAAAAAGATTATCTTTTCTATTGACTTGTAAAATAGATGAGTAAAATATGTTGATATTGTTAGGTTGATTATGGATAGTGTGCTGTTGTTACTTGATAATTGTATTTAGTGCTTATTATTGAGCAGTAAAATATAGAAATTTATTTTGGCTTCATCTTCAAGAAAAGGAGTGGCTTACATTTACTGACTTTCAACAAATGTTCAGTGGATATCATGTTTTGGACAAATACCAATTACATACTATTTGACTAAATACCAAATACATAAGATCAGGTCTTGTAGACAGAATAGGTAAAATGAAAATTTACTTTTTCTTGCAATCATTAATGGAGTCCACAATTACTCTAATATGCTCTTCAGTTGTTGTAATTAACATTTTAGAAGTGGGAGATTATGGTAAAAGACTAATTTTCTTATTTTTTTAGGTGGTCGTTTAAACCTTTTCTTTCTGTAAGACACTTGAATCTTTTTCATCATCTTCAAAATATATGCATATAGACAATTTGGGCTTAATATTAGTTAGATCTCACTTCATTCTGAGACTTTTGTTTAAATTTAGTAGTGTCACATGTATCTGTAATTACGTATCTAAATGAGCTGTCCTGACGGCATTAAAGATATGACACTTCAGATAACAATTGTTTCTAAATATTTTTACTACAAGTGAACTTATAAGTGATACAGGTATAGAAGGAATTTTCCTTAGATGTGCCAATAAGAAATTTACATTTATCATTTCATAGTTGAAGGAAATAAATATTATGTATATATTAAATTTATTATTATGTTATGTAAAAATATATCCTGTTCTGAAATTAAAATGAATTAGCTTACAAGGGATAAAATATGTTCAATTGGCACCAACATTTTTTTTCTATTTTGATCACCGTTTGAAAGTCCTTCACATCAGTATTTTTGATTATACATAAACTGTACACATAATTTTTTTCGTACCCTTATTAAATTGTATCCATTTTCAGATTGATTCATGCACTTTTTTTAATATTTTTATTGACTTTCATTTGTATAGACTTCAATGGAATATCAGCTTAATGCATGTGCGCCTTACACACAAGTGACAAACATTTAATGATTGTACAATGTTATTATAAGGCTGAAGATTACAAACAACAAAATCAAATGACAACTATTATGGGCTAAAATTAAGTAAATTAATATATTTAAACATTGTCATAATGAATTTATACAGCGTGTCGTTACCATCGCGACAATAAATGAACACACAATAATTGCCAATAATCATAAAAAAATATTAACGTTAAAAAAATCCATAATTAAAAAAAATATTTTTCAAACAAACTAATTAAGTAAAAAAGAAACAAAATTTGTAACATCCTATACAACTACAACCGACTGATTCATACATTCAGACTTTTTCATTCGTTGCCACGGCGTCGCATTACAAGCCTCTCCTTCTAATAGTATGTTTTGTCTCTTAAATTCATTCAACCCATTCATATGCTTTGTGACCTTTACAAATGGACTTTACGTTACAGTTTTATACGTAAGGTTGTTCTAAAATTCTTTGTTTTGGAAAATTTAATAACTCTCTAAATATTGATGTTTAAAGAATGTAAATATTTGATACAATTTTAAAAAATTTATCTTCACGCTGTATATATCGAATACTAGCTACCCGCCCCAGCTTCGCAATGTATGTAAACCTTCCCCTTGAATCACTAGTAAAAATCGCATTAAGATCCGTTGCGTAGTTTTAAAGATCTAAGCATACATAGGGACAGACAGACAGTGGGACGACTTTGTTTTATACTATGTAGTGATGCACAGCAAAGAGAAGTTTACATTTCAAGTGACATTTTACCACAGTCACTTGTTTTGCCTTCCCGGAACCCCTTCACTAACACTTAAACTTTATGTTATGGTATTAAAGTTCAAATTGACTTAAGTATTATTACGAATCTTTTGTACGGGAATATAGAAGTGTCGTTTTTAGACGTTTTCAGGCAATTTTTTAAATTTTTCTTACCGTAAGAACCATCCTCGTTCTTCAAGGAATATTATAAAAAAAGAATTAGCGAAATCGGTTCAGCTGTTCTCGAGATTTGCGCTTAGCAACAAATTCAGCGATTCATTTTTATACATATTGAGAGCACTGCTTGCTTCAATCAGTTTCAAGTATTTACATAAACTTATTACAGTTTTAAATATGTTAAATAGGAAGCCCATGTATATTTAAGTTCCAAAGATAAACAAAAAGTGAATATTGTTATTAATACATTTAATGGTCAAGGGGTATTTTGTAAATAAGTCACTGTTTTGTATTTATACAGTTAACTTGTATTACATCATCCTGCATGGTTCTAGGCACCATATAAAAACCTATGAACTTGATACATATACTCAGGTACATGTACATAAAACAATGTATACATGTTCATACTTATATCAGTAGGCCGGTATGAAGACAAATTGAGTTTTTGTTATACTAACTTTTAAGAATTTTAGAACCTATTTAATAAGCATGTATTTAGGGGCCATCCATTAATCATTGTGATGTTTTTTACCATTTCTTATCCCCTCTCGTCCCCCTCAATGATATTCTGAAATTAAGGATCATAAAAATGTGATGGCGAGTTATGATCACACTACACGCCGCTTTTCGGTTTAAGAATCGTGCGTTTGACGAAAAATAAATATATGTGGTATCTTACTACACCCCTTGTGATATTTCGTGATTTTTGCCTCACCTGATTGATGGACGGCCCCTTGTATAATAAAAGGGATCTCGTTGAGATCAGTTGTAATCAATTAAACCAAGAAATAAAGATTTCAATACATAAAGATACCTTCCATATCTTATTATCAATATTTAATTATGTAGATAAAATCAGGCCATTGAGAAACCATATGTACATAAGTGAATTTAACCAGATGTATTATAAGTTATTATAAAATATTTCTATTGCATTTATTTTATGTTTTAAAGTGTATTAAGTTATAATAATTTCAATATAATATAATAAATTTCTTTGCCATATTTTTTGTGTATTAAGTAGTAAAGTATGAGCCTATACATGTCCCACTGCTGGGCAAAGACCTCCTCTGTACAGAGGGTATCAGGGCATAGTCCACCATGCAGCCTCACTTCAGATTGGCACACTTTCACACTTTACATATCTTTGAATTATTTTTCTATTTTTTTTTTATACGAGAAAGTGGCAAAGAACGGTTCACCTGATGTTAAGTGATAACCGCCTACCCATGGACATTTGCAAAACCCATAGGGTTGCAGATGTGTTGCCTCCTCTTAATAATGTGGGCCCCCGGCTACCTCACTCACCAAACGAAACGCAGAAGTGTAACACTTCTAGTTGACGCCGTTCTTCTGTGAGGTTGTGGTATGAACCCAGATGGACCTGCCCATTCGTGCAACGGCAAACACTTGTGTAGCCCTACCACCGAAAATATGTAGGTTTCCTCACAATTTTTTCCTTCACCGCTGAGTATGTGATAATATAGCACTTGAAATTAATAATTTCATTGGTGCTAGCACCAGGGATTAAACTCGGGTTGCTTGATTATATTGAATTGAAGGTGAGCGCCCAGACACAGAGCTATCAGGGCTCAATTGCTGTTTTGTATATTACTTTAAAGAAATGTAAAGCAGATATTAGATGTTTATTTTAGTAACTACTTTGAATAACAATTCTTTGTCTGAACTAGCACATTGACAAGCTCAAGCCTTTGTTGGAGGCCAGTCCCATTGGCCACTTGGTGGCTTGGCTATAAGAGGATCCCAAGGCTTCCAATTCAACATCTTCCGTGCCAGATTTAGTTCATTTTCAGCTTGTATTATGAGCTCTTCGGCTTGTCCACAGTTTATTTTAGATTCTAACTCATAAGCATCTTTTGTCTGAAATGAAAAATTATATAAAAAGTACCAGGGATAATAGATAAAAAAAGAAATAAAGATATTTTTCTCATGAACAGAAAACCATTGTTTTTTACTTTTATAGCAAATGACACATTTAATGAGTAACATTGTTGAGGAAATCAATAAGATTTTTGTCTACAAAGCAAGAATTATTTCTACATATTTTACCTGCTGCAATACTGCTGCTCTTTCACGTACTATTTGTTCCGTATATTTTCTATATGCCGCATTTGGAGGCATTCTCTGCAGTGTTCTCAATATTTTTCCATACAACGAACTAAGCGTGTGGTGAGGATTTGCAGCGACTGCTACACCCACAAGTCCCGTGGTCTACAAAAACGAAGTATTGTGATATATGTGGCCAAAATAATTGCTCTTAAAATATTATGCGTTACATAACTTCTCTAAAAACATCAATAAAAAATCATGTATATAACCATTAACATAATACCTTTTTTAACACACCCATTATTGCTGTACTTCGATTACTATGCTGCGACCAATCTCTTTCACAATTGTTTGTCTCTAAAAATTAAAACATCAATAACATATGTCAATTTTTTTTTAAAGATTGTAGAAAAGGTGAACGTTATGTCAAAGTCAAATTTTATATGACAGACAATAGGTATTGATTTTGCTTCGTCAAAGTGTTGATGAAAACACGTTATTGAGTGATCTTATAACTTAAACCTACTTTTTTGCGTTAAAATCCTGAATTTATCTGTTTTGTGAGGGTTTGGTAGTGGTTTTGAGTGTATTGGTAAGTTTGTTAACCTTTAGTCCCGTCCTTCCTATTCTATGAAGAACATGGACGAAGACGAGCCTCCGGATGGAGGTGGTGGTCTTCCTCCTGATATTCTGTTGGATATCTCGCCTCCATCTCCATCTCCATCTACAGATTCAATCTTCAATAAATAATGTGCATCGCAAGCGCCCGGCTGAAAACGTTGAGATGCTCGAAAGAAAAAAATCTGTTCCACCCTCTACGTCGTATCAATCTACTTTTTCCAAAAATGGTTATGAAATTGACTCTGAATTACTATACACTGATCAGGACAAGGGTTCTTTTATCGTTCATATAACTAGATCTCTTCCCGATTTATCCTCTGGCCTGTCTATTAGAGTATTGAAATTTGCCCAACTTTTACACAAATCGAAAATTTCTGGTATTGCGCAGGGTGGTATAAAAGCAATGGGAAGAAAGAATATCAGACTAATAAACTAGAATATCAGTTAAATTTAAAACTGATTTGGCAGCTAAAAACTTCATTTCTCATGACTTTCTGTCTACAAATAATTTTAAAGCAGTTATCCCTAGATTTAATATTACCCGCATGGGAGTTGTTAGAAGCATCCCATCATATTAAAACTCCCTCCAACTGTGGCGAAGTTATTAGAGCTCGTCGTCTTATTACAAAGATCCGAGTAGATGATATGATAAAGTCACATGGGTTCCATTAACTACTGTAGTCCTCACCTTTTCGGGCCAATCTATCCCTGAGAGAGTATTTTGTAATAACTCTGCTCTTCCAGTCTCAACTTATCAACTGCCAACAATTCAATGTTGGAACTGTTGCAGATTTGGCCACATTTCATCACAGTGCCAATCCCAACTTAGATGTTTTCGTTGTGGACAGGGACACACTGGGGATAGCTGTTTGGATTCAAATAAGGAAGTTTGTATTTTATGTAGTGGTAGTCATAGAGCTACTGCTGATAAATGCCCAGAACATGCAAGACAAAAATCTATTAAGATTATCATGTCTCAGGAAAATATTAGCTATTCTGACGCAGCTCTTCGTTTTCCCCTCTCAAAAAGATCTTACACGGATGTGGTCAACGCACCCCCTTCTTTCTGTATCCCCCTACACAATCCCAACTTGTCCTCTTCTACTATCCTATCTAATACTCAGGCATCTTATTCCAAAACCATTTTCACATCCCCTCGTCCCAAAGCTCCTCTCACTAAATCCTATGATGTTCTAACCCATAGAAATATAATTAGCACCCCCCCTATCTACTCTACCTAATGGTTGCGCTTCCTGTGGCCGTATCCCCTCTCCCCCATTGTGGGATTCAGAGTGCACTGCTTCCGTTCGTCTTAGAAATCAAGCTGAGAAGGCCTATGCGGATGATTTGAGTATGGAGAACTTTTTTCTTTTTCGCCAGGTCTGTGCCAAAACAAAAAGAGTATTGGCAAGGAAAAAGTCTCAAGGGTGACTTAGATTTTGCGAATCGTTATCCCCCCGTTCCTCTACGACTGTAGTATGGCGCAAAATTTCACATTTTCGTGGTGTCTTTGCCGATCAAAACATCTGTCCCGGTGATTTTTCTGTTTGACTGAACAATTTTATTGATAAGCTCCTTCATTTGTTCCTTCTCACTATTGCTATCCCCTCCCTCCCTCCCTTTCTTCTGCATTCGACAGAATGGATTACTCTTTTTCCTATCCTGACCTCTATAGTGCCCTTGACAATCTTCGAGATTCTGCTCCAGGCTTTGCCGGAATATCTTACTCTTTTATGATCAAATCTTCTAATTTATCAAAATTATTTCTCCTTAACATTATATTTTTTTCTTCTGGATGCATTCCAGAGTCATGGAAGACTCAAATAACTATCCCAGTTTTAAAACCCAATAAAGACCCTAGTCCCTCATCATCATATCGGCCTATCGCCTTATCATCTGTTATGGCCAAAATTGTTAAACATCTTATCAAAAATAGATTAGAGTGGATCCTTGAGAGTAGAGATGTGCTCACAAACAAACAATTTGGCTTCAGGCGTGGTATGAGCACTATGGATAGTCATGGCATCCTCTCTGCAGAAATAAGACTTGCATTTTCTCATAACAAGCATGTTATTGGGGTCTTCCTTGTGTAACTGGACACCCCTCCTTTTGCATATATAACTATATAACTTATATATATTTTTGCCCCGTTATACGATTAAATCACATAACATCATTACGTGATCAAGATAATTAATTGATCTTTCTAAAGGTAATAATTAGCCGTATGAAATATTATTGTGATCCATGAAAACACTCACTAACGCCGTGTGCGGTGAGCGCCAACCAACATATTGCGCCCAGAAGAGGAACAAAAAGTTGGGGAAAGGACCGAAGTCCATTGCAAAGCTGTTTTATCGGCATAAAGATGGCTTGGCCTCTTGGCAGTGCGTAAGCACGAACTTTGACCGAATTCGCGCATGTCAATGCGTGTAAACGTCATACAAGTCGATGACAAGTCTTCGTGAATGTACGTCAATACGGTTTTGGGCATGTGTTGATAATCAGGCACTCTGGCCCTATGTTATAATAAGCCCTCCGTAAGCGCCACCACTTTTGCATTTGCATTGCTTCTTGCATTCCAGATATAGCCATAGTTGTGATTTTTATGTTTAGCCATCAGAAGGGTTTTTTAATTGGCAACATATATTTATTTGTTAGTGTCTCTGACGTTGAGTATAATGTATTGTCGATCAAGTTTGTCTCACCCACCAGCAAGTTGCCTTTGTTCGTGTGGGAACTTTACTGAGATTTGTTAATAATGATAAAACGTATAAAGAGGTCAGACAGTCTGCAGTTCCGTCATCAGGAACCCGACTTGGACAAATCTACTGAGATGTGCATCAAACCGAGACTCGGCCATTATGAATAGCGTCGTCTCCCAAGCATATATCGCAAAACGCAATGTCACTAAATGCAACATGCATCAATACAACTATCGCAGGTCAACACTCCAACATACAGCCTATCCGCATATACAGCAGACATCATCACCTCAAACCTCCGTCAACCAGAATCATACGAAGCAATGATATTAGGCGCAGATCACCCCGCAACTATCACAAGACGCATTACTGCATATAGCCGCATGCATCAATGTGACTATCGCGTAGGTAGCACACCCTCACACCACACCAATATAACTCCATTCAACTTTGGCTCCAAAGTTTAGAATATATTATATACTTGGAACACCCGAAGTGTCCAAACATACTCTTTCACGATCCGGATGATAGTCGCCGTATCATAGCGTAAACACTAAGACGCAAACCACCAACCAACCCCACCCAAGCCAAGTAATAGCCAACGTATCATAGTGGAATACACTAAGACGCAAGCCACCACCAGACTCCCCAAAGTCAGATGATCAGTCGACGTATCATAGTGCAACACACTAAGACGCCAACTAGCACGAAACAATTTGAACTACATGTAACCGTTGCGCCGTGCAAGCGAGAGCGATGTTACCTGCGCCTGCGCGTACGTCACCACATGAACCCGACGTTACTGGATTTCGAAATCCGCTGCCGCTCGGTCAGACGCGCTAGACGGAATCCATATCTCACGCCGAATGCACGTTTAACTGCGCTCAGATAATTCCGCTAATTGTTCTCGCGATATAATAGTTTTCTATATTTCCAATTTAGTATCTTTTATCCAGTATTCTTCCTATTCTGTATAACTTCTTTTACATGTTTCTTGATTGTCTGTACGTTTCTGTCCGTGTCGTGTACTAAATACAATTAATATACGTGGCTTATTACTTTCATTTTTACCATCAACAAAATGGACACTCTTACCATGCCGAATGACAGCTAACGTATCATAGTGATGGTCACTAAAACGCCAACTATCATCAGGTATCAATGATATTTCCACCACTGAAGACATCCATTCATGGTTCCACGTTTGCCGTAGACCATATCGTACAGAAGTACCACGCAACTCCATAGTAATATCTCATAGAAAGTCCCAAGTCATTCATTGCTCTTCATTACATTTATATATTTATTATTTTTTCTCTTAGCCTTCACATATTATCACTTATCCATTAGACCTTACTTCCATATGAACTTGGTATGGGACGTTCATACAATTTACTTTCACTATAGTACTAAGAGTCGCGATCGACCTCTGTACTTATATAATTATGTACGGTCGTACAAGTGTGTCCCCCGCACGGTACATAATACTTTCCTTAGAAATCACTAAGTATGGAATATGGTATGGTACCCAGAGATAAGACGGGACCGCATCCCTTCTGAATATGCTGATCTGTAATATAAATATCAGGTTATGGGTCCAGCACGCTTCCACTGCGTGCTGGGCCCGTAACCTGATATAATTAATATGATCTGGAAGATAATATTGTTCTTTTATTTACATTACATTTCTTAAGACATTACCTTGATTTTCAAATTCAAATCAATACAATAGAATTAAAATGACAGACATGTTCAAAAGCAAACGCTCATTAATGACCAGTATGTGTCATTTCCTGCATGTAGGTTACATTAGCTCTTCAACACTCCACCTCATGAAATCAGATCAGATTATATTCATCTTAGTCCTAAGTTTAATAAACTTCATGGCAGGTAAAGCTTTTGTGAATACATCTGCCTCCATATCATCTGTAGCACGGTATTTGACATCTATGTGTCCATCCTTCATACCATCTCTGATAAAATGCTCCTTGATGCTGACATGTTTAGATTTAGTGCTTATAGTTTTTCAACTTTTGCGCGGCTTGATTATCATTATAAATATCACTGATTCCTGTTTTTATATTCAGCTCATTCAGCAAGTTTTTCTGGTCTAAGGCTTCTTTCGATGCCTCCGTTAGATCCATGTACTCCACCTCAGCTATACTAAGTGCGACTGTTCTTTGCTTCTTAGCCTCCCAACTCCCAACTGTCACTGAGCGACGATCAATGGCGCACGCTGCCTAATCAGCATCAGCTGCTCCTTCAAGCTTCATGTTTTCTTTTATGTTAGTTAGACCTAAGTCTTTAGTTCCTTGTAAATGTCGCAGAACTCTTTTCGCTGCTTGAAAATGTTCAGATGAGTAGCAGTTGTTAAACTGGCTAAGGTCACTTACTGCAAACATTATATCAGGACGTGTGGCAACAGCTACTTACAGCATAAGTGATCCTATAAGGTTATGGTAGGGTATGCTCTTTTCCTTTTGTTGGACTTATGCCTTTAGTTAATTTCAGTCCTGTATCCATGGGAGTAAATGCGGGTTTGCAATCTTTGCATCCAAATTTTTCTAATATAGTTTCAATATACAGTCTTTGTTTCAATATCTTTTCATCTCTTTCGATTGTTATTCCGAGACAGTAATTAATTTAACCCAAGTCTCTCATTTCACATCTCTGGTTAAGTAATTTCTTAATATTGTCTATTTTTCCTTGAGATTTGCATGCAATTATAATACCGTCCACGTATATCTAATAAAAATAGTTTCTCCGCCTTTCGCGTATATGTACATGCATGGATCAACTTTGGTAGGTTTGAAACCTATTGATTTTTGTTCGGCATCTAGTTTTAATCCATAAACGGCTTTATTTAATTTGCATACTTACTGTGTTTTCTTTATCTTGGTTTAATGTGGCATTTGTATGCATGCCTATAGCATTTTTTTAGCTTTTTGTATAATTTCTACATCCTATGGCATGAAATGTGCGGAATGCCATTAAATAAAAAGCAGGAATGTGCTCACTATTAATTATATTGATCAGAAAGATTTTTACATAATTTCACAATATTTTCAGCCTTAACATAATGTTATTGTTAATCAAGGCAAGTCGACCGTTGTGTTCTGAGCGGCGAGCGTCGAGGCAGAGGTAACTCCCCGGTCGCCTACCAATCAGAGGCGACCCGGTTGCAAAGCGCGAGACGCGCGCTTTTTGCGCGCTAAATTTAAATTAGACGCGGCGGTTGTTTTCATCCGCCACAATCCTTTGTGGATTTTTAATAATGTTTTCTTAATATTCTTCTATATTTTTCGGCTTTTTCATATAGATTTCTTCTTCAATAATTTCTCATGTAAAAGAATGTCTATTTTATTAACTATACTGTACTGTATCCAACAATACAATAATATGATGGCCATTTTTTGAGTTGAATTTGCCAGATTTTAGCAGGTTTTTTTGGTAGTATCGGGCAGATTCACTATTTTTGGTCACTCTGTTCCCAATTCCCATTCCCAATGGTGTCTCCAACTCTCCGACATGGAGATCAACCGTAGATGCCCTGTATTCTGGTTCTACCGTCAAGGTAATAATATATTACCTTGTCTTATATCACCGTATTACCATTAAGTAAATATAACACTGTGTAAAACGAATCTCAGTCAGTCAACTTAATATTTAAATGGCATCACATATATCTATATATATAATACTTGAACACCAATATTTAAAAGTTTATCCCAACGCAATTCTATTCGCATCATTATTTAAATATCGGAAGAAGTGTAAGTGTGATGGATGAATGACGTAAAATTTACTACGTTGTCTTTTAGCCTAGTTACGAATTACGATGCGTCACAAATACGTAGTAAACATCTATGAAATGTTTCAATTTCAAGCTTAATTCGAATCATTGTAATTTCGTAGTAATAGAGGGATTATACAATTTTAAGTGTTTTATTGAGTGGGTTGAATTAGATGTTTCATTATTATTTACATTCATTATTTTTACATGTTATTTAAATTTTCTTAGCTGATAATTCAAAAAGCAAACTTAATCATGACTTGATTTTTTTCTAAATATTGTTTTTTCCTTTGAAAAATTACACGGGAATTTACACAGTATACTTTTAATTTTACCCTTGCAACACGGTAATCTTTTATTACCTATGGAATACGGAGACACTGATTCCCAATCCCAATAATAACGATCACACTTCACTCACGTCTCACAGCATTCATAGCAGATGAGTTTGATAGGGCTATACCATAACGCACATTGATAATAAAGTGAGAAAGACATCTAGGTAACATGAAAAAAATTATTTCTAACTAAATAATACAAAAAAAAAAATTATATGCAGGATTCATAAAAAAAATCGACGTTACGTGTAATATAGTATTGTGATGAATTCCTGATAGGAAGGGATATAAGGTACATTGTGTTGTTAAAAATCTTACCATCTTGCATTTACTAGTATCTAGTTTTATTAACAGAATCTTTCATGAAAGCTAGAGGCTCCATTTCTTTTTCGCTTTAATAATAAAAAAAATATACTTTATCGTGTTTCACTTTATTTGACTTATGACTATTTCAAAATGATTTGTTGTTATTAAAGTCTTTAACTAATTCATAATTTATATTGGTAATTGATGGATGGCAATTAATAATTAAATCCTTACGATTTTACTATTTCCTATTTTATTTATCTCCTATGTTCAGAAAAGGTGATAACACTATACAGGAGAAAATTTGTAATGTAAATCTCTAAAATATTAGTGGCAGGCTAGCAGGTAGTGCTTAAACACTGTGGCTTGTGTCCTTTATTAATGGCACAAGATTAAGACATTATTTAATGTATGGACTGTTACTTATCTCCTTAATGTATAGAATGTTATAATATAAATTATAGAAAAAGAAAATCACTTTCCAGAATATTCTCAATGTTATGTAGATAAAACTTATACAGCCTTACAAATAAAATTGATGATATCAAGTTCTGTAAATTAAACAAATATTAATTTGGTCACATTGTTTTTTATATCAGAGTTTGTTGAGTTGACATTTTCTCATTTTCACCAAAGGCATTGATGCCTGAAATACTTACCATAAGAATTGTTTCTAATTACTATTCTGTTGCATACCAATGCTTATACTGTATAATTTTATTTACAGATTTTTTTCAAGATGGAGACACTCTCAGCTACTACACAAGATGATAGTTCTGGGGCAAATCCAAGTAGTGTCAAAAGTGATGATAGCAGCCCCCAGCATGGGAGTGGTCGAGGCTCCCCACCACCGAATTGCGCAATATGCTTAGGAACATGCCGCAATAAATCATTTACTGACTCCTGCCTACATCAGTTCTGTTTTAAATGTTTATTAACCTGGAGCAAAGTAAGTTGGTAGTGCAGTTACTTACATTAGAGAGTTACGAAAGATTATAAAAAAAATTATGTTATACTCATATTTTGGCTTGAAAAATTTTATCACCAAACTTTCAAAAGAATGATCAACATCCTTTAAATGGAATGTTAGTATAAAAGGATAAGATAATTACTGTGAACTATATTGCCAGTATGCTCCAGTTCCTAAAAATTTTATCAGTAATGCTCATAAATCATTAATGTTTTATTGAAAACCTAAGAACTGAAACCATTTATTTTGTACACTTTAGCTTCAATATAAAATTTTCACATTTCATTCATATACACCATATACAAACACACTCACCTAGCACTGAGAGAAGCCAAAATATTTTAACACAATTTTTAAATATGTCTAATACTTCTTCTGCATCATACTTCTGTGCATAAATACATTGGTATGTAACAGTAATAACTGTTATATACAAATAAGTTCAGTTTAAGTTTAACCTGGGATAAATTCTATTCTATTATACAAAGATAATTTTCATTGTAATTTTGTATACTAACATTTTCATAAATGCTGATACCCTTACCAGTCAGGTCATAAGTTCTGTCACATAATAAAAAATTAAATTTTGAATGCTAGTCACAAAAATGACGAACAAATGAATTTCAAATGTTTTATGAAATCAAATGTGCACTATTTCAAATTTCATTTATTTTTAAAATATGGAATTTAAACTTAAAGAAGACCGAGATGAAGCTGTTTCCAAGATTTTCGAACTACTGAAAAATTTAAATGCAACAAAAAATTGGTTCATCATTTCATTAAACAATATAATGAAAATTCAAGTGTAGAAGATAGGTCCTTGTGTTGTTAAAACTCTCACACTGATAAAAGCTGTGGAGATGCGAATCCTAAATGCCAAACATAAGAAGGTAAAAAAAGGTGTTAAATGAAGAATTAGGACATGAGCTTAAAATAATAGATTAATTTAAAATTTTCTTAGGAAAATTTTTACTGTTGAGGTGAGCAACACTAAAAAAATTATTGTCAGTTCCCTCAACACTAATGGTTTGGCTGGGAATCTCATATTCATGCTTAACTAAGGTATAACTGTTATTTTACCTTACTTTGTGAAAATACCATAATAAGGAATGCAGTTGTGTATCAAAATTTCTTTTTCATACATTGTTCAATAACAGTTATTGGGTATTTCAACAAGGAAAGAATGAAAAACTGCCTGGCAGCAAGTGCAATTGACTCCATCCGATACGAAAATTGGCCTATCCAGTCCAGAATTTAATAATCTGACCTGAAATAAAATATTGCAACTCTTTGAGTAAAAGGTCTGCTCAAAGCTTCATGCTGATTCATAGAACATGCATCCTTGATTAAAGCCACCAATATTGATATAGATCTTGGTCATAATGGGCTTATATTCAAAGTTGCGGCGTCATTTTGAATAAGCCTAGATGGCATAAGAATCTATGTTTTATTAAGATACTAAACTTATGATCCTACTAGGTATATACATTATATTTTATACAATAACAATTTTAGGATACAAACTAACATTCATGGTCTATTTCATAGGACACACAGGAATGTTGTTACATTCCTGTAAATCTTAAAATTTCACACAGTTGATACTATCTCTGAATTTTTATTAAATTAGTTTTTTACTGAAATATAAGTTCTTTTAACATTTACTTTAGCATTTCAACGGACTTATTTTAAGCTGGTTACTAAAATAAAATCATCATCATCATCCCGCAAGACATCCACTATTGAACACAGGCCTCCCCCTTAGAACGCCAAAACGAACGACATTTCGCATTTGCATCCACCGGTTATGATGCCGCAACTCTTATGATGTCGTCGTTCCACCTAGGGGGAGGCCTTCCAACGCTACGTCTTCCGGTTCGTGGTCGCCACTTGAGAACATTTACTCCCCATCGGTCATCTTCTTCGAGCGATGTGGCCCGCCCACTGCCACTTCAAATTAAAATAAGTCAGTTAAAATGTGCGCAGTTTAATTTTAAGTCTGTCATTTAAGGAACTCAACATGTCACTTATAAAAGTTTTGGATTATTTTTTTAGGTTAAGGCAGAATGCCCACTTTGCAAACAAAATTTTCGGTCTATAATTCATAATGTACGATCCAATCATCAATATGAAGAGTACATGGTTGAACAAAGACAGAGTGACGATCCTCCAGATAGAATAGACATAGATAACTTAACAAATCCTCGTCGATTTAGATACAGGTAATGTACTTTTTGGATTATTTTTATTAACCGACTTCAAAAAAGGAGGAGGTTTCTCAATTCAACCGTATATATATATTTTTTTTATGTGTGTTCGGGGATAACTTCGTCATTTATGAATCGATTTTGATAATTCTTTTTTGTTGGAAAGGAAATACCCCAAGGGTGATACCATGATGAGGAAAGCCCGATCTGATGATGGCATCCCAGAGAGATCGAGGGTAATCCTCAAATGTTATAGACGCTGATAATGTTTTTTTTAGTTTCCTGTTTGAAGTCGGTTTTTTTGTTCAAAATTATTTTATTTTATTTGACTACTTGCACAACATAGTTGGCATGGAAGAAGGTAGGTCTTTTAACAGATACAATAAAATGTCAGTTAACTTACATGATGATTATCTTTTTCCTTCTATATAAGATTTATGTATGAGAAGTTATTCTAGTTTTACACTTGTAAGATAATTGTTTTTTTATATCTTCATTGGGTTACTTAAATAACAGAGACAAGAATAATGACAGCAGTGATGATGAAAATCTGAATGTGAGACCTTGTGAAATATTATTTTTACCATCTATCTAAACAACATTTTTAAAGGGAATTTAAAAAAGCTTTAATTTCCCTTAAAAATTTTGTTTATATTAAACTATATTCTTTATAAAAGGTGACCCATCACATTTCATTTGTTCGTTAAATATAATCTATGACCTATGAACCATGGTTTATACTTGATAATGATGCTAATTGCTATGTAAAATAATTTATTTAATTCTCTCAATGAAAGTTGTGTATTGTAATTGCAATACAAGTTATTGCTTTTATTTCCTGTTTAACTTACATTTCTCTTTTATCAAACTTGTCGCATTTATGGAAACAACTTGGATTCATCAAGTCACGACAATACAATACGTACCTATTCTGTTAGGATTATGATGTATTTTAGCAAAAGGAACTCGATCTTACTTTTTTAAACGGACGATTATAGAAGTGATAAATAAATAGAAACGAGTTTTAATTAAAAGTTTCTCTCGAATTCTTTTTTGCGCTCGAGACGGTTGCTATTAATGATGAAATGTTGCCTAGGCCCCAATTGCAAAGTTGCCAGCCTCGTGGCCCTTCGGGGTTGGCGCTCACCACGCCCTCTGCCCGCTCGCAGGACGACGCTGACGCTGCCGCGCCGCGAGTCGCTGGCCATCCAGCAGCTGCTGCTGCACCACTACCCGATGATGGCGGACGTGCTGCCCGCGTCGCGCCCCCTCGCGCGCCCCATGCCGCGCCGCCGCTCGCCCACCTCCTTCCGGCGGACCGTGTACCGCCACAACCTGTGGGCGCGTCCGCTGCCCGACATCACCGGCTGCTTCAGGGTGTGCTCGCCGGTGTTCTACAGGTGGGCCCTTTTTTTTTTTTCTCTCTTCTTCACAAGTTCATTTCCAGCCTGAAGTGATCGAATGTGGTCATTTTGAAATGTTTATTGTGTACCATGTTGTTTATTATTGCTCTTATATCGTAACGTGCTTTCGAATATCGTTCATTTTCAATTGTTTTTTAAGAAAACTTTTTGTTTGCTTGGTAAATCTTCAATCGAATTCCATTGTTGCTAAGTTTTGCTTGGACGGGTGTAGGGACGGCTACTATATAATGTGTTTGTAACAGAAATCTTCATTAATTTAAAAATAATTTTGATTGTATTGTGTGTGTTGGTTGGTAACAGATAGCTATTAAGTGTTTGAATTAATTTGTAAATAATTTAATTATTACATTGATCCTTATTACTCTTCCCAACGGGTCCAATGGCCATTCCAACGTACTTTTTAAATACGGGGGGATCGCCACAATCAATCGAAGGGCCACATCAAAAATGCTCAATAACTTACCATTCATGTTTTATTATTTTTATAAGAGCAGGGGGCAAGAGAGTAGGTGATTTTTTCATTGGCTCATACTTTTTACGTTTTCGAGTAGAAATTTGATGTTCACACTTAAGTAGCATAGAAAATATTCGTCTAAACTAGATCTATTAAAGCAAAGAGTTGCATTGCAACGAAATAAAATTGAAAATTATTTAATTATACAAGCTTGGCATCTGGTATTCTTCTCGCATCTGGTAATTCGACACTCATGTTTGAGGCAGCCTCATGTACTCAACAATAGACACATATATTGAACATCCATGTATCCTTGTCTTTGTCACTGCTTATAAATTACGATGCGATAATCGACTGCGCTCAGAGATGTCAATTACCTATTAACTGGGGTTAAATTGCGAAATTCAATTTTAAATAACTAATAAACAAATTTTATTGTAGTGAACCGCTAGCAAAAATTTTTACAATATTAAATAACATGTCATCTAACAAAACTAGCTTAAGTAGTATTGCCTGATGCTTTGATTGAGAAAAGAAGAAAGAAGAACCCTCTTGTCACCAACTTTAGCAATAAGGCTTTCAAAACTTTGTTGTGCGTCTCCGCTAACTGGATCTCAAGTGCGGCCGTAACTCCAATCATATATTGGATTAATATTTCCATCCATCTGGTTTGCAGCAGCTGCTCGCGACTTAATCTTTACGATAAACTTTTATTTATATTTATTTTCATGCTTTCAGCTCAGTTACAAAAGTTTTATAGATCTTTTGTTTCTTGTTTAAAGCGAGTATATAATGAATGTAATGTAAACTAAACGCGAATTTTTATCAAACACTGTGCTAAAACAGCTCAAAAAACCATGGTTTCGATAAATGTTTTATAAAGTATATTCTATTTTTTTTCTACCCCGTCAAAGGTGTAACGTCTCGCAAACGCACCGGCTCGTCCCGTGGCTGAATAGGGAGCTGCACTACTTGCTGAACGAGAACGAGGGCCACATAGGGTACGTCATTACGAGGATCATGGAACTGCTGCCGCGGCACCACATGAACTCGCCCGAGTTCGCAGAGGCGATGCGGGGCTACTTCGGCGAGCGCACCGAGCACTTCCTCCACGAGCTATACTGCTTCGCCTCGACGCCGTACGACATGACCGGCTACGACCGCAACGTGCAGTACACCACGGACAGCCGCATCTCGACGGTGGTCAGCCACGTGCTCTCCAGCTCGGACTCGGAGGCGAGCGCGGACTCGGACATCGTGATGGTGTCCAGCTCGCAGCCCGCGGAGCCGCCGCCGGGGCCCTCGAGCGAGCCGCAGCCGCTGTACCCGGCCAACCACATACCGCTGCCGGCGCCGACCGCCGGCGGCGTGATCCCGATCGAGACGCTCTCCCAGTCCGACACGGACGACGACTCCTCCGAGGTGATGGTCGTCGGCTACATAAAGCCGCCGCAGGTCCGCACGCCCGAGGTGGTCGACCTGCTCGGCTCCGACAGCGACGTGATCGTGCAGGAAGGCGGCGCGGGGCCGCCGGCCGCCCTCGACGCCGACGCCCCGGCGCCCCTCGTGCGGCTCAGCCTCAAGCGGCACCGCGCGCGCACCGCCACCGACAGCGACGACAGCGCTTACACGCCGCCGCCGTACAACCGGCAGCGGCGGCAGCGCTCCGACGACACCGCCACCACGTCGGACACGCGCCGCACGACGCCGTCGCCCGCGACCGCCTCGAGCTCCACCTCGCCCACGACCTCGGGCTCGGGTAAAACCACCACCACCACCTCCACCACCACCTCCAACACCGCCTCCACCACCGCCTCCACGTCGACGCCCTCGTCGGCCGCGACGCCGAGCAGCAGCTGCAGCGACGCGTCCAGCGCCTCCTACAGCTCCGGCCGGAGGAAGAGGCTGCAGAAGAGGCGGCCGAGGCGCAGGGCCAAAACGCCCGCCACGACGGCCGCGCCCAAGTCGAAGCGGAGGACGCGCAGGCAGTCGGCGCGCGGCCGCAAGCCCAGGAAGCCGCCCGCGCCTCCGGAGGGCGACAAGTCGGAGAAGCGGAAATCGGTCAGCGGGAAGGGCGTCAAGTCGTCGAAGAAGAGCGCCGAGGCGGCGGTGCAGACGGCCCTCGAGCAGCCGGGCACGAGCGGCACCCCCGGCGGCAGGAAGCCCGAGAGCCGGCCCAGCCGAGAGAGCAGAAGACTGAGGAGTGTCGTGAACGTGATAAGCGGCCAGAAGACCTCCGCCGAGTCCATCTCGAGCGGCAACGCGCACCTCGCGAACGACAGCCCCACCGTCATAAGCACCGTTTCGGCCAATTCGAGCAATCGCGGAACGGTGATCGAGGAGGACAAAGGAAGGAAAACGGTGATTACGTCTTCGGCTGGGGCTAAGGCTAAAATGGATAGCGTTTTGTTAAAACGTGCATTTTACTCCGTTAACAAGAAGGATGAAAATTTATCTGATTCAGAGGATGACCTACCTTTAAATCTCACGGTTCAAAAGAAGAACCCGTGCCCCTTTTGAATTCACAATAGTTCTAAAAGATGCGCTGTGAATTAATTGATTTGATATAGCTACGGGTTCTATATCGCGGGAAGTGAACTGGGATGTGTATAATTATCAACGTGTAAAATACGTAGATAACTACCATAAATTTAGAATATGGCGAATTTATTTTATAAAATCTTTAGCTTTAATATTGTTTTAACGATAGTTATTTTATTTATTTATCTGACTCAATTCCTTATTAAGTATATACAAAATGTCGATATGTTCCTCGCTTGCATCGCCATCTGAGTTTTTCCTTGGTTATAATTATACATGTAACTAATGTATCAACTACTTAATAGACTTTAATTGTTGGTTTATTTTATATCCAAAATTGCCCTAGATGACAATTCGATAAACTTTAATTCTTAATTCTCACACGCGTTGTGAATTACTGTGAAAAATCAATTATAATTATCTATTAATAATTATGCATCAAGCATCTTTTACTCATTGTTCTATTTATTAGTCATTATGTAAGATTTATTTCCTGATTGATTTGTTGCAAAAATGATTACAGGAATTATGTCATGAAGCATGTAAATATTGTAATAAAGTTTTTTTCTCCCTCTTTGAGACTGCCAGCCTTTGTCATGAAGACATATGATTTCTTGGTCCCTTCTTAATTACTTTGTTCACAAATGTGTTTACATTACGGGTATGATACTTCAATATGTTGTAAGGATGCTTGATTTTGCAGAGTAAATAATTTATTGCTTATAACATCTCAACTGTATTTTAAAACTAGCTATTGGTCCCAGGCGCGCAGATATTCAATATTAGCATTTAACGCGCCGAAATGGGCCTATGAGAAATAAATGTACAAAAATAAATCATTTAGCTTAGTGTTTTATTTACTTATTTTTATTTATTTCAATATTGACAAACCTTAGTGCAAGCTGCAGTCCGTGCAGATAAAAATCCTAACCTTGAAAAGCTTTAAATGTAAGAGGTATTAAATAAAAGTATACTTGAACTAGTAGTGGAAGGACATTGACCTTTGCTGATCGTTAAAAATGTATTTTTAAACTACATATATCTTTCGAATGCTTCTAATTTTTGATATAGCAATCACTTCCTAGAAAACCGGGCGCGGCTTACCGTCATTGCTCGCTATGTTATGGATTCGATTCCCTCTGAGACAATATTTGTGATCCGTAAAGCGAGTCTACGTGTACATGTGTCTTATGATTTTATTTATGCCTACCCGGGGAACACGTTTCTACAAGAGGAAGAAAAAATGCGTAGGCAGCCGACTATTTTGCGGGCCCAAAAATCTAATTCGACCTTACCTTGACTTGAGCAATCTTTCACCACAAACGTTTTTGTCTTCATGGTAAGGCGTAAAACACAAGGGTTAAATTACATGTAACTGTTTTTCGTTCGTGGCATTGTAATTTAAAAATAATATTTTATTGTAATGAAACACCATCATAAGGTAGATAATTTTTATTTCATCAACCTTTAAACTTAATATAATGTACATTTAGATTGGATACATTATTCAAGATATCTATTATATCTTATTGCGTATTAAAAATATAAACATTTCACGGTAACGTGGTTGTATGGCAAAATCAATAAAATACACACGAAAAAAATTATTAAAAACGAAGTTTTACTTCTAAAGCTTTCTAAGCGATCTAAGAAGAACGGTTAAAAGCAATGTTATGTGAATTTGGACGGTTTGGTACTAATTACAAATCTATGCCTCCCAATGTTTTAATACAAATATCACGTAGCGAGTTTATGTTATATCTGAATAAACAAAAGCAGCAATTTGAAGAAGCTGACTTGGAGGTCGATATAATGATACTGTTGACACCAAAACCAAACATGTTTTAACACCTAATTAGCACCAACTTGTTATTAACACTTAGGGCCACCAAATGAAGAAAAGATAGAAAATTATCATTATGATATATTTAAGCTATATAGGGGAAACGAGAAGACATAACTACCTTCCCTCTACTTATTAGTGTTTTGGTTTTAAAAATGTCATCTTCTGTAATAAAATTATCAGCTTGTAAAGCTTCTTGAATAAACGTAACACAAATCAAATCAAGGTATCAAAAATGCGGATAAGGTTATGGAAATAACATAATTTTAACAAAGAATATAAATATTTATTCATAGTCAGTTGATTTCTCGGATAACTCGTAGCATTGCTATATAGAGTGTTCTAAAACTTCTCAACGTTCATAGACGTAGAAAAGAATTACCATTTAATCTGCATTTCATATTATTATAAAATCAGCATCGGTAAGAGAAAATAAATTAACTATCTGTAGTCAAATAACATAACTTAGACTGTAGATTAGTTAAATCACAAAATATGAATTATTAAATAACCAATATTTTATATAGGTGCATCTCAATGAAACTTCGAAACCATTTATGATGGTATTTAGTATGCGACGTTTTATAAGCTTTTTAAACTGAGAAACGACATGTCAATCTACCGCTACAGTAAAATATGTATCTCATAAAGCATTTTAAATTGAAAATAAATTAAATTCTGCTGCAACCGTTTCAATTATTTCAACTACGATATCCGTCTCAAAATGATTTGTGCGCAAAATAGCCTAAAATTCGTTGTTTCATAGTTAAAAATAGAATATAATACACAAATATATTATTTATATATATATATATACACACTTATATATTTGATTTCTTATTTATATCTCATACTGACCATAAAATGAATCATAGACTACTAAAGATAAACTACTTCCGCATTTATATGTTTATATGAACCGTTTAAAATATTATACAGTGACACTTCAGAGGAAGGGAGAGCGGAGAATATAAAAGTTCAGTTACGAGGGATTCACTTCCACTACTGTGCTCATGTGCTGCGGATGGGGCTTGAACTCCACAACTTCTTTCCATACTAGTTCTATAAAAATGTAAAGGTGAACATTAGAATATACAAAAATTTCAGTTGAATTAGACAATATAAAATACATAATACTAAGGCAAGTGAACAATTATAAAAATTAGTAAAAGTAACAAATTGTGGATTTGGCTACAAATCAAGCACTGGTTCCAATCGTATCAAAAAATGCACGGCATGACAGCCTGAGCACCTGTCATGTCATCAAAGAAACATATATTTACAAAGAGACACATTGAGAACTCATAGACAAAATGTTTTTAGGAAGAAAAAGAAAGTTTCTGATAAATTTCACTTTTAATGCTAGTCTCGAGATGAAATCTATAAATATGATTTTTAATAGATAAATGTTAAAAAACCTTCGGTGGATTCGAACCTTCATCTTCAAGATATAGCGCCCATACTCTACCGACTAAGATTAACGACCGATTATAGGTACCTATTTTAAGCAAAAGGATATAAAAAAAGACACTAAGATTATTTTATATTCTGTTCGAAATTTTCCATTAGCACGAATGCTACTAATCTCACTAGTTTTATGCTTATCCCATGGACATATAGTTTCTCACTTTAAATTAATTGAAAAGATAGTTAATTATGTCTGTTGTATTTTTGTTTAAATTGTTGTGTATTTTTGAACTAATCGTTTAAATTCGCAACATCATTATCTTCGCATAGACAACGCTGCGTGATTATACTCCATGCGTATGCTCTTACCCTTCCACTTGTCGACTGGCAAGTCCATGTCCTCGAAGCTCTGGTCGTACGGCGCGGAGACAGGCTCGTCAGTTGGATCCGCGTACTGCGCGAGATATTCGTGAGCTAACGCCTGCTCAGCGGTGATACGTCTGGTTTGCAGGGAAACAGCAATCTTTATTGTAATATACAAGTCTCGGAATTGTATTAATAAATATATCGGGCACTAACATATCTATTTAGAATTGTGGATGTTTCATTCATGTGTGTGCGTTTGGTGAAAGTTATGAGATTGAATTTTACGATAAGCTGCATCAACACAGTGTTACCATGGCAACTAATACAACTTTTGCAATTTACCTACCTATACATCCAAATTAATTAAGCCGTTATCAATTGCATTTAATGTCTTTTTTCACAGACAAACAGTACTGGCACACGGGTAAATTTTGTTAGAAGTTACACTTCTTTAGCGTACCTAACAAAAACACAATTTTTTTTTTTTCATTTTAAAGCTGTTAAAAAAGTAATGGCTAAGTATCTATTCTATGATTTGTATTATTTTAAACATTGATATTTATTGTAATTGATATGAATTAAACGTGCTTACGAGATACAATCGACAATAATCGAAGTCACATATGACATTTTTATACCTACTCAACAGCGCAGTTGATAACAGCTGTGCAAAGCAGATCGAATCAGATAAAGGAAAATTACCATAAATCATAATCTAAATCCCTTATAAACTAAATGAAGAACTATGAGACATAAAGGAAGCAAAATTTCTATTAACAACAACAACATTAACATTCCCATCTTTTAAAGTGTGTCCAACCATAAAAACGACTTGTCAATGAAACCTTACTGAGAACATCTACTGGAGAAGTGTTAAAAAATTTTAAAACCGAGTAAGGGTTAGTAATATTAAACTTAGTATTAGAAGAATAACATTGGAGTAGGCTAACTTTTTAGCAACACATTTTTGAAACATGAAATGTCGGCGCGTACAAACACACGTATTATTAAGAACATCTATATTTAAACATATCATAAAAATGTAACTGATTGTTGTCTATACATGAAAGACATTCAAGAAAAACTATTTTATCAACGCATTAGAACCTAAAACAATGATTTTTTAAATTTTTGTCTGTTTATCTGTTTGTGCGCGCTAATCTCAGAAACGGCATAACCGGTTTGGGTACAACTCACTAAAGAATTGTAGTAAAATTCACTTGACATTTAATCAAATAAAAACGTTGTATCAACTTAAAAACTACATTGAAGATTGCGATAAAACTGCTATATAATATCTACGGATGAATTGGATGAATCTATAGTTAATAGAAAATATATTATGGTAAAAGGATGATGATTGTAAGTTTGTAGGAAGTTAAAAAATCGGCCAAGTGCGAGTCGAACTCGCGCACGACCGTATATACAGGCAGGCTTATCTAAGTGTATCAATTTTTTAATATTAAATTCGAGACATAAATAATGTTATATAAAAATGACAAATATTTTAAATCACTCGTAAGTAATTGCATACATTCATTTGAACTTATCTAAAAAGTGCGTGATTTATACGCAACTCAATTATTTTACGCGCGATCATTCATAATTAACACGCACACAAGTTCGTTTGTGTGCGTGAACAGTAAAATTTAGGTATTTATGAATGACTACCGCGTTGTCAACAAGTTCTGTTTTTTAGGGAATAGAATGGATTTTTTTTTTTGAAAAAAAGAGTTTGTTTTAATTACAATAAACAATTATACTACCGAGTCTGAATCCCCTGTGTAAATTTAAGCACCTTTAAAAAGTCTCCCTGTATAATATAATTCAAATTGAACTCTTCCCCAATGAATCGCCAAATATAATATCCACCCATATATAAATAAAATTTCCCTGACAGATATGATATAGTTCGCATTGAATAATCAAGCCAAACTCCTCTTACAGTTCAATCGAGCTATGAAATTGATCGTGATCCTCTTACTTATCGGCGTCTAGCTCCAGCATCAGCTCGAGGAGATTAATTGCGAGGGGATTCGCGCCGCGGAACACCTCCCGGAAGTCGCGCCGCTTCAACGTCGGCAGCGATTGGATGTAGTTCCGCGCCTGGAATCACGAGCACTGGATTATGATATAAAAATTAAATACTTCACAATTTTGTAACAATGAATATTGGTACTGTCGCCAAACTTTTGTTTGAAAAGTTATCAATCGACCATGGACACCTACGTGTTAAGAGTTGCAAACTCGCTACCAACCTACATTAAAGTGGGCCCCGGTTACCTCACTCACTAGACGATATGATACTTCCACTCCACCGGTCTGTGTGGCCGTGGCAGGCCGCGCACGAGCCTGCCCATACGTGAAACAGCAGAAGTTTGAAGAAAATTGAGCATTAAATAATTATTTCGAGTCTAAGGCAATAAACAGACCTATAGAACAAATGGTAATGTCCTATAGTATGGGTATAGTTACAGTTAAATTAAACAATCATAAAATAATCGAAATTTAGTAGAACAATCAGCAGTTATTGTTTATTCATCACATATAACATGTTTCAAAAAGCATTTACAGGAGTCATATTGACTATATCGGTCAGACTGCAGGTTAGATCAAGCAAGAAATTCCTTCAGACACATGTTGTTTCTCTATTAATGTAAATTGTAGAAAATAAATCTTGCAAGCCTTACACATAAAAGTTCTTGGATTCTTCTTTAGCTATGAATATTTTTTTAATAACAACTCTTAAAGATATTAAGTAATATATAACATATACCTATTATAAGAAACCAAAACTCAATTCAATAATATAACTAACTAGTAAATATTCCCACAGCTTCATCTGCGTGCTTCTTTTCGAAATAACTATAATCTGTCTCTAACTTATTGACTAAACTAATTGTATAGAAATAATTCATAACACTGAACAAAAGTATTTCAAGTGTTCATTTTGATAAAATTTCATGTGGTCAAACACTCATATCCGAAACACTTATTGTGGGTCACACAAATAGTTGTCCTGTTTGGGAATAATGGATGCCGTAAAAGAACCCACAATCTCTGGCGGCAACTTGGCAACTGCTCCACAGGATAATCTAAATTTCATTAAAATCCAGTAACATACAAAAACACAAACATATTTTGCTTTTTTATGTTTCATAGTCTGTACAGATTCATAAAATTGGAGTATCTATTTGTAATATTAAAATAACCGGTTTTTACTACATCCATATGGATATATACACAGTACATATACAATAATTTTTTTTTTACAAAATTTGTCAGTCTGTCTGTTTGCTTCGGCTAATCTCTGAAACAGCTGTACCGATTTTAACAAGACTCACGGGCAGATAGCTCATGTAAAAAGAAGTAACTTAGGCTATTTTTATTTTAGAAATTTTATTTATATTAAACTAGGGACCCGCCCCGGCTTCGAAAGCGTGCAACGTATTACGCATATAAACGTTCCTCTTGAATCACCCTATCACGTAAAAAAAACCGCATCAAGATCCGGTGCGTAGTATTAAAAATCTAACCATATATAAGGACAGACAGACAGTGCGACGACGTTGTTTTTAACTATGCAGTGATTCCACGCGCACCAAGTCGCGTGGACAGCTAGTATTAAATTTTATTTTAGAATATAAGATTTATATTATTGGGATTGGACCAACGAAATTTGGATATTAAAATAACAATAGATTAAACACGACAAATATTTCCCATGAGTCATACAATATACAAAAACAATAATTCATATACAGTATACATGGATTTACAACTGCACAAATACACGAAAAAAAGCTTTTATTGTTATGAATACCAAATAGTATTGCTATACCAATTTGAATTTATACAATATAAAAAAATGTAAATAAAAAAAAATTACATAATAAGAAAATTTAAAATAATATATACTTTAAGAAATGCTGTTTTGATCTTTTATCTTAAAAACTGGCTCTGAGTAATGAATTCATTCAATATTTAAGTAATGATTTAGTTGATTTATTAATAATCAATGATTAAAAAGTTAAAATTACTTTTATTATATATATTTAATTGGTATAAAAATAAGCTAGAAGCCTAATTGAAGTAAACTTTAAAGTGCATTAAGACAATTGACGGGAGCTTATTTAAAATCTTATTGCATCAATATATGACTCGTTATATACTTACCTCTTCACTTGTTATTTTGTCAATAGTTTCTTGGTCAGGTTTGCCGCATAAAAATAATATCCTTGTGAGATGGTCAATATCTGAATGCGCAAATGTTAAGGTTACACAAGCACCAAACTTACGTAAGCCGTCATGGATGTGACATCACATTATTACAAAAGCGTGTTAATAAAAAAGCTGTTACATTCATTTTACAATGCATATAATACATTACACAATTTTAATCTTGATGTTTTAAGCAATAAATATTTTATACATATCCTATTTCTAAGTGTAGTAAATTTCTCTACACTTTTTAATATTGTATTAAGGGCCAGAATTAAATGTGAATAAATACATATTATGTTTTCTGTTGATATTTATGCTTGCAAACTGTGTTTATGGTGTCAATTTTGAGGATAGGAAATGTATATACCTATTTCGGAATATCATTGACTTTAAAAAAAATGGTTTATGTACAGCACAGTTTTAGTAAATAGCATTTATTATGACAGGAGACAGTAACATAGTCAATAGGGCTCCTAGTAACATTATTTTTACTTACTGACTCAGATGAAATTTTCTGCATAAATTCCTGACTCGGTGTTCCAAGCACCTCCATGATTAAGTTCAATTGATGAATATCTGTCTCATTTATTAAGGTTGCAGGCAAAAAATGATAATTAAACTATAAACTTAGATGTAAACACTATTTAAAGCTAGAACTAAAAAATTATACTTATAAGGCAAAATAAGTAATTTGAATTCATTATAAAAACATTATGCATAGCTAATACAGTAATGCAAAATAATTTAAGAAAACCAATGTAAGGAACAGCTTTAAGTTATTTATTAAAAAAGGATACGGTCAGATCCTGGGAATAATGTCCTGCTAGTTAAAAGTTCAGCCATGATACAACCAACTGACCAAATATCAACTGTCTGGTTATAATGCATCCAATTTAGCATAATTTCAGGAGCTCTGTACCATCTGTAATAGGAACATAAAGCTAAAAACCTGATAGATATTTCATTCCCCTCAAAATATTTAACAGGAATATTTCCAATGAAAAACCATTCACATCATACCTTGTGGCTACATAACCAGTCATTTCTGTTTCAGTGGGCCTTGCTAAGCCAAAATCAAGAATTTTTAATTCACAGTCCTCATTAACTGCAATGTTTGAAGGTTTCAGATCCTGCGATAATTGGTTTAATTAGAAGCACTGCTACTTTAATGTATTTAAAGAAAGCTTTATATATAATTTTTCTCTCTTTTAGAAATAATAATTATCTTATGATAAAATTACTGTTATAGTATATCTCAATATATCTCAATTTTTATATTTGATTAAGTAGTTTTGGAGTTTGGAGTATGAGGACTTTTAAAAGGAAATAATGTGCATCAGTATGTGAATAATGATTAGCATTGCATACCCTGTGAATAATGCCAGCAGAATGTATATACTTCAGGCCCCGAAGTATCTGATAAACAAGGAACTGGACATGGTCATCTGATAATTTCTGGGTGCGGACAATGTTATTTAAATCTGCACCCATCAAATGTGTCACCAGATAAACTTGTTGAAATTCTTCAAGATTCTTTTCAGGACTGAATACATCCAGTAGGCCTACATAAAAAAATATTTTTAACATTAAGATTGTTAGCTAATATATAAAAAATTATATTAGATATATTTTTTTTTTCTTTATTCAACATAACTATTAAAACACATTTTAGTGGCACCTGTTTTGATTTAAGTGTAATTAGTGATTAAAACATTTTTCATTAAAATCAAATGTTATCTTAATACAAACCTATAACATTTTCATGATTCATGTGCTTTAATAAACGAAGTTCACGATAAGATCTTTTTGCATGAACTGCAGATTGAAAAGGTCTTGCCAACTTTTTGATGGCAACTTTCATATTATGTAGTGTATCTATAGCAGAACTGTAAACATCAAATAAAAAGTTGGTAAGTTGACAGGTGATGTAACAAAGGAACGGAAAAATAATTTATTGTGTTAAAAATAAAGATATTAATCTCCTAAATACAATAGCTTTAAGATAATATCAATATGTAATGAAACCTGTCCCACCCACACAGTGTCAGCATACGTGATAAAGAACTGGACCTTATTTTAATATTTTACATAACACAAATTATTAATCACGCGCAATTGGCACGGCGATGAAAATTATTAAAAATATTTTAATACTCACCATACTTGGCCATAAGCACCAGAACCTACGGGTGTAAGCATCTGATACCTCTCGGGTACAATCCATTCTGTCTTATTAATTTCTACAGTATGGAATCGAGGCATAATGTTTATAATATCTTACGTTGATTAAAATTGATAACCGATAAAAATATCTGTAAACAAATATAATATTAACGCAATTGAAAAATTGAAATAAAATCTGTCAGTCGGTCTGTCATATAAACACTGAATACACACAGATTAAATATTATATGTGTTTAGGAATGCATTGTCATAAAATACTTATCAAAGTCCTTGACCTAAATCTAGTTAATATTTGTTAAAACTTATTCTTACGTTCTTATGAAATGTCGAGGTCTTCCTGAAATGGAGTAAAAAATACGCCATCTTTCTACATGAAAACAATTTGCCACTCACGCATGGCACAGTACAATCACAGTTGAATGCTATGAGGGGAGGTCAAAAAGTTCACGGAATGAAAGAAATAGGGAGTGAAATTAAATATCAAACTATTTCTCCCTTTTAATTTTTTTCAGATAGTGAAATAATTTGTATATACCATCGAAAAAAAAAATGATTAGTCTTTGGTGTCAAAATAGGCCGAAGTAGCTGAGTGAGTTGACTTCTTCATCGTCGATAAATTTTTGTCCGGAGCTCTTTCTTCAATTTTAGAAATAAATAATAATCAATAGGGATACGCATTAATATATATTAGTAAATAGTTTAACATTCAATATTTGATTTATTCATTACTGACAGTGAAACTATTTACTAATAAGACGTACTGTTGCACCAACTTAATTTTTCTGTCTGTTAGGCTTGAGTGAGGGAGCTCTTCTAAGAAAGGGTCAAATCCATCGGGCTAAAAGTTAAAAAAAATGTTACCCCTGCCTTTGTCATGCGTTGCTGTCAATTATCATTTGTCATTAATTAGTTGTCAAAGTGACAATACTTTGACAATATTGTTCATTTTCGATATATGTAAAAAAATAAAGCAAGCACTTTGATTACAAAAGACATTCTATTAAGACCGAGACATGGCTCAAACGGCAGGAGTAAAGCCTATAACTATTGTTGGTCGTGTGGCATCAGAACGAGAAAGATGTCTTGGTATGACTGATGCAGAAAGGGCTTGGCGAAAACAATGGTTAAAAGACCAAGTCTTAGCTGCAAATGAACCGGTATATGTAGAGGAATACTGGAGAGAACGTACTAATCCTATACGTCGAATCTATCGTAAACCTCTGGATGTGTTTTACACAGCACTTACCCCTTTTTTGGTAAGATTACATAATGATATAACCTAACAAAGAAACTTAATTTAAATACAATAGTAAACTACATACAGTAAACTACGTACATAATACATTACAGGGTGCTCAACGTGCTGCGGACTATAGATATATAACTGGAAAACTTGGGCTTATGGCTCTTGGTATCTTGGGTATACATTACTACTTTAAATATCATGGAAATGTAAGTCTTCTGAAATGTCTTGATGATAAATTATTTATTAATCATATTTAATATTAGTCCGAAAGTTACACATTCCGGTTATGATTGGTGGTTAAAATGCCAGAACATTAGGTTTATGTGTAAAGGATGGACTTGCAGTCTGCAATGATGGCTATTGAAATATTTTTGAACACCTCATCATGATGCATTGACTACTTAAAAAAAGTAGGGGCTTATACCTCACTCACCAGCTGAAATAATGTGAAAGTATTATATTTCTACTTTATGTTGGTTTTCTGTGAAGCTATAATTCTTCTCTGGTCAGGCCTGCCTATTAGTGCAACAGCCGAAGCTGCTGAAAGATAGGTCTAATATGATAACTAGACAAGGTTTTTCCTTGTTAATATCCATTGTTAAAACATCATGCATGTTACAGCGCAGGAACTTGCCAAACCAATGGTCTGTCTTGACTCCGACTGGCCGTGTATTAATAGGCATCACTATGCTATCAGTTTAACATAATTTTGATAATTTTTATGATCGTCCATGGTCTGGTTCAGTCCACAAGGACTGACACCAAACTAAATGTGTACCTGTGTGTAATTGTTTATTACATTTATTTTATTTTTTTATTTGAGTAATGTTTGTGGCATTTTGACTTAAATACTCATTTACTTTGGAATTTTTTTGACCATCATCAAATTTTTAACAGGATTGGACAAAGAAAGGAGGTTGGAGAGTAATAAGAACCAAGCCTATGGTTCTACCAGGCCAACCTGGTTTTCCATTCAAATCAGAGCGGACACAGGACTCTGATTATGCCAATAGAGGATTCAAATCTTCTCCCTTGTGAAGAATATTTTGATTTAGTGCAAACAAAATTATACAATTAAAATTATTAGTTGTTGAACTTTCCTTGCTTCTTCAATAACATATAGAAAATAGTAAGTTATAAATAAAATTTATAAAAGTTCAAGTTTTCTTTTAATTCAAGGGATTTAAATACATAAGATTATTGAATAAAAAACAAGTATTTTATTATGCAAAATGTATTCCTTCAGAATTAAAAGCATGTAATAGTTTCATAAAGTCATCACAGTCCATTGTCCTTGCTCTCATTTGGTCAGCTTCTACTGATGTTAATATGTCTTGTACTTTTTGTTTGATATCAAAATCTTCAGGTAATTCCTGTAAAAAAATGTTTTTATATATGATCAAACAATCCTTAATACCATGATGATAATGCATGCAAATTGTCATGTTCGTGAGGGTATCAGTGGTTACATATTAACTTGTTTGTGCTTAATTACTATCATTTATTTGTGACATAGAATATTGTTAAAAAGCCTTTATAACCGAAATAAGCAACTAAAGTAAAATAATATTAATAGAAGCACCTACCTAACACACAAAAATAAAACTTTATTGTCATATCTTTGTCAATCACTTATTGAACAGAAGAGAATACTATAATAATTAAGAAATAAAATATGTAATGAAATAAATAAGGTATTATTTAGCATAATAACATTGTTCTAGCCACGTGAAATTTTCTATATATTTGAATAATGTTAGTTATTTATATAACTTTTTTTATTGGAAGTTAAATGTGTTTTCTCATGTCTTAAATGTATTGAATCTTGTGTAAAAGAAAGGGTTTATTTTATTTTTTATTTTCTATTTTTACCTTATTGTGTAATGAACAGTGTACTCTATAATTTTTTTCAAGAACCGCCATAGTGGTTGAGTGTTTAAAAGCAGCTGACAATGTTTTATTCTTTCTAACAAATGCAATTCTTGTTAGTCCATCCCATTCTACGAAGTTAATTGGTGGAGGTGGATTTCTAGGCTCTATCCTGACTACACTTGACTCAACCTTGGGTGGTGGTCTGAAATTATTTTTTCCAACCTGTAAAAAAATTAGCAATGAGCAAAAAATGAGAATTTTTCCAATGAGCATAAATACAAGATGTCAATTAAAGGGTTTATAAAATTCCAAAGTAATAATAATTAAGGTATACAATTGAGACACATTGAATTGAAGGTATACAATTAAAAATAAATTAAATTTATTCAATCAAAACTTACCTTCATTAACATATCTACACGAGCTAATAATTGTGTATTTATTGACAATCTGCAATATAATTTATCACCAGGCTTTGCTACCAATCTTTGTGCAAATTCTTTTTGAAACATAAGCACAGCACATCTGAAAAAAGGTCTGTGCAACAATAATTTAAAGACTAAGGGTGAACTAATTTGATATGGTATATTTGCTACACAAATGTCAAAGAATGGAAGCTCTGTTTTTAAGACATCTCCCACAATTATCTGTAATTTTGATTGGTATGGTGTACCTTGGACTCGTTTCTGGAGCTCAGCAACTAATCTATAAACAAAAAAAAAACATTACATTACACATATTTACATCCATACATACACAACACATATTTTAAAAATGTTGATAATAATGGATCACCTCGTGTCAATTTCACAAGCAATAACCTTCTTTACACGATCTAAAATTTTTATCGTCATATTACCAGTACCAGGGCCAATTTCAAGTGCAACATCAGTCGGTCTCAATCCAGCTTTATCAAGCATAGAAGTTATAATAAGCGGATTTTTTAAAATGTGCTGTCCGAAATCTTTATTAAATTGGATACCTTAAACAGACAAAAATTTAAATATATAACTTGGGTATTTTTAGGGAAGAAGCATGTAAAGATAACCTCAACCAAAACAGTCAAGGAATAAAATATTTACCTTGCTTAGCGATTTCATTGTGCACTCTAGACTTCTTTTCGGCTTTTATTTTAGGCATTTTGAATGTTTTATTTAAAGAAAAGTATTTGAATTTCCATAGGAGTAAACTGAGAGAAAGATTAACAACAGTAGATTATAATAACAACCTAACAACAGTATCAGTATTCAGTAAAGTAAACTTAGTAGTACTAGTCAGTGTTACCAACACCAACTGTTTAAAAATAAAACTTCTAGTCTTGAGCAATTCAAAAATCCATTAAAATTGACTAAATTAAAACAAAAACTACACAAAGGTAAAATAATCATTTGAAAAAATTTACTATTTCATTAAAAATAGGTAAATATAAATAATTAATTTTTTATATTACTTTGTTAACAATAAAATCAATACAATATAAAAAAATTAACATATTAATCATTAGAATACATAAAATAATAAGTTTTATTGTAATAATATTCGACGAAAATTTAACATCCCTTGGCCCTTGGCATTATAAATTACTTAATTAATGACATATATTTTAAGGACACGCAATGTTCAGTTACAATTTTTTATAAATAAATAAATATTTTAGGACACATTTTTACACAAGGTTTTTAGACCCAAACTAAGCAACGCTTGTACTTTAGATATATATATATTTAAATATAATATAAATACTACTATATATAATACTTTAAATTTGTTTTTATACAGCGTGTCGTTACCATCGCGACAATAAATGAAGACACATATAGGGGATAACTTTTTGAAATTGTATTAAAAATTTACATTCTTTAAACATCAATATTTACAGAGTTATAAAATTTTCCAAAACAAAGAATTTTAGATCACCCTTACGTATAAAACTGTAACGTAAAGTTCATTTGTAAAGGTCACAAAGCATATGAATGGGTTGAATGCATTTAAAAGAGACAAAACATACTGTTAGAAGGAGAGGCTTGTAATGCGACGCTGTGGCGCGAGCTGTATAGGATGTTACAAATTTTATTTCTTTTTTACTTAATTAGTTTGTTTGAAAAATATTTTTTTTTAATTATGTCGCGTTTTATATTGTCGCGACGGTAACGACACGCTGTATACAGTATGAGCCGTGATCAAAGAGTAAAGTTATATATAGGAGTGGCCGTGATAGCTCAGTGTCCGGGCGTTCGCCTTTACTTAAATCTATTCGAGCAACCTGAGTTAGATCCCCGGTGCCGGCACCAATGAAATTGTTAATTTTAAGTGCCGAATTATCACGTGTTAAGCGGTGAAGGAAAACATCGTGAGCAAACCTGCATATTTTCGAAATAATAACAAAAAAAAAATATTTCGAAAATATGTGAAGTCCGCTAATCCGCAGTGCGGTCACGTGGTGGACTCTGCCCTGATACCCTCTGTGCAAAGGCCTTTTCACAGCTGTGGGACATATTGTATAGGCTGATACTTTACTTTTACTTTATATATTATGGTTTATTTTGAGTAAGAAATAATACATTCAATATTATAGTTTAGGGCGGAAGAATTTAAAATATATATACAAGACACACAGCAACACAGCACTTTTAAATTTTATTTTTCATTTAAAATAAGAATTATTGTGTACTTTGTGTAATGTGAATAAAGTTTTACTCCTAAAAATATTCCCAAAAAATTGGCCCCGTCAAAAACTTCCATTGTAAATTTTTTCGTCCAATATTTAGGAAGAAAATTCCTAAATTAGCTACTAGTTAAGATGGTCGTTTCAACGATGCTGATATCCAATGTCTACCCGACATGGGCATTGAATCAACAAAGTAGTTAAATCAATGATTGATCACTTGTCAACGTATTCACATTGACCATCCATGAAATCAAATAAGTAAGAGTTCGTCAACGATGTTTAGGAAATTATGTGGTTTAATAATATAGACTCATTGAACGCAAACGTAACGAACTGAATAAAAAAAAAGTGTATGTGTACTTATATACACGCGTTAGAAGTTATAGGTATACTTCTGTGGCGTAACAAGATAAAAATCTTTTTAAAAATTTTATCTTTCGCCGTATTCTACGTTTATAGAAAAAACGACACTAACAATAGAAAAAAGGTATTTAATACATTGAAAGTTTTAATTAGTTAAGTAAAGTTTATTTAAATATCACAAAATAAATATCGTGAACACAGTTGCCAGTTCTCACGCAAACGGGTGTCGGTTTTTCGTGACGGTGTGCGCGCGCATCCTATTTACTCATCATTTTTCCCTAACGCGCCAAAAGAAGTATAACTTCAATAAAAAACTTATGTTGAAAATACCGTAGCCGAAAGTTGATTCTTTATTTTTAGAAAAGGATTATGATATTATTGTATCTTTAACGAACATGTTTAGGATCTCTGATTTAAATCTTTGTTCGACAATTTATAAACAGTTGCGCGCAAGGTCAGAGATTATTTTCGGTCAGATTTTAACTTCATGATTTGTCTTTTTTTATTTATTATTTTTAATTGTATAAAGTTCTAAGTGTATTGTAATGTATTTGTAAGTTAAATTTATTAAATAATAAATTTTACTTACAAACTACAAAATTTATCATGCAAAGTTATTGTTATAGGGGAGAAAGAATAGACCTCTTCGTCGCAGGTGTTATTGCTTTTCTAGTCTCTCTGCGACCGCTTCGTCTTTGTTCCTGATTGCCATTTTTAGGTTATAGTCCCGTATCGTGCAGGTTGATGCCACCAGTTTATTTGGATAAGGTGACCTGCAGCATCGTCACAGTCGTCTGTATAATAAGTGTAACGTGCCAGGATACCGCCACTACTGCATTCTGAATGATGTCGTGCAAGTGTAGGTTGCTTACTTTTGTACGCATCAAAACAACTGACCCGTATGTTAGTCCTTGTGCTTCGTGGATGGTGACAACCCGCGAACCGCCACCCTATCCGTATCCCTGGTCGATAAGGGCCTCTTATTCCGCCTGGGTGTAGACTAGGAAGAGTGTTTCTCTCTTGAAACGTTGGGTGTCCTGTTTGTTTCTCCAGTAAGCCATTGTTTCTCCTGGAAGCTTTCAGAATTTCTCTGCGTGTCATTAAGTTCACTTCCCGCATCGTGTTTTTTTTTATGTGAAAAGTTGCCAAGTGAGGAGGCGGTTCACTTGATGTTAAGTGAATACCGCCGCCCATGGACATCTGCTACACCCGAGGGTTACAGATGCGTTGACAACCTTTTGAAGATTGGGCTCCGGCCACCTCACTCACCAGACGAAACGCGAAAGTATTATACTTACTTCCACTTTACGCCGGTCTTCTGTGAGGTCGTGGTACTTACCCGGACGAGCCTGCCCATTCGCGCAACAGCCGAGGCTGCTGCGTGGTCCTACCGCAGTGGTCTGTCGTGTGGTCTCTCGGTTCCACTGCTGGTTCCACTACTTGGGATTGGCAGATTGACTTCTCCTTTTTCGGCTCTCGTAAGGGTGGATTTTGTGCCTATTTGGATAGGATGATTTGAAGACTTTTCCTTGGCTGTGATTGCCTCTCTATAAAGCTTTTCAGGCTTTTCTTCGCGATCTCGGGTAAGCTCTGGGCTGCTGCGCTGAATATTTTAAGCCCGCGTTGATCATGTCTCTTGGTCCCCTCAGATGGAGGTTTGAATCTCGGCTTGGATAGCAATTGATAAGGGGGCCTATCCAGGGAAAGATTAAAGTTGAAATTGCAAATTAATCCCGAGACGTACCGGCGCCGCACTATAGCCTGCGAATGAATAGTCACATAAACAATTTTTACGAGGAAAAATTATTTACGAGATTTGTTCATCTTTATTAACATGTGTGAACATCTTTATTAAAAAAGAAGTGGAGGCCTCTTGGCCCCAAATTATTTTACAAATAAAATGAACAATTTTTTCAGTCGAGTTTTCCAATAAATAATTTATTGTGAAAACAATTAAAGATTCTTTTATTTTTTACCGAACGTATAAATATAATCGGAAACAAGAATTAACTAAAATTAAATTTTAGCGTTAACGGAGGGAACCTTCCGAGCTTTTTTCGCTGAAATATCGTTGTAGATTTCGCTGAAATCCAGTTCCCGAAGCAAATCTAAAATATTAGAATATTTCTCTTAAGAAAACTTCCGAAATTCTTGTGTCCATCTTGGCGCTTTCATTGTCACATCGTTAAAATCTGTAAAAACGCTTTTAAAGATTATGGTTACATTCTACGCAATTCGATAAATTTCATAATACTTCGACTAACATAATTTTATATAACACCTTCGTTCGTAGTGGGTTGGCGTACTACAGGGTTGTGTGGAACCCATTTTACAACGTTTATGTAAAAAAGACTAGAAAGCGTTCAAAAACTTTTTATTTGGCATCTCGCGTATAAATATGGTCTAGCTAAAAAACTACCCAACTATACAATACAATATCAGCCTATTGCCGTCCACTGCTGAACATAAGCCTCCTCCAAAGTGCGCCAACTATCCCGGTCCTTTGCAGCTCGCATCCATCCGCTGCGCGCCACCTTTCTTAAGTCGTCAGGTCATCGTGATGCAGGGCGTCCCACCCTACATTTCCCTAGCCGTGGTATCAATTCTAACACGTGTCGGCTCCAACGACCATCAGTACGTCTGGAGACATGGCCAGCCCACTTCCATTTCAGTGTGCTAATTCTGCGCGCAATGTTTGTAACTTTAGTTCTCTGGTGAATGACTTCGTTTCGTATCTACTTGTCTACCAGAGAAACCCCAAGCACTGCGCTATCCATCGCCTGCTGAGCAATCTTGAATTCGTGGACCAGCCCCCCGGTAAGTGTCCTCGTTTCAGCTCCGTAGGTCATTACTGGTAGGACACACTGGTTAAAAACTTTGGACTTTTGGCATTGTAGTATTGATGACTTAAAAATGTGTCGTAGCTTCCCGTATGCCGTCCAGCCTAAGCGTATTCTTCGGTTGGCCTCTTTCTCAAAGTTTTGGCGGCCTAGTTGTATAGTCTGGCCAAGGTGTATTCCTGCACAACCTCAAACATAGCGCCATTCGTGACCACTGGTCTCGGTATCCCATGATTATTGGACATAATTTTCGTCTTGTCAAGGTTCAT